CCCCCCCCGCCCCCCCCCCCCCCCCCCCCCCCCCCCCCGGGTGTCTCAGGCCGACTTTCCTTTGTCGGCGATGCGTCGTCGTCACTTGGCGGGTCCCCGGTCCGGTCAAGCTCTGCCGAGATCGCCAGGGACCGGCTCGTCCCACATGACCCCAGAAGCCCACTTTCACCCACTCGTCCAGCCTGGGGCTCGCTCAATTCCTTCCAGAATGCCCGCGTGGCCGCTTTCGATGGTCCTGTTGACTAACCCGGGTGCGTGCGTTCGCGCGTGTGGGAGACATCGCGTGACGCTTCTCCTCTCGGTCCCGACGAGAGCCTCACCGTGGCTGGTTTTGCTCTAATTGTTTTTGGTTTAACGCCCGCTCTAACTCCCGACGAAGCCTCGCAGGCTTGATCGCTGCCATCACCCAGGCCTCAAGGCATTTCAGTATCATCCAAGTGCTGCCTCATAGTAAGTCGGCTGGAGACACCTCGATCAGGTCTAACATTTGGCTTGACGGGGTTGCGAGAAAGGTTGGTACAGACAGTCTTGAGATCAAGCTCAAGTTCGACGGCCTCAACACATACAGAGAGGGGTACTGCGGCCGACGGCTAGCGCAAAGAATAGCAAACCCTTAGAACATAACGTAACTATGCCCCAGTTTTTTTTTTCTGGGTGGAAAAGAACATACATGGTAGGTGGGGCTATCATCCGGACGAAAATGTCGAATTAAAAAGTCTACATACGCGTCCAGACGATAGTTTCAACTACCCATATGTTGTTTTACTTTTTTTAAAAAAAAGAAATTGGGGCATAGTTACCCAAGACTCGAGGTTTCTACTATTTTCTGCTCATGCCATGGGTATTTGAGGCTATTGTCTGGACGTATATGTATAATTGTTAATTCGACATTTTCGTCTGGACGATAGCTTCAACTGCCCATGGCATGAGCGAAAAACAAATCAACGCCAGCCTTCGGATGCAATCCCCTCCTGTTTGATCTTTGGAACATGGCTCGGGATCCCCTCTAAAGTCGAATACTGACGAATCGCAGTCAAAGATCAATCAAAGTACACCATTTCCACGAACCGGATACACATATTACAGATAATATTGACTTTCGAACACTTCGCTGCTGTAGGGGAATATATGAACAAGAAGGCATTCAAACATGACACGTTAAACCGCATCCCGTCTCTCGGAAATTAACACCCCTCTTCTGCCATCTACAACCACCTCTCACAACGCCAGCATCGCAACCACGCCACCAACAACGCCCACAGCACCTGCAGCCGTCAGCTTACCCGCCGCATTATCCGTCTGCTGCGCGGGAGCGGCAGAGCCGCTGCCGCTGGCAGTGGCGCTGGCGGAGCCGCTGCTGGGGCCGCCAATGGTGGTGGTGGCGCCGAAGCCGGGGTCGCTGGTGACGGTGAACTTGCTGGTGTGCGAGGTAGTGGTCGAGGTGGCGCGGGCGGAGGTACCCGTCGCGGTGGCGCCCGCGCTCAGCTTGTCGGCGCCCGCGGTCACGGGCATGGCGATGGTCGTCATCTCCGACGGCTGCAGCGCCGTCGTGAACGCCGGGAGGGTGCTGGAGGCGAGGGCGCTGATGCAGCTGGTGATGGCGTCGTCGTCGTCGTACTCCTGATGAAAGGGGGAAAAGAAGATGTTAGACTGAGGGCTGAGGGGAGAAGGGAGAGAGAGAGAGAGAGAAGACGACGACGACGACTAAGGGGGGGAGGGATGTGCTGGGTGACAAAAGGCGAGATATAGGGGACTTACAATGTCGGTGGAGTACGCGCAGTAGTCCGACCACGCGCCCTCACCGGCCGACTGGTAGGTACAGAAGCCGGCTTCATTGGCAGACGTGCAGCCCATGGTCACGGTGTAGTCGTAGCTGTCGTAAGTGTATCCGAAAGAGTCGGGCCCGACGGTGGCGGTCATGGCGCCGGCGACGAAAACACAACTATCACCGTAGTAATAGCTGTCGCTGTCATCGTCGTCGAAACTGGAGCTCGTGCTTTCGGGCGAAGAAGCGGAAGTGGTGGAGCTGTCGACGCATGAGAAGGCGACGACAGTGTGATCGGCGTCTTGGACTTCGACGATGGATAGAGCGATGTTCTCGAAGTCCTCACTCGTAGGCATCTCGCTGGGGTAGAAGAAAGAGATGGAAGTCTGCGCGCTGGCCGCTGTGGCGGCGGCCAGGAGAGTGACGGCAGCGGAACGCATGATTAGATAGAGACAGGATGTCGATTTAGACCTGGGTCACAGACGGGAGGCTGAAAGGTGGAGGAGTTAGAACAAGCCGCAACGCCATGGTCTCCCCAGCCCATCTTATACTTTGAAAAGAGGCGCTGCGGATATTGCTCTCAATACAAGACTCGCGATCCTGACCGGGCTATTGCCGAGTGGCACCAACCGGATGGTCCCGACGGGCAAAGGCGAGGATGGTTGCCTGGCGCTAAACCGCAGAAGGTGTCCAAGCGCCGGCGGTGATGCTACTGCGTTCCCTATTCTGGCAAGTTCAATGAGCTTGGCATGGCTGCTTGTGCCAACCGACCAGGCACCACTCCCCACCCTCCGCCCCCGCTCATCAAGGCCAGACTGCGTGATGCAGTTCTCGGCCCCCTGGACCATCACTCCCGCACGAAATACATGGAGAGCGTGCAAACTTCGAGCCACGCGCCGTATTCTCCGCCAGCGATATTGCGACGATGCAGCAGCGGGTGCCACTGTGACATTGCATCCTTTGCCAAGCATCGCGTGGTCCGACACGCCCCAAAGAAAAAGAGCGGCGAAGAGCATGAACGGCGGCTAGCGCAGGGGCTCATTTTAAAAATGTGAGCCCACTTGCGGTTAGCAAGAGCGGAAAAGCTTGGCGTTCGAAGGATTCACGCCTAATTTTAGACCCTTCTGGCCGTTGGCTGTGCCGAAGGCCGGGATGTGTGCATCCTGCGGGATCGTGAATGGTGAGTGCTGGCAAAAATTAAAAAAGACAAGGACCGGTGACCAGCTCGCAACAAGGACGACTGCGTGTATTGATGGTAGTTGACGATCAGGGAGAAGCATGGGTGGGTGGACCCTTGACCAGGTTCTGCCCCATCAGAAGGATGCAAACCAACCGAAATGTTGCGGGTGTCTATCTCCCCTTGCCGCGGTAGTTATCGGCATTTCCCAATGCACGCGAAGGATGCAATGGTGCGGCTAACGGACCGCCATCCCATCATGCCCTACGACCGGCTGTATCGCAACCGAAGGCTAGCATGAAGAATAGTACTCGGGCGTAACTATGCCTCAGCCTTTTCTTAAAAAAAAAACAAACATATGTGGGTAGTTGAAGCTACCGTCCGGACATGTATGTAGAATTTTTAATTCCATCTTCTCGTCCGGACGATAGCTTCAGCTGCCCATGGCATGAGCAAAAAAAAGCTACGCTAGCCTTCAGCTGCGATACCCCCCTGTATCATTCAATAAACTCCAGACTGGTCCTTGTCCATGGCATGCCTTCTCGTAATGCTGACCTTCAAGAGCATCAGCCTCAGAAATAGGGGGGTTACCTAATACATCGAGCTGCATCTTCAAGCTACAGTTTTGTAGACGAACGAGGCCGCCGCCCTTCACATGCTTGCGGACATTCCAGTGTCACCACCTCGCAACACTTTGAGATAATAAGAGTTGTGACCGCGATCGTCTAGGGCAATTAGGAAATTATACATCAAGCTAACCTATCAGATGTTCAAAGCACGTCATCATTGTCGTCATAGGACGTCAATCACCTTTCCCGCCTTCATCTTTGGACAACCATCACAATCGCAAGGCACATTTTCCCGCATCTCTTGCAGGTAAGACACCTTCGTGTGTATTGATCCCAATTTCGGTCGCTCAATTTGAAAGAAAAACATTGCAACGTTTCGGCATGAAACCCGTAGGATCATGGCAATGAAAGCAGAAAAGAAACAACCCGTCGCTAGTCGACGCCCTTGAAATGCCGGACATGTCTGAATTCAATAATTACTCGCTCAAAGACGCGTCAGTGGAAGGAGGGGCATGAACAACAAACAACAAAAAGAATAAACATAGTTACAACAAAAGCGTAGAACAAGAATTACGAAGATGAAGAACCCGGACTCGAGATCACCATCCAGCCAAACCTGTGATGCTATTCCAAAATGATCTCGTCTTCCGAAGGTTCAACGTCGAGTGCGTGGGAGATGTGTTTGTCTTTACATGGACCTCTGCCGGCTCATTGAACCCACGCGGGGCACCAACATCCCCCACCTTGTGCAGAAATGGCTGTCGCCCATGTGAACGTTTCTTCATCTGTGTGACGAGCATATTCTCTGAACTCTGAGAATGATGACTGATGAAGCCTGTCACAGTTGCCGCCTCGTAGCGCTGCAAACGTTGATTGTTGGGAAGTGCGACCGTTCTCATACACGAAACTGGATGAGACTCGGCCTTGGTGTATTGAGGCCGCGTGGATTTGATTACGGTCTTCAAATGCGATGTGTCAGCATCCGATGGAAGCGGGGGCTCAATCTTCTGCGCTGCTTTTCATTAGCAGACGGAGCGAAAGAGACACAGAGACCTCAGGACGAAGCATTCTCACCACCATTTTCGGTGGGTGCCTGCTCCTCCTTCTTTTCCTCTGTCGCCTCGGCTTCGGCTGGGTTTTCAGCCGAATCTCCCTCTGCCTTTGGAGCCTCGCCATCTGCAGCTTCTGCAGCTGCGGCGGCTGCCTTTGCCTCAGCTTGAGCCTGCCTCCTAGCTTCAGCCTTCTGGCGCCTTCTTTCCTCGGCTTCTGCAGCTCTCTTTGCTTGAAGTTCGAAAACCTCCTTTCGAATTTTCTCATCCTTGGCAAGTCGCAAGCGCTCAACCTCCTCGACGCCGCCGCTCTTTTTGAGCTTGCCTTCCTCGACGAACTTGCCGAGCTCTCTTTGGAACTCGCCCTCTTTGCGGCTTTCAAGCTCCTTCTGCCTGATTTTCTCGGCGCGCTCAATAGCCTCCACACGGCTTTCATGGTTAGGCTCAAGAGCTCTGACTTCATTGAGCATTCCGTCCTTGGCCTCACGAGGATCGGCCGAGGTATCGAGAGCAATCGCATGCATGTTCCTGCCGCTGGTGTGGCGATTGCCGGATCCCGAGGAATTCTGCTGCTTTGTGGCCTGTTCCACAAGGCCAAAGGTCTCTGAGAGCTTCTCCAAGTCGTCTTGCAGATCCAAAGCCAACTCCTCTTGCATTGTGAGCATCTCCCGGTCCTCCATGACCATCTGCAGTTCCTGTTCCCAGAGCTTGGTCCAGACTGGCTTCTCCTTTTTGAGGAAATCCTGAAGCTTTTTGACCTCTGCGGTGGTGATGGAGATCTCTTTGGCAACCGCCTCGAGCTGCCTGGGACGAGGCCGCACGCCGCGAGAGACGACGTCTTTCCGCAGATCCTCCACAAGATCCTGCAGATCGTCGACACGGTTGACGATCTTTTCGGAATCGTCGTTCAGGGTCTTCTTGCCCTTGTTGACGTACGAGCGGCCTGTTTCACCACTCAAAGTGGGAACCTCAGCATTGATTGCTGCGCTCTTTACAGAGGAAGCCTTCGAACGAATTGCGCCCATGCTCGCCTCAATGTCCGATACGAAGGATGAGTAAGTCTGGCGGACGACTGCGAGATCACGTCTGAGAGACTGGATCTCGTCGAGCTGTGCTGCAGAATCCTTGAGGGTCGGCGATCCGGATTTGGCCGGCGCACGAGGCGATATAATCGAGCTACGGGCGGATGGAGCGACGGACAAGCCAGCCATTTCCTTCGCAGCCTGAGCCTGGCGGTCTGAGACTCGCTGAAGAGCCAATTGCTGATCAACCACCGCGCTCTTGACACTCTCAACAAGCTTGCGGATGTCGCCGAGACCGTCATCAAAATGACGTTTCACTTCATCAAGCGCCTCCACATTCAGGACAAGTACGGCGCGATCTTTGATATCACTCAGATCTTCAAGTTCGTGTCGAACGCCAGAAATTGGGTCTTGAATGTAGATCTCAGGAAGATCGACACCATTGTTGTGAGTGTTCCAAGCAAACTTCTCGATAAAGGCGAGCTGCAGACGCGCAATGGACAAATCGTTGTAGCCATCTTGAAGAACGAACTTCTTGATCTTGCTTTTGTACTGCAAGAACAAGGTCAATTCCTTACCAGGCTGCGGTGACTGGTCCGGAATGAACTCCTGACTTTGCGGAGGCGTCGAGGGCTTCATTTTATGAGAAACACTGCGAGTAGGCGTGACGACTGCTTGGCGCTTGATGCTCTTCTCGTCGTTGTCTTCATCCTCTGCGGCGGGGACATCGACGGGTTCAGATACTGCTCCGCCGACTGCAGGCTTCTCCTCTCCCTCGTCATTCTGAGCTTCTTGACTATCGGTGGCAGATGCAGCTGAGCTTTCCTCCTCAGTGGGCGGCAGGGTTGAAGGAGCCGCAAGAGCATCGCTCTGACTGCTTTCTTCGGAGATCCTACGGGATGCCAGTGTGTTTGCGCTGGGAGAAGCATCGACAGCTGCCTGCTGAGTGGATTGCTTACGGCTGTGGAGCAGCGAGCCGCGTTTGCGAACGGCATTCATGGACTCCCGGACATCGCGTCCACGGTTGGGTATCGGGGAGTTCTGGCTTGGCGGCATCATCGGGATGCCATTCGAGGCACCTAGATGCTTTTGAATTTGATACGCCGAAAACCTCCTAGAAGCTCTCCTCTCCAGCTCACCACCCCTCTGGAGCGCAGCTAGAGCATCCTGCTGTTTTGGAGGAGGGGGCGGCGGTGGAAAATTCTCAGGAATCGATGGATTTGTCGCGGGCATGCCACCTTCGTCTTCAGGGTACGGGGTGATGATGGGAATGTTTGGAGTGGTGTTGCTCGAAAGTGAAGAATCAGAGTTGTTCAGCCCGTCACGGCTACCAGTGGTAGACCGGACGCGCGAATGCCCGGCTGGACTTTCGTACTTGTTGGGCGACGCCCTGCCATGAGCAGACGAAGTCCGCGGAGGAAGATCGGGGTGCTCATGTCCCAGGTCCGCACTCCCCTGGCGTGACGACAGCCTTTGTCTTTGTGCATCATCCTCGCCCACGCTCGCATGCCGAGAGCTCGACCCATTGGATCCAGACGAGTCCCTGCCACTTCTTTGGCGTAGCCTCTGCTGCTTTTTCTTCAGGCCATGCAGCAGATTGATGATGATGTCTCGTATCCTCGGAAGAAATCGGTCGAGGCTTGCTTGAGAAGCTTCCTGACTGAGGGTTTCCTCCAAAATGCTTCGGAGAAGCTCTGGGACATTTCCCAAGTCGGTTGTATCCACGCCGATGGCGTTGAAGGCGCGAGAGGCTATGTTGAACTCATATCCGAGACGCACATAGACGTCAGAGACTTCGCTCTCGGTTGCGGTGCCGCGCGACCACAGAGTGAGCGTTTCGAGAAGCTGCTTCGTGGCGACTAGGAGGTGCGTGACGCTTTTCTCAATTTGAGAGAGTTGCTGCTGGGGCTGCCGAGGAAATCAAGTCAACCAAAGCTCGGGTTGCGAACGGCCCAACGGCGCTGGGGGGGAAAATGCTGCGCGACTCACATTCATGGGCCGGCGCGACTGGCCGCCGGTAGAGCGGTTGGACGCCGACGACGTCCTGGAGCCGGCATCGTCGGTCATGCTGGAGGTGCTGGAGAAGACGGTCTGGTCAGAGTCTGTGGCGGGCGACCGGCGATGCTGTCGTTGTGCGGTCGGGGGGCTCTGCATGACAGCTTAGATGCAGGTGCGAGCGTGCAGCATCTGAGCGTGTCGGGTGCTGATGATGCTTAGCCCAGCGTTCAGGGATCCCGCCGGGCGTTGTCGCTTGGACTCCGCTCCGCGCTGTGCGTTCGTGCTCTTGCGCCACGGCCGCCGAGAGACGGCGGAAAGACAACAGGGCTGACAGCTGAAGTGCTCGAGACGCGTGCAGAGACACCGGGGTGCGGGCGCAGGTGCGGGCGCGGGCGGCTGAGAACAAAGGCAGAGACACACAGGACGTATGTGTCGCGAGGGCGTTTTTGTCGGTGGTTAGCGGCGGCTGCCAATCGTGCTGGGTCCTCCGCCCTCTGCTTTGGGCGTGCGCACATGCGGAGGTGTGGCTACGAAGGAGTGGCTGGGCCGCTTCTGTCATCAGTCACCCGCCTGCACACCGACCGAGCCGGCGCGCGTCCCGCGCTGCACTTGGGGGCGGGCGAGAGCGCTCGCAGCATGCCCGCGCGCAGCGGCTGTTTGCGTGGGCGCCGCGTGCGTGCGTGAGGGCGGTGCGAGGCGTTGCGGAGCGGCCAGCAAGCCCATGCGCCTAGCAGCTCCACCGCCAGCAACGCGACTGCTCTGTGGAACGTCCAGCAGCTGGCGGGCACCCCCAGCCTGCCGCCTCGTCGAGTCGCCTGCGCGCCCCGGCACGGGTTGCACTGACTGCGGCCTCGTTTCTGCGCCTTGCGGTGGTGTGCGGCGGCGCTGCTCGGCCGCAATAGTGATTGAGACTCGAGGGTTCCCGCGGGCAGCCCAGGATCTCCGTTTTAGCGTGAAACCACGCTCGATCCAACAACCTTCAACGGCTCGACACCGGGGCCGTCACCTCACTTGCAGAGGACACCCTTTCCAGGACCTCGCCCAAACACTCTTCCTCCCCCCCGCCGTGCCCGCAGCGGCGACTCCGCTACGTTTCCCTGCCTCCCGCCGTCGCAACCACCGTCCGTTGGCGCTCGCCGGCCAGAGCTCCCCGGCCAGCGGTCCTCTTCCTCCTCCCTGCGTCCCGCCAACGACGCGGCTTCGATTGACCCTCACCCAACCCGACCATGGCGTCCATGAACGCCACGAACGGCAACGCCTCGCCCTCCGTCAGTTCGGGCAGCACTAAGGCACAGCTGAAGACAACAACGAGCGGCAAGGCCATGGACGGCACGCGCAAGCAGACCGCCAGCCCCATTGACGCTTCGCAGAGGTAAGAAGCTCCCCCTCGCCCGTCCGCCGTGCGTGGTCAATGAGCCTCGTTCGTGGCACAATGTGACCGTCTCTCACCCACCAAATCCGCTCTGCGCCTGTGGTTCGATTCGACTCCGCCCGGGCTCGCGGTTACACCGTCGCTGCAGCGATTGGTCTATCTGCGCTCCCGCCTGCATCTCTCTCCTTTATCTCCAATTCCTGCTCACTCGACCACGTCTTTCCACTCGGGCGCTGTCTATTCGCGGGCATCCCTACCCGACCCGCCGTCGCGCCTCTAAGCATTGCCAGCAGTTTAAACTAACGCCTTGCCTCACTACAGGAAAGCGCCCGCTCCCAAGGCTTGGTCCTCAGGAACGAACCCGATCACCCAGCGCCCCAACAATCCGGCATTATCCAACGGCGCAGCCGGCGCGGGCAAAGGTCCTGCTGGAGCTAAAGGCATGGCGGCTCCCTCAAAAGAAGCCTCGGCCTCGGACAACAATAAGCATGCGCACGACCGCATGATCTTCTTAATCAGTAATTTTGTTGTAAGTGCACCTCCTGCGCCAGGCTGCCGCAAGAGAAATGCACTCTGCGGCTTTGCGGCGGCAACGCACTCGTTGTACAATAACGCATTTCACAACGCCCCCGCTAATACCACATCACCAGGGTATGCCCGCGTCCGTCACGCTGAAGAGCGGCGAGCGTTTCTCCGGTATATTCTCGAGCTCTTCCCTCGAGCAGCAGGAGTACCGTTACACTTTCAAGATGGTGAAGCGGCTGCCATCCCTCGGCGGCCAGGTCAACGGTACATCTGAATCTCAGGACGACTACTGCGGTGTTGGCCGAGACTATCGTATGATTTTCGACGTGAAGGATGTTGTCGTACTAAACGTAGAGAATGTCGCCATGGATAAGACGAAGGCCAGAAACGGTAAGCTTTTCCCCGAAGATTCGAGACAACCGTGGTACTGACCCACAAACCTTTAGGTGCGTCCGTCGGCTTCAAGACAGACAGTGACATCTCTGGCCACCTCCAGGCTCGCGAGCGCAATCTCCAACCTTGGGTTCCTAGTGCAGATACCAAGGTCGACATGTCGCTCGGCGATGATTCCGGCGCCGGCTGGGATCAGTTCGAGACCAACGAGCGCTTGTTCGGCGCTACGAGCAACTACGACGAGGACTTATACACTACTAGGATCGATCGCAACGATCCGCGGTACAAGGACCGAGCAGCCAAGGCTGAAAAGCTTGCTAGGGAAATCGAATCCGGCTCCGCGCTGAACGCCCACGTCTTGGAGGAGCGTGGCCAAGTGTCTGTTGACGATAGTGGTTTGGACGAGGAGGAGAAGTACAGTGGTGTCAAACGCGACCTTCCGTCACCCTCGTCGGGTCAGCCCAACAAGTACACTCCCCCCGCAAGGAGAGCACCTACTGCGCAGGCCACCGTTGCAGGGGCGCCAGTCGATCCAGCCATCATATCCTCTCAAATCGCGCGCCCTGACGCTTCCGCTGCCCGCCCGTCCCAGCCCCAGGCTGCGGAATCCAAAGATCAGCAAGCTCCTACCGCGCCGAAATCTGAAGATAGGCAATCTGCGACGACTGCGATTGCGGGAGAGCAAGCAGCTGCAGCAACCAATGCGACAAAACCTGCAGACACGTCCGTCGCAGCGCCTGCCACCGAAGCTAGTAAGAAGCCACCGTCCACACTGCAACAGACCACCTCAGATATGGCAACTCGGAAGCCTGGACGAACTGGACCCAACACTGTTGAGCATGATCTTCTGGACTCTTTCAAGCAATTTTCTGCCAACGAGAAGATGAAGTTGCAGGAGAGGCAGCGTCATGCCGCTAGGCACGACAAGAACGTCAAGCTCAACGACCTCAAGAAGTTTGCCATGAACTTCAACTACAGTGCTCCCATCCCAGATGACTTGATTCCAATCCTAGCCAAGGACCCCAGCAAGCAACAGGAAATCAAGCAGAAGTCCCAGAAGGCTGCCGAGGATCGCAAGTCTTCGGCTGTTTCAGCCACCGAAGCGAAGGCCGCCGTCAACAACACCGATGCCAAGACGCAGCAGAGGGCCTCCGGGCCTGCAGTGCCGCCCTCTATCAATCAGCGTGGCGCAAGGCCGAACCAGGGCCCTTACCCTCAAGCGCCCCGTGGCGACAGAAATGCTCAGAACATTCCGGGTATGCCACCAAGGAATGGCCCGGGAATGCTCAGTCAGCGCCTTGCGATCACTCAGCAGCAACACAAGGCTGGTGTGGGCATGCCTACCATGCCACTGCCAATTCACGACCTGCGCATTCCGCCTTCTGGTCCTGCCGCGCCATCTAGTGGATCACACACGCCGTCTTCAAGCATTTCCACCAGGTTCAATGTAAAGGCGCTCGAGTTCCGGCCCAATCCTGCCGCTAACACGTTTACACCGGGAGGTAACGGTAGTAACGCATCGAGCCCGAGGAAGGAATCTGCTCCGCCTCGTCCGGAGCCACGTAGGGCGCCGACGAGTAGCTTCTTTGGTTCACACAAGCCCACCGCGCCCGCTGAAAGGCCGTCTTTGGCTGACATGTTCAACCCCATCAAGCGTATGAAGAAGGACGTACAGGCGGACAACAAGAGCAAGGAGTACGCAGCCAATGGCGGAATTCCTCAGGCTTATAGGACCCCGCCGATCTGGGACGTCCCGGAACAAAACCGTGACAAGAACTTTACAGACTTGTTTGAGCGTGCTCCTATTACAGTCCAGCCGAACTCAGCTCCTCAAGCTGCTCTTAACAACGTTCACCCTCCGCACCAGCACCAGCTCCCCACTCATCTTCAGCAAGGCGGCCAGGGAATGCCGCAAGTGCACACCCCCCAGCACACGCCTCGCCACCCTCCTGTTCAGCCCCACCATCCAGGCGCCCCGCACTTTGATGGTCATAACATGCAATTCTCAGCGTCGAACTCTTCGATTCACCCCTCCCCTCGTGCAGGCATGCCTCAGTTCATCTACGGCCAAGTACCACAGCATTTGCCCAACTTCCAGCAAGGCGCTATGCCGGCGACCTATGCAATGAGCCCGGCAATGCGTGCAGTACCTGTTGGTCCACAGCCAGGGTTCGTTGCTTCAGGCCCTGTCATGGGCAGCCACCCCATGATGAACCAGCACTCGAACGGCCCTGGAATGTTCCCTGGTCCTCAGATGCCGCAAATGCCTCAGATTCCCCAAATGCAGCAGATGATGCAATCTCCCGGTCCAGGTCAAGCCTACCCTTACCAGCCAGGCATGATGCCTGCACCCCCTGGTGCCAATGGCTTCCCCAGTCCGAGGCCTGGCCCAGCGCCCATGATGGTCCATCAGGGTTCTCAACAGGGGCATGCCCCGCAGCAGTTCATGCCCATGCCCAATGGTGGATATCCAGCTCTGTTCCACCAGATTCAGCCGGGATCAAGTAAGTCTTCATCGCCACGCGACACGAACTGTCTAACCTCGACCCAGTGACACCGATGCGTGGCCCCTACCCACAACCGCATGTCCAGTACGCCTCGAGCCCTCATCAACACCATCAATACCCTCAGCCACACCGCGGAACGCCCAGCGGCGCGTACAGCCAGCCGATGATGCCCCAGCACTCTTTGCCTCCGCAGATGCCTCCTCCTGCCGGACCCGGACAACACGTTCCTGAGGCTGGGGAGAAGGTCGAATGAGCACTTTCTGAGCGCAGGGTGACTGCATTTGCAAAACCTTCTTCTAGCTGATATGGGATGCCTTGGTCCGCGGGAGGCTGGCATTGCTACTTCATCCTATACTTTCTTACAGGCTTCTCCTCATTGCTTGCATTAGCGTGGCTGGGTCTCGTATCGCTTTCTCGGCGATTTGCTGGTACTCAAAAGGGAATTGGCATTTAGCGGTCGGCGTTAATTCTGGCGTCTCACGGTTGCGGTGGTATGCTGACTACGATGGACGAAAGCCCGGTGGTCATGTACGCAGATGATGGACATGCTGCATGTGTCATATTACGGATGCTGGGAACGAATGCTTTCAGCCGTCGGCGAGGGGCGTTGCGGAAGCGGATGGCTTAGGTAGCTCGCCTGGACCTACACGTGCGGGGCTACGCGGCGGAGAACAGCGATGAGTAGGATAGGAGGTGGGGGCTGACCAGGATACCTAAGTCGCTGAGAAGCAGTAGCATGGTGGAAGTTGAGTGAAATGCCAGAATTACAGATGATTGAGCGATGTCACCTTGCCCATGACAAATGACGTATCCCGAACAAAAGAAAACAAATTGCATTCGATGCAGTGCTGTTCCGCTGCCTTTGCCGATGTCGTCCAACGTCAACGATGAAGATTAGATACGGGCGGTCACATCAGCCACAGCGACTTCCTACCTCGGAAGGGGGAGGTGGCTGGCCGGCAGCACTAGGTCCGAAAAAATGTCGGGATCCTGGCCGAAGCATCATCATCTCTTCCACGCGCTCTGAACCCTGTTGTCGTCCACCTTCGCCCAAGCGTCTGGCTGCGCGCACAACCCCCGTACGGCCATACGTTCTGTCAGCAAAATGCGCATATGATGTCGAGTTCCCCTTTTCTTTCCTCCCTGCTAAGGAGGACCGCCGCATCCCCATGGACCTGTAGAACCTGCCTCCGTCAACAACAGCAGTCTCCACAGCCTCTGCGTCAACGCCTCGGCTACGCCACCCAATCCAATGCAAGGACCATACCCCGGCAGAAGAGACGGCGGCGCCTAATTCTTGCTGCAGCTGGCGGCGGTACTGTCGCCGCAGCTGTGGCGGTGAGCGACGATGCGAAGCACGCGGTCACGGCCGTTCGGCGCTCAGGGCGAGTCGTTACTACCCTTTACGTGAACATTCAGGAGTAAGTTGCCTCGATACTCCCGCGCGTGTCTGGCTAACGGCGCCTTGCTCAAAGTTACCGCAAAACGCTCAAGCATGACGCCAACGACCCCGACTACCCCGAGCTGCTCAAAGCGTGCCACAAGCGCTGTGCGGAGAGAACGCTATGGACCCTGGAAAAGAATGGCTCGATATTCATCAAGCTGGGACAACATCTGAGTAGCATGAACTACCTCCTTCCGACCGAGTGGTGCGACACGTTCATTCCGCTGCAAGACAAGTGCCCGGTGTCGTCGTTTGAGTCGGTCGAGGAGATGGTGATGAAGGACACCGGACAGTCTCTCATGGATTACTTTTCCGAGTTTGAAGAGACGCCCATTGGCGCGGCGTCGCTGGCACAAGTCCATCGCGCCGTGGTGAGGGAGACGGGACAGAAGGTAGCGGTCAAGGTGCAGCACCCCGCGCTGGACGAATGGGCCCCGCTCGATTTGGCTCTGACCCGATTCTCTTTTGCTACGCTGAAAAGATGGTTCCCCGAGTACGATCTTACATGGCTTGCCTCGGAGATGGACATTTCGCTTCCGCAAGAGCTGGACTTCCGCAGGGAGGCCGAGAATGCCATGCGGGCCAAGGAATACTTCTCCAATATCAAAGATGCGCCCCTGATCATCCCGGACGTCCTGTGGGCGGAACGTCGCTTTCTGGTCATGGAATACGTCACCGGACATCGGCCGGATGACCTTGAGTACCTTGATTCCCACGGCATCGACCGCGACGAGGTGTCTGCTGCTCTTGCACGTATATTTAACGAGATGATTTTCGGTACCAACGCCCCGCTCCACTGCGATCCTCATGGAGGTAACCTCGCCATACGCCACAACCCCTCCCGATGGGGCAAGGGAAACTTTGACATCATTCTCTACGACCATGGCCTGTATAGAGACATTCCCATGGACATTCGCCGATCGTACGCCAAGCTATGGCTTGCTGTTCTGGACGCGGATGAGGCACGCATGAGAAAATACGCAAAGGAAGTTGCTGGCATACCTGATGAGTATTTCCCTCTGTTCGCAAGCGCCATTACTGGCAGGGACTTCACTGCGGTGAGATCGGGTGTGGGAAAGCCGAGAAACGAGGCCGAGAAGGAGGCTATATCCACTGCTCTGGGTGAGGGAATGCTGCAGCAATTGGTCGATCTACTTGGCAAGGTACCTAGGGTCATACTGCTGATTCTGAAGACCAATGACCTGAGTAAGTTCCCGGGTGCAGAGTAAAGAGTGACAGGACTAACACCACGGCAGCACGATCGCTCGATGAGAATCTCCACACGCGCCAGGGACCGATTCGGACGTTCTTGATTCTTGCTCGCTACGCATCCCGCACGGTTTTTGAAGAGCACATGGAAGCTTTGAGCGGCAGCATCTTGCGGCCGAGGAACCTCTTCCGCTTTTTGCGTGCTTGGCTCTCGTATGTGAGAGTGGACTTGGAACTTAACTTGTATGAGTACTACTTGTCTCTCAGGCGGGTGCTCGGGTTGCATCCGGTGATGTAAATAAAACGCTTGAAGATAACATATTGTGGCGCTGAGAAGCACGCCCAGGACCGGCTTGCATGTGGTGGCGCTGGAGGAAATTTTTTTTCTTGTTTCTGCTAGGTATAGATGACTACGTTTTTTTAGATGCAATGGAAGCGAAGCGCAGGCTCTAGATGCTTATCAACAACTGACTGAGGCGGTTTAAGGGACGCCATGTGGGGCCGAGTGCTGGAACGCTGCTGATGGCTTCAAGACAAAGCATTTCAAAGCGCTGTGGACAGATTTTTATTCGGGTATTGCGGCACGGCAGGAAGCTTCTCCAGGCTGCAGAGGCGGTGATGCACGAATAAGGCACTGCGGGCTGCGGCACCGATAATGGCACAACGGGCTCCCCTCCAATTGTACGCACGAGCAGCGGCGTTGCGTCGAGGGCAGGCGGCTGGGGCCTGAGGAGGATTACATCATGCGCACAGCCTGGGGGAGACGTCAGAAGGCTGTGGAGGAAGAGCCCTGGTCAGGCGAGCGCGGAGTGATTGACGGCGTGTCCCCTGCGCCGCTGCGATCGCTCGCTGTCCATCGTATCCATCGTGCCTGTCCGTTGAGGTGCGCCGCTCTCGCTCGCTCCCGTCGCTCGTGCAGGACCGCCGGCCGGATTGATCGCATTAGTCGTAGGGATCCTTGCGCCTGTAAGCGCGCCCCGCCGCCGCCGCCGCCCAAAGCAAAGACCCAGTGCTGCCGGCGGACAGACTCGACACCTCAAAGATAGAATTGCACCACGCCTCCCACCCACGCAACCGCCCCCGACCGCTGCTCGCCGCCATCCTGGCCACGCAACCCGCCAACGTACGCCCGCCCGATCCTGCTCTGCTGAACGGTGCTGCCACAGCGCCCGCGGGCCGACGCCTGGCCCTTCCGCCGCCGTCGAGAGCTGCACAGCCCCCGGCTATCCTTGACACCGTCCTGCGCTCAACACGCGCTGACATAACCGCTGCGGCGCGCCCCAAGCCAGCTCCCTGAGAGCCCTCTGACGACAGTTCCCTCTCTACGTAAAACACCGCTCGCGGCACGGCCAGAGGTCACCCCAAGAGCGCGCCATGGAGCAGCCCGCCCAGCCCAACCTGCGCGTTACCAGTCAGTTCACCCCGCAGCATGCCATAGCTCCCGTAGCTGACCCGTCTTGCAGTCATCGCCGCCGATGGCCTGTACAAACGCGATGTCTTCAGTAAGCCGCCCGCCTCCCGCTGCCCAGCGCCCCGCTATTGACCACTCCTCAGGGTTCCCCGATCCCTTCGCGGTGGCAACGATAAATGGCGAGCAGACGCGCACCACCAGCGTCATAAAGAAGACCCTGAACCCGTACTGGAACGAGAGCTTCGACATGTAAGACGCGCGCCCCGGTTCCCTGACTCAGGCTGTCGTCGCTGACCCGCCGCAGGCGAGCAACCGAAGATAGCATTCTCGCCGTCCAGATATTCGACCAGAAGAAGTTCAAGAAGAAGGACCAGGGCTTCTTGGGCGTTATCAATGTTCGCATCGGCACCGCCATAGACCTGGATGCCGGCGGCGACGGTAAGCTAGACTGGTGGCCCATGCCACGCCGGTTTCAGCTCTAACAAATGCTACCGCAGAGATGTTGACACGCGACCTCAAGAAGTCAAACGACAACATGGTCGTGCACGGCAAGCTGATTCTAAATTTATCCACCAACCTGTCGCAGCCCATCAACCAGCCTAATGGTCCCCGGCCTTCCTCGGTTTCCGCGCATTCGTCCGTCAACGGTCTGCCTGCTACGAACAACCCCACTACCCCTCTGAGTGCCGGCCCGTCGAACTCTTTGCACCCCGATATGTATCCCGGAAACCGTCCCGGTGCTGCTGGTGCGTCTGCAGCCCGGCCAAACCAGCCTGCCCCAGCCGGAGGTCCGCCCAATGGAAATGGTGCCAGCAATACACAAAGAAACGCGGGATACAGTGCTTTTGAAGATGCCCAGGGCCGTCTGCCTGCAGGCTGGGAGCGTCGGGAGGACCATCTGGGACGCACGTACTACGTCGATCATAACACGAGGCAAACGACATGGATCCGGCCGGCCTCCAACGTCAACGAAGCACAGCAGAGGACTCAGATGGAGGCGCAGACGCAGCAAGAGCGGACGAGGCACCAGAACCGTATGCTTCCCGAAGACCGCACCGGTGCCAACTCTCCTACACTTTCCGAACGTCAGCCCTCGCCAGGATCTACTCCATCCGCAAGCGCAGTTTCCATGATGGCTACCGGAGCTACCACGGCTGGCACCGGCGAGCTGCCTTCTGGTTGGGAGATGAGACATACGCCTGAGGGACGGGCGTATTTCGTCGACCATAACACCCGGACCACTACCTGGGTTGATCCTCGTCGCCAGCAGTATATCCGCATGTACGGCCAGAATGCTCAGAACGGCACCATTCAGCAGCAGCCTGTGTCGCAATTGGGACCATTGCCCAGCGGATGGGAAATGCGCTTGACCAACACCGCCCGTGTCTACTTCGTTGACCACAACACCAAGACGACCACCTGGGACGATCCTAGATTACCGTCGTCCCTTGACCAGAATGTGCCACAGTACAAGCGTGACTTCAGAAGGAAGCTGATCTACTTCCGCTCCCAGCCCGCGCTTCGCATTGTATCTGGCCAGTGTCACGTAAAGGTCCGCAGAAGTCACATCTTCGAGGATTCGTACCACGAGGTCATGAGACAAAGCGCTGGCGATCTGAAGAAGCGTCTCATGATCAAGTTCGATGGCGAAGATGGTCTGGATTACGGCGGTCTATCCAGAGAATTCTTCTTCTTGCTGTCCCACGAGATGTTCAACCCATTCTACTGTTTGTTCGAGTACTCGGCGCACGACAACTACACGCTCCAGATCAACCCGCACTCCGGGATTAACCCCGAGCATTTGAACTACTTCAAGTTCATTGGCCGTGTTGTGGGTTTGGCCATTTTCCACCGCCGATTCCTGGACGCTTTCTTCATCAGTGCTTTCTACAAGATGATTCTGAAGAAGAAGATCACCCTCCAGGATATGGAGGGTGTGGATGCCGATTTCCACAGGAACCTTCAATGGACAATGTAAGTGGTTCATCACTCTACAATTGTAGATTTGCATTGTTAACGAGATTCCAGGGATAACGACATTGACGGCGTGCTTGACCTCACTTTCTCTACTGACGACGAGCGGTTTGGCGAGACTGTGACGATCGACTTAAAGCCTGGCGGCCAAGATATTGAGGTGACGAATGAGAACAAGAGAGAATATGTTGAGTAAGTGGAATTGATGCAAGGAATGTCGGGCCACAAGCTGACTCGGCCAGGCTCATTACGGAATGGCGTATCCAGAAGCGCGTGGAGGAGCAGTTCAATGCCTTCATCGCTGGATTCCACGAGCTGATCCCAGCGGATCTGATTACAGTCTTCGATGAGCGCGAGTTGGAGCTACTCATTGGAGGAATTGCAGATATCGATGTGGACGATTGGAAGAAGCACACCGATTACCGTGGCTACACCGAGAGCGATGAGGTCATTCAGAATTTCTGGAAGGTAAGAATGATCGCCTGTCTGGGTATGCCTGAACAGAAAGCTAAAACGCAATTTTAGTGTATCCGGAGTTGGGATGCTGAGCAGAAGTCGCGTCTGCTCCAGTTCGCTACTGGTACATCTCGTATTCCCGTCAACGGCTTCAAGGATCTTCAGGGCAGCGATGGTCCAAGGAGATTTACGATTGAGAAGGCGGGTGAGATCACGCAGTTGCCCAAGTCGCACACTTGGTAAGTAATTTGCTTTGTTGTAATTGGTCATGGTTTGCTAATGACAATATAGTTTCAACCGTCTCGATCTCCCGCCTTACAAGACGTACGAGGCGCTCAACCAGAAGCTCACGATTGCTGTCGAGGAGACTGTCGGTTTTGGACAAGAGTAATCGTGCAGGCTTGCTCGAGGTATGCAATGCACCTGAAGACTTGTCGCGGAGGAACCCCGAGATTGGCGTATACCCTGCTTCTTTGCCGTCGTCCGGACATTTCTTCAACTCACACATTCAACATTGTTCATCCATCCGTCCATCCTCAGGGCCCCATCTCGCGATCTTTTGTATAAAAAGAAAGAACGCTTTTCCATCGTGTACAGACCCAGGCGCAATACGCGGAGGCCAGGAATATCCGAATTGTTTCTCTTCTTGATACTTGACAAGCCCTCGCCACGATGACAGACAGCATGGGGAACAGATCAATAAGATGAGAAAGGCAGAGTGCGCAGCAGCGTCTTGGGGTGAGCTTGGAGGGGGGGAGAGACAGAGGCTGGATCCTCTTCATTAGCTTTTGAGAACGGCGAGGGAGAGGGGCCCGGTTTAAAACTTGGACGAAATCCTGGGACAACGGGTGAACGGATGGGGAGAGGAGGCAAGAGGGAGGGGGAAGGGAAGGGAAAATCATCTTTTTTTTCATCGTCATTTTTGGGCTGCTTTTTGTGGGAAACCTCGTCTGTTGTAATACATCGCTCCCGGCCCATTGGGGAATTAGTCGGAGAGAAAGGATATCGATCGTTGGTTATTTCTTTTAAAGACATCTGTTTTTTTTTTTTTCCCTTAGTCCTTCGCAATGATCATGGGGGCTGCGTCTCTTCTTCCCGCCCCTTTTCTTTCAAAGTTCCATTGGTGGTTGTCGTCTGTTGCTTCGTACATTTTTGCTTCTTACTTTTTGCTGCTCTCCTTCTGATTTTCCCTGGGTGAAATGTGGATGACCAATCTCTTTCCTTTATTTCACACTCTTTTGCTATCTTTCTCTTTCACGATTCTCTTCTACTTACGTGAAACTAACAGCCAATGACTACAGCATAGGAAGAAATGAACTCTTCCGAGCGAGAGTCGAGCGAGATGGGCAAGACGGAATGATGTGAGTGGAAGGGAGGGGAAAAAAAAAGAACAAAAAATGTGGGCGATGTTGAAAGAAAGGAGAATAGAAACGTATGATGGGATTCGGCGGGGAAGCAAAGGATGAAAGAAGAGAAACCGGCTGATAGGAGTGGAGGAACAGTGTCTTTTTATTTCCTTTTGTTCTGCTTTGTTTATTTATGGTGGTCTCTTGTTTTGGCTGTCGATTGCGGTCGGCGCTATGCTGGGGTATAGTATTTCCATAGTTTGCTCGAGTGCTTGAATTTGGCCATTCATGGCTTTCTGCGTGCGACATTTGCGTTTGCGATGCATACATTATTTGGCTGTCCATCCATCGTGTCTTTGTGGCTTTTTTTTTCTTTCTCCTTCACTTTCCTGTTGGTTTCGACGGACAAGATTATGGGCCTCGGGCTGTATGCACTTTGCAAGGTGAGAAAAAAGATTGTTTTTTTTTTAGCTACGGCATTGCAGTGACGTAGATGATTCTGCAGGTGAGAGCGATGGGAAAGTGGAAGAGATTGCAGGTAGAGAATGAGATATATTTATGCAGGATGTTATTCTGGTCTTCGCAGTTAGCAGCTAGATGGTTAATAGACGTTATTTTTCTCCCTCTTAACTCCAAGGCAAGTTATAGTAGCGGCGAAAGCCGGGCTCGGCTGGGCTATATGTGGCTTCTCTGAATGGTCATGATAGTATAGGTAAGGGTTGGGTTGTCTGATATAATAGGCAACGGGTGGGGAGATACCACGGGACGGACCGCGGGGCGAACAGTGTACGGGGTGGTGGGCAGTTTTCGGTCGGTATGCCGAGGGTCGGGTCGATCAGCAATGCCTTTGAGTTTATGCGCTAGATCAGGTTTGTGATAGATTGCGTCAAGAGCCAGGTTAGGGCAGGCGGAATGGAGCGCCGAGGTTGTGAATAGATTATGCCGGGTGGGCCAATCTCCACCGGCGTGTTGACTTGGAGCAGTGAAGTACTTGAACCGGAAGCGGAGGGGGGTTGGGTACAGCATAAGCATTTATGCACGCCACGGGAGGTGTATGTACGACATACATGTCACATATTGCTGCCGATCTCTACTCTGCGGAAGGACGGGTTCGCTCCAGGCGAGGCGGAGAACAAGGGTAGATGCGGAGAGCTAGCTGACCGGGGGAATGTTCTGCGCTATTCCACGGTTCGTTGCAAGGAGAGCCGAGCGGAGGATGCAGCCAGAAGGCATTGCGGGCGGCCAAGCGAGTGTTGCGGGTGGAGGACCGGGCGATGGGGCGCCGTGCGGTAGCTGCGCAGCCATCAATCCTTAACGACCAACCGCTGGCTCCATTCCTGCAGCACCTGTGCTCGCTCTTTCTTGATCGGATGACCGTGCGGGGAAGGCAGCCGACTCGCTCGTTCGATCTGCAGCAATACGATTGGCAAGTATTCGCTAGGCTGACAGCGTGGCCGGGAGCGGTCGAGGCGGATATGCGGCTCTTTTTTGGCGTGGCGGGCGAGAGGGTGCTGGGGCCCAAGAGAAGGTCATGGATGATGCGGGCGCGGGCTAGCGCGGACCGGGGCGGCATGTTTGAGAAAGAGCGAGCCAGCTGAGCACCACTAACGGGCGCGTCTCTCCGCTCTGTTTTCATCGCTGTTTCTCGGGCGCTGACACGACACGAACACGACGCGGTCGCCACCCAGGCGGCAGAGGGCCGTGTGGTCGTTCGTGTGTGGCTAAGAATATCCACCGCGATGCAGGGACGGCAGCTATACAAGGCGCTCCATGCGGCTAGCCCGCGCCCAGATTGGCCCGGTAAACTCAACGAGAGGCTGCGGCATATGCACGGATACAGACAACACGAAGTATCCCGCCCATGTGATGGTGCTGCTCCCTGGCACGCCCGTCGTTCCACTAGCTGCTGTCATATCCATTTAGTCGCCCTCCCCCCAGCGCCCTGATTCCTCTTCCCAACCTCTGCTCAACCCTGAAGCACGCCCATCCACTCGCTCTGGGCCCCAATTGATTCAAAAGACCCCATTCCGCCTCAACAAACAATAAACATCCTTTAATACATTCCACCGCTCCCAACTCCGACCTCCACCGACCACCACAATGCGTTTCACCGTCGCTGCCGCTCTCCTCGCCTCGGCCGGCTTCGCTGCCGCCCAGAGCTCCACCTCGTCGGCCGCCAGCTCGACGTCGACCTCGGACTGCGCTGCCGCCAAGTAAGTCCCCCGTTGGGCTCGACATTTACCACCTGCTGACCGCCACAGCATCGTCGACGCCTGCGTCTCCGGCTACCAGCCCCGTACTGAGGCCTGCGGCGGCAACGACTGGGAGTGCCTGTGTGCCGCCTACACTGATCTCGCGACGTAAGTTTAACACTCAACCGAGCTATCCGGGAATGGGCGAAGGCCACGAGACGAAACTTTAACTAACGAAACAACCTTGTTTTTTCCAGCTGCTACAACAACTGCCCCAACGACCCCCGCAAGTCGTCCGTCCAGAACCAGGTGACCCAGTTCTGCAACGCTGCCAAGGCGTAAGTCTGCCTCCGACGAAGCCGTGTGGACCCGCTTGACTGACATGTGAGATTTCCCGCAAACAGCAACAGCTCCACCTCCAAGTCCTCTTCGGGCACTGCTACCTCGACCGCGACCAGCACCGGCAGCACCTCTGCCACCGGCACCGCCGCCTCGGCCTCGGGCTCCTCGACCTCGAGCAACTACGACTCGCTGTCGGGCGAGACCAGCTCCGCCTCGTCGAGCGCTTCGGCCACCGGCGCCGCCGCTCCCATCCACGTCCCCGCCGGCGGCGCCCTCGGCCTCGCCCTGGGTCTCGCCGCCATGCTGTAAAAGTATGCATGTCAGAGCGCATCTAGTTTCCAGTAGTCATTGATGGCGAAGCTCGAGTGATCACACACAAAACGGAACGAATTTGGGAGGGTCGTAATGCATAATGCTTTGGGTCGGGTGTCTCTCTCTCTTCTAGCCTGTATATTTTCCTGATCTATTGGGGGTGGGGAATGACAAAAGGCTTCGTGCTCGATGCATCTAATCAAAAGTGTTGACATCATTGTTCATCTATCTTGCTTGCACTGCTCTCCCTACTTCCTGTTCCCAAAGGAAAGAAAGGGTTGTACCTAATATCACTGCTTCATCTCATGCTTGGGCGGGTAATTTCTCACTCCATTACGTGATGGCATTCGCTCTCAGCATTGTTGTCTTGTGGAATGCTTCGTTGCTACAGCAGGACCGGAACGCTCCTTTGCCACAAGTGAGACCCGTGCCAGATCACCACTCACCTTTTGTTTTTCTGAAACATTTCGCAGAGAAATATTACCGGAGCCGGGAAGAGTTTCAACTTCATCGCCGTAACATCAATGGGTAAACCCCCTCAACCATCCCACACATCTCAATCTCAGGCAAGAAACAAAGCGCATGAAACTGCAAAGGCCCGAGAATGCGGTTCTTCCGTGCCTTCAGCCGAGTTTACCGAGGAATTGGACGACTCGCAGGGATTTTCGTGCAACCGTCGGGTGAAGGTGAGGGAGGGTGCGAGAAGAGCCAGGCTCGGGTCGGGTCGGATATCGTTTTCAAAGTTACACTTTCTGTGAAACGTCGGGTTGGCGAGACGAAAGGTTGGTGAATCAGCACTTTTTTTGTTAGGCTGGTGTGTTTGGGCGGCGCTTGCATCTTTGTCTTGGGTGTGCGTTGCATGGTTGGAGAGGGGAAATCGCCCCGCTCCTGTGAGACTTCGGGAGAAAAATGCACTTCTGGAAACGGGGTCTTGCAGATTCTTTCCTGTGGAGCTGTTTCAGATTAGTTGAGATGCATTTTGGATGCCGCTCTCTTACACATCATTAACCTGGTTCAGGGTCTTGCTATCTGACCGTGGATCGTCAGTGTGAGATGGTATCCGGTAGATGAATATGCCGGTTTCGCTTTCCCCGTGGCCACTCTGTACAATTAATGCTACTGTGTAGAAGGAGCCAGTGAGCGTTGAGCTTGCAAATCAAGACAGTCATGAGGACAAAATTTTATCCTTCGATATCAAAGTGTTGGCACACTAGTGTGTGCTGTACATGGAATATCATACGCCATAATATTCTTCGGATTTCCGACTACTTCAAGATCTTAAGCTACTTCAATAAGCTAGCCGGATTACAAATATAGATCTGGTGTGTTTTTTCTACATCGATCGATGCCCTTCACGCAAAAATCCGCCCATATCTTGGACTACACTGACCGTTATTGAGTGATCATACATATTACTAAGAATGTTTGAAAGTTAATGACACATCAGCACCTATTTATCAATCACTCATCCGTATCGGCATCTTGTGATGACGAATCAAATTTACCTCAACGCAAACTTTACTTAGACCGGTTATACCCTTAAAGACTGGAAAATCAAGCCGGGCACAAGCAAACTTCCAGTAGATCTCTGGCAAACAAGCCAGCAATCAGTCAACCAGGTCAGTAAAAGACCGGTAGATAGCTGGTCACAACCACTATGCGATCTTCTCAATCAAAGTAATACTGGGGGCATCGGCGCTCCCAGAGATGAGAAGGGTTGCGGGTGCCATCGATTGTATCATTTGTATCTAATTCTCTCACATTGTGCACATCGGGTGAGAAGCGTTCCGGACATCCGTCACGCATATGACGCAATTGTACCCAGTGCCATCTGCACAAGCCAGTCCATGAGGTCCAGTCATTCTCAGGAGCAGAGTTCATGCAAGAGAGTTCCATGGGCGCGCTGTAAATCTGCATTCTTCTCTCCAGACATTGAATCCGTTTCCCAATTTCGACATCGACCACTGCCCAGCTAGCAAATACCTTGTCAACGTGCTGTTATTTTATTTATGAGATCCATGGCAGATTGGCCCAACAGTCCCGAAAGCAAGCATATATCCGGCGAGAATCGTAGAAAGGCATCATTCTAGACGATACGATATGAAAATTGCATTCTTATTAAAAGATATCTAGTCAAATGGGAAGTCCGGGGCCCCGCACAAAATGTTTGGCGCTCTGAAGCCGAGCTAGACGGCGCCCAAGAGCTCGTCCAGGATTATGACGCACTCCACCCGCTGCCCGAAGGAGACCCCCGCGTCGGGGTCATCGCGCAGCCGCTGCTGGATAATGCGGACTTTTTTGCAAATTGCCTGAGGGAAGTCGGACTACCAATTATCTCCCACCCTGCGGAGCAATCGTTCACGGACCAGATTAGCACAGACAGATTCCACCACACTCACATGATCTTGCCAGACAGGCGGGTTGGTGCCCCGTGGTGAGAAAGAAGGCCACGTTACAGTATTTAGCCTTTCAACGGGTTCGTTACGGGCCCTCAACAGTCTCGAGCGACTTCATTGATCCGAGTCTTTTGGCAACGTCATTCGATAGCGACGTTAGCAACCAGCCGAACGACATCGCAACGCGTGGAAGGCCCGAGACTCCAGCTACTTCCAGCAACACAGCACGAGAGCGCACAGCCAGTGAGATGATCAAGCCACTTGTAACTACACCAAAAGCACCATCTAGCTTCAAGCCGACGTACTCGACGCCGGAATCTCGGCTACGGGAGGCTACGCACCCAGACCCTGGACCTTCCAGAAACTGTGTGTCTTATATGAAATGGTTCATTACCGGGGATCGGGTACTTGGTTTGTACCGGAGCGCGGCAATGGCTGTAGCGCCGCCCTTGTGTGTTCTAATGCTCCTCCCGATTGGCTTCCAAGGAATAAGCGGTGGTCTGCGCTGGATCTTGACGATTTAAAAGCCAAAGCTCCTATAGGCTAGAAATTGAATAAGAGCTTTAGTGAGGCAACACGTCTGCAAAACGGCAGATGTGAATCGTCTGCCGCAAAAGCGGTATGGCTTCACATATGCGAAAGTGCCCGCGAGGATATGCACGAAGAGTACCCGCGGTAGCGTTCAAAGAAGATCCTTATGCGATCATTTAACGTACCACTGAAGTATAATCAGCCGCTACTTCTAAGGTGTCTATTTGCAGGGCATTCTCCACAAAGGTCGATAGCTACGGGGAGGTATTTTATAGCCAACCAAATGAGATCTGATTTCTGTAGCTCATTTCCAAAATATTGAAAATTTAAATAGCACTCGCTAAAGATGGATAGCTTACCGTGCAGGCTAACAGCTTTGTAAAGAGGCCGCCGACCTAATTAAAACATTTTCCTTTCCTTAGTAATTTAGTAGGTTAGGCAGCCTGCTTAGTAACTCCGGTAGAGCTCGATGCTTTCTATTTCCTTTGGCTAACGTCCCGATGTTCTTATAGAGAGGTGATTGAGGAAAGTTATCGCTGTCTCAACCCGGCTTCTCTAGACTCTAAATAGTAAACGGGCCTCAGTAATTACCTTCTATCAGTCTCTACTTCGAATAATCGACTAAACCTAGAAATATATTCAGTTGTCTTGCTAGCCTTGTTGATTCCATCAACATGTTCTTGCTGAGTTAGGTATTATTCTAATCGCCGACTAATTGCCCTATTATCTTTAGACGGGCTTCGTTACTTAGAGCAGTTTCTAGGGTAACCGCCTTAGGCCGGTCGGCTTGAGATATTCTGCTGTCGAACTACTCACCTGTCTTAAGCTGGCGTATTATACTTGCCTAGGCGTTAAGTAAGGCGAGTTTACGTTCCGGCTGCTTGATATCTTTTTTAGAGTCGAATTCCCGCTCGAATTGCTTTAGAGATGTAGTATATATATTGCCTACCTCGACGATTTTACGTCTGGTTTCAGCAGTAGTGTTCTTTAAATTCTCTGTTGACTCTATGCCAGTCCCTCTCGCCAGATCTGCGAGGAGTTGTGGGAACCGATCTATTATCGTCTCTTTCGCCGTCCTATAAGGAGTGCCTGAAATAAGAGCGGGTTTAGCTCGTGCTATACTCGTCAACTAATGCCCGCAACCCGAATTCGCGTTGGGGTGGGTATGAAATTCGTTGATGACGATGCGACTGCAACGCATGGTCTCTGTTCCTGCGATTTTCTGGACATTGCCAATTATTACGCCGGCTATCGTAAGAATGCTATAGCGAGGGGGGTCCGTTGCGTCATTTTCCTGAAGCTCATTTTGAGATCCCCATCAGCAAGCGAAGACCTGCCTTCAGATCAACGAGTTTGTTGACTTGCGTAAGCCACTGTCCACTGTTCGACGGATGGACGTAGAGCAGGAATGTGCAGCAAGAGTATTCTTCATCAAACCTCTCTCCCCAACTCTTTGCCGAGCTTCCGCTGACCCAGCAACATTCAAAACCGGGTCCGGTATCTTTCTTGGGATATTGCTGTCGGTCGATTCTTTGGAGAGGTAGCGACCATCAAGACACCTCAGGCGCTCTTTACACCCACAGGACAGCTTCAACGTCGCATCCAAGTTCTTCTTGACCACATAGTTACATCAACAGCAGATGTTCTATAATACCGCGGCTTCTTCGTCGTTGTAAGTTGAACTTAGAAATGCTACCTTTGAGAATGATGCGGTTTACAGACACTCCTATCTGTATTTAAACACTTCACCATATCTGACCGTAAGGCCATCTATTTCGCATAGAACAATTCCTTGCGGATACACCGCTTTGTCTTCGAGCGGCTAGAGTAGTGGCAGAGATAACTTTAGGAGTTGGTGCTACACGTGTCTCGTGTTAGTCCACGTAAAGTTTATCATTTTAAAACTTCTCAAATTAAGACTAGAGCCGCGGCTTGTGTAATTTGAGCGTCAGGATACGTTCCTTAGCAATAATGGATAAGGTCTATGTGTTCAGTATCCGCGTTGGCTAGGGATCAGCCAGTCAAGTCCTAACACGGATCTCATTCCCATCAGGACACCTGTAGCTACATTTCATATTTTTTGTTATTTACATGTATTGCTTGGCCTATCATTGCCAATACAGCCTCAATCAGTAAAGTGGCCTGCCAAAGTAGAGACGGAGACAGTGATGAATTTGGTTACGTCCGCATGAGGCATGACGGAGGTAAAATGTGCTAAGAATATATAACATGGATAACAGAAGGCAGCAAATGAAAGATAACGGTATTACTAGGAGTTCTTACAGTATTTCCTTGACAAGAGGGATTCCAAAAGTTACAAGTCATTAGCAGCTCACTAGCTATTTTGCCATTAGTCGAAGCACTCGAGGGAATCTCCGCTGAGAGATCTGCTGTAAACTATCGGCATCTCCCTCAGGTCAAACAAGGGCAGTGGGCGTTTACTCTAGCTTAATTCTAGGTAAAAAACATCTGCCTAAAGCTAGATAAGCTTCAAAGGGTGTGTAGTCGCAGAATCCCGGCCATGGTCAAATCGCTGCACGCGTAGTCATCACTTAGCCTTCAACCAAAACCAGCTCTCGTCATTCTCGGTCAGCATCTCAGCTTTCAACAGAATTCAAAGAATTCGAGACAGCCACGGACGCCAAGCCGCGCGGCCTCGAGACATGACCGGCGCGAAGTGAAGCGGGCACACTGCGCTGCTCCACCATCCGCACCATTCGGCAGCCACAAAAAGCTACCTGTTAAGCCCCGAAGCAAAATGCTTACGAGCCCGGACCGATTGGGCTCGTGCAAACTCTGCTCCATCGCATGTTTCACGCAAGCAATGGCGCAAGTAGTGCGGCCGCCAAGACACGGTATGGCAGTCGGGGAGGCCCAGCCCACGTCCGCTCCGTCCGTCCCGCTTGCCTCCCAGACTTCCCGTCCCTTCAGAGAGGGATGACTATGAAGAAAAGTCATTGCCGGTCAGGGTGCGTCGGCGGCCACAACATTTTGAGGATGCAAAGAGAGACGGTTCAGGATTAGCATGCGTAGCTGGATGAACTGACTTTTGCCTGGTCTATGCCCTCAGCCAGACGGCACCAAAATGGTGACTACTGTGTGCCGATCCCGCCATCATGGCTACGACAGAGCGCGTGGTTTGACCGATGCGGGTCTCCGAGTCACGGCGTACAGAATGAGGTCGAGCAAAGGGGCGGTACAACGCTCGGATGCATTCACGATGCATTGGGCAAGGTGTCTGGTCTATACCGTTGGTTAAGTCGTCAAGTAGTGCATCTCTCTATGCAGCGAACCGTCGTCGGTCATCGGAGACGGGGGTCGAGGTAGCTAAATTCTTCGGCCGAAGGGTCAGGAATGCCGTCTACGAGGTCGCCACCAGAAGCATCCGCTTCCGCGGCTGCCGGAGGCCTTGCGTGATGTTGACGCAGAGCGTGGAACGCATGCCGGCCAACCACAATATGATGATGCACAGCCATTGCGCAGCCACTGCGAACCCCTGGTAGGCGTCAGCGGCAGCACCGTTGTTTGAACGAAGAAGTGTCATTGTGGTAAGATGCACTAAGAGCGGCAATCATCATCCCGCCAACCCCGCCGAAGGAATGAGCTTGGATTGCGGCCTCGTCTACCTCGCTCTCCCGTCGTCAGCGGCTTGCGCGCACCAAGCATCAGAGCCAGAACGCCACCCATGCGCACTCGCCAGGTGCGCGGCGGCTTGTTGCAGCAAAGCAAGGCCACAACGTGCTACTCGAAGGCATGCATATCGCGTGCATGCAAGCGCCCTGTAAAAGGTCCGTTCCTAACCGGCTGCATAGCCGCCAGGGAAACGATTGGATTCTCTCCGTTTGTGAAGGACCGACGATGCAGAGCGGGCTTTGGCAAAATACAACAGGGCAGAATGCTCTAAACCCCTTCGTACGAAGAGTGCAGGGAGCCCAAACGTCCCGTTCCCCGCCAAGGTCGGGAGCCCACTACTGTAGACTACCGGATGTAGGGCCCCCCAATACCGTGTCGCTGCCCCCTTCTTCTCTGTCATCCCTAATCGCCTTCCCTTTCGTCTCTTCATTGGTCTCTCGCGACTACCCCTCCAACCAACAAGAAACACCCCAGATAGACGAGCGTCAGGCTAGTCTTTCAAGCACGAGGCAAGCGAAACGTGCCACCAGTATAAAATCTCCGGTCTGGAGTAACTTGCATGCACTAAACACCCCCGCACTCGTTCCTTACCACGTTCAGACTCACCTGCATTAGTGGCTACCGGCTATCAGTCCAGCCCCCGGAGATTCTTCAAGGGAGGAGGGTGGGGTGGAACTGTTCGTCGTGCATCCGCCGCTGATTATTCCGATCTCCTGTGCTTCCTATCCAGACGTTATGCGCCGCCTCCGACAGGGGCGCTTCTCGTCTCCCGCCTTGGTTCTTGTGGGCGTGAGAGACGTTGCCGATCAATAGCACCCCCCTGCTCCGATCTTTGCCTCTCTCTCGTGTGCTACCTGATCGCAGCATAAGATAATGCCATCATAAAGGTCCGCCGCCGCCGCCACCACGGCGGTGAGGTGAGCAAGCAACAGCACTCAGCACTCTGTCGAGCATAGAGAAGAAAGTCCAGATCAGTGGCCGAGCCTTGAAGAAAGCGAATCGTGCCCACACCTGATGTATCTGGGACAAGGCAGACATCTGACTGTTTCGGCCGATCGTTGACACCAACTCTTTCGTACGCTTACGCGCGTGTTAAAGCCACATGCCACTGCAATACCGATCGTGACCCACTTCCCGTGTTCCCTTTGCTCCATTCCCTCTCGGAGCCTTCGCTGCACGAGCCGTCGCGCGAGTAGTCGAAAAACGGAGGGGTCGATCCGGCCCCCAAGAGTTCTAGAACCCTGGAGAACCCGGCCTCGGTTCTGGCCCCTTGCATGCAATGCAACGATTCACACAGAAGGCGAAAGTGAACGAAGCTTCTCCTGAAAGGAGGAAGAGGGAAGATGACTTTTCCGTACTTCTGTACAGTAAGACCTAGTAGACCTTGAGCGGGCGTGCAGAGCAAGTGATACAAGCAAGCATCCGCGCCCTACTCTATGCTGCCGTAAGCTTTCGCGGCAAGAGCGGAGCAGAAAGAAAAAAACAAAAGGCCACTTGCTTCCCTACCGTGAGCCGCATCGGTAGCTGGTGATAGTACCGAACAACAGACGGCCGGTCGAAAAAAAAAGGAAAAAGAAATCCCAACGTTTGATCGCTCCTGCTTGTGCTCCAATGCAACCCCTTGATCTCGTCGTTACCCCAGTACCCATTTCTATGCAAGTTTGTACCCCGCCGATGCTTCCTTTCCCTGCCCCTCTGTTGGGAATGTTGCAAATATAATGTGTAGAATAATACAGTCGAAGAAGTAAAATATGTGCGGATGCACTCCACCAGCTCTCCCGATGCTGAGAAGAGAGCAGCAATGCTGAAGGGGGTACTCGATGTGAACATGTAAACAAAAACCCACGCCGTGTGCCCGTGAACAAAGGAAACCGCCCTATCCAAAAACCGATGCTGTAAGACGCCCAATATGTGACACAGGATCGTGGCCGTTCTTAGCAGGTGGCGCACGTCAAAGCCAGGCTCTAGGCTTTGGAGGAGCAAATCTGGTGTGATGCATGACGAAGGAAATAACAAACGAAAAAGCCGCCCTTTCCGCTCTTTCTGAGTAAACGCCGGGGTGATCCTCGATGGTGACAGAATTACAAGTGAGTTACGGTGGTTGGTTGATGTGTCGGTCGGCTGGTGGCTGGTGGTGTAGGATTCGGACCGTAACACGTGGATCTATGAGGTTGCTGTGATGTGTGATCTGTTATGCAGCCTGGCGAGGCGACTGCGTGCGTGTGCACAGCGGCGAGCGCGGCTCGTCGTCAGGAACCCAGCCCTGGAACCTGGCCATCCAGAGCACCGAGCGCTCGTCGAAACCGTCCATGAACTGCTCGTCCAGAACGCGGGCTTTCTCTGCCGCATACGTGTGATAATCTTCTTTGATCTGCTTGTTGCTCTTTCCCAGAACTTTTTCAAAACATGCTACCACGCAGCCGGTGCGATGCTGTGGTTTGGTTAGTCGGAATCCAGCTTCTAGATAAGGCACGTGCGAGGGCCATCTGCTTACCTTTCCCTTATTGCAGTGGATAAGCAGAGGGTAATTGCTCCGGTTTAAAACAACCGTGAGAGCCTGCACCATCGCCTCTGGTGGTATGCAGACTTGACCCTTGTTTGGCGGGATGGAAACACGGTAATGGCGGATACCATTCTCGCAGATGAACTTGGTGTAGGATTCCGGACAGTCATCGACGAGAGTGCTTCAAAACGAGTCAGCAAAGCAGCCCATTTTCCTTGCAAATCCACCGATGTTGAAAACTTACAGTATGCTCTTCAGTTTCAAGCTCTGCAAGTAGCCGTAGTTCTCCTGCTTCGGATAGGCGCTTCGGAAAATCTTGCCATCGACGACCGTGCCGAAATTGTCCGGCGGCGTGAAGCGCGACAGGCATGCGGGCGTCTTGTCCTCGAAACTTGAACGCCTCGAGGACATTGCGGTGGAGCTTGCTGTCGTCACGGACGAGCTGACGGCTGTGACTAAGAGCACGGGAGTCAGAGGGTGTTCGCGCCACCTTGAAGCACGGTGCGTTTACCTGCTTCCGCTTGGACCGTCCCTTCGCCGTCGATCATTCCAACGTTCTTCTCCTTCGTCTCCTGCGCACGCGATGACATTGGCCCCTTGGGGCCCGGCGCAATCCATCCCCTGAGTGCAGGCGTTGCCATGTCGGTGCCTTCCACGAGCGTGTCCACGCGGGTAGGTTTGGCAGCGGAGTCGTCGATGATGTTGTACATGTCGGCCCCAAAAGTCGAAGGACAGCACGCTGATCTACAGTCTGGTGCCGAGACGCACAGATACACGCGTGGTGTCGGTCGCGTGAGTGCGTGTTGGTGAAGGTCGGAGAGGGCGGAGATGAAATAGGTGCTTAGAGACGGCGTGGGACTGCGGGATGGGCGGGCGGAAGTGCGATGTGATGGTCTTGAAGCGGCCGCGAGGTCACCTCAGCTGCGAATTGCTGCGCTTCTGGGGCGCGGTGAGGGGAGCCATGGTGTGTGTGTGTTGGCGAGGGCAAACGGTGGGTCTGAGTTCTTGGTCGCGAGGCTGCGGCTGGCCGGGTTGATGAACAGCTGGGGGAGGGAGGAAACAGGGCTAGGAGGCGGGAGTATTGCGTGGGCCAGCCGGGGTTGTGCGGTGGGCTGTCGTTAAAAAAAGGTGGTGAGAGCTGGACGCGGGCAAGCGTACCACGGAGCGGCGTGGTCAAAGAGTCCGGCTCGCTGGCGCCGTCTTGGCCGATCCGACGCGCCCTTGGAGGCGTTCGGGAGCCTTCCAAGGCGCCGCAGGACCGAGACCACAAACTGCAGTCAAGGGGCCGGCGCAGCGGGTTCCCTCATCTAGATGGCACCCGCAGCGTCACCGTCGAATATTTTTGTTGGTATCCCTGCCAGCTGGCCCTGCACGCGAACACAAGACGCGGCTAATGAGTGGAGGTATGACGGTGCCAGCGCGGCGTTAGGCCAGCGTTGCGCGCCGAGAAAGGCCGTCCGCGTCCGTTCCTGCCGGCGCCGTTCCCTGATTCACGACCCGACATCTTCACGTGCAAGCTGCGAGGCGATCGGCGCATACTCCCCGGCCATCTCCGCAATCCGCTTGCCTCGAACCGGCCGCGCTAGCAGGTATCGTGAGCGTCGTTCGACCTCCGCAACACCTCGCAGCTCCTGCGAGTACAAACTGCACGCGGTCCCCGCATCGCAATTTCATCTAGATCCATCATGGCTCAGTCCACTGCAGAACAGCCGCGCTCGGGCGCCCGCACCCCCACCCGCTCGTCGCGCCGCTCGCACCCCAACATCCAGCAGCTGTCCCTTGCTCCGCTGAGCTCCCAATTCCAGGATGAAGCTGCCGCCACCGACCTCCATTCCCGCAGCCCCCACAGCTCCTACATCCAGCCAAAGACAGCGCCAACCACTCCAGGCATCCTCAGCCGTAGCCCGTCGCGCCCACGCCACAGCGGCCACGTCCACTACGTGCACGACGGCTACTTTGGCGGCCCGCTGAGCCCTGCCGGCACCGGCATCAACAAGTCCAAAAGCGACGCCGCCCTGCACGGCGACATTGCCTACTTCCCACGCCACCACCGCCGCAAGCACACGGCCCCGCCAGGCTCTATCGTGAACATTAGCAACACTGGCCGCAAGCTCACTACGCCGAAACAGCAGCACCACACCCGCGAGGCCTCGTCTGACTGGCTGTATCGCGCCGGGCTCGCCATTGCCTCGGAGACGCGCGAGTCCAAGGGGCAGTCGTGGCTATCACGCCGCGAAAGCAGCACCTCGCTCGTCCGGCAGCAGGGCGACGGCGATGGCTCGGACGCCGACGAGGCCGGCAGCAATGCTGCTGGCTCCGGCCACCCGTCAAGAAGTCATAGCACATTCTTCGCCGACGACGAGTACAGTCCCATCACGCCCAAGAGCCGCGGCGGCAGCCGCACCGGCAGTGCCTTCAACAGCCGCCGTGGCAGTAGGGTCGGGAGCAGGGCTGAGCTGCGGGCCTTGACCGGACTCACAGCCATGCCGCCAGGCGACAGCGTTGAAGAGGGCTATCTGGGCGACCAGCACCAGCCTGGCATCCCGCTCGAGCCTGACTTCGTCGAGTCGGACGAGGAGGGGCTAGGCGACGAGGAAGAGGTCGCCCGACTCGCGCAGGAAGGTGGGTACGGACTTGGGGGATGGATGGAGAAGTTGATCGGCTGGTCGTTGTTCAGCGTTGAGGAAGACGGTGAGGAGACTGACGAGGAGGATCAGGTCACAGAGCAGGAAACGCAAGGTGAAGATGCGAAAAAGCGGCGGGAAGAGGAGCTGAAGCGTCGGCGCGAGGAAAGGGCTCGCATCCAGGCAGCCAGCAGCGCGGCAAAGGAGAAGAAGGAGCTGCCGCAGCCTAGCCAAGGTGAGGGCGAGGGTGGCTGGCAGGATGCCGCGTGGTTGTTGAGCGTGGCGTCGAAAGTCTTACTGTGATCGAGACCTGCATTTTCGTAATTGCCGCGTTCTATTTCTTGATTGCGCCAAAATAAGATTAAAGATTGACGTAACGAACTTACGAAGAGTATATTGGAAGGTAGGGGTGGAGTATCAACGCGTTATTTTGTGTTCAACAAATTCGAAAATGACAATGAGGTCTTTAATGCACTGGTTGGGAAGGTAGGAAAGTATTCGGTCGCCCCGTGCGGGTATTGCTTTTCTTACCATTTCCGATCGCTCCGAAGAGAAAAAGGAAATACATGGGAGAATTAAGTCTAGCGATTGGCGGCGCCATCTGCGATAGCGTTCTTTTAGCTCACAGCGGATGCCGCGTTTTTTGCCTTTTCTTTTTTTATATTGCTTTTCCTCCCTGAGGGAGGTCGTGGGATCCGAGAAATGTGGCTTGCAGCGCATGCGTTGTCAGCAAGAGGCGGCTTGAGAAACCAGGTCGTGAAGCGAAGGAGCCTTGGACCCTTTCGATGGCTTGATGGCTTGCCGCCGGCGCATAAGGATTTCTCCTGCTTAGTTGAAGGACAACAAACGCCACGCGGGACGGGAAGGCATATGCAAGGTGTCGCGCTAGATGTGCAGACGGGAGAAGAATAGAAGAAGCAAAGAAATTAATGAGGCGCTTGGCCGGGAACGGGAGGCGGGACGTAGAGCTAGATCGCGTGTCCATGCGCACAGCGGAAAGGAGTGGAGAGTTCCGGAGCAGCCGCATGATTTATTATCACTATCATTTTTATTATTAATCGCTGCAGTCGCGATAACGAGATCCATCGCCTTCGAGACTGTTGTGTTGATGGCTGTGGGGTCGGATTCGGATGCGCTAGGGGATTCGGAGTCGATGTATCTTTGCTCGGACGAGGCGGTGCCTAGCTTCGTCCGAAGTGTCCGTCGCTGTCGCAGGTTCGCTCGGGGAGATCAAACACCGATAACGGAGATTGACTACGCTTCAAACATTGCGGCGCAAACGGATCACCGAGGCGAGCAAATAGGGCTGGGAAGAGGATGCGATGCCCAGCATCATCCCGGAGATACCGGAGCCCGATCACTAAGCACTCCACGGTGGTCATTGCTACCCGCGTAAGCCTTCTGCCCATGTCAGTTTGTGAAGAAAATGAGACAGCCCATCGGAGTATCTGCACGAGAGGGTGTGATGACTGAGGAAAAGGAGGTAGGTCCGCGACTCCGGCTGAGTGGGTCCAGAGCGGACGAGGCTTGCGTGGTTGGGGCATCTTGGGATGCAATTGGATGCATGGATGAAGGTCTAGAGGGCTGTTTCCATCCAACTCCGCTTAATGCTACGGTGTGCTTGTGCGAAAAAGGAAACTAATGATATATTCCACGCCACATGCTACCCCCGTAGCTTCCCCATCCCCCATTGCCCAGAGCTAATTCGCTTCTTGTCAGCCAACCCAGGCCGTTCGGCATGGCCACGAGTGGCGTCAGACCCGTCATCGTCCAAGCACCAAACGATCACATCGCCCTTTCGGCGAGAATCGTCATGAACATGGCTGTTGAAGCCGCGCCAGCATTCTTTGTACTTTGTCTCCTGCAGAAAATCGACGAGAGTGCCTTCAAGTTGCTGGAAAAAGACAAGATACGTGGGCCAAGGCCTCTTTGTCTGCATCTTACCTTCATCCTTGTCTTTGCTGACATGCCCCTTGCTTCGGATGGTGCCGACACTCTCCATGTGCTGACCTAGCCACGCGACGGGACCAGGATTAATGTAGAATTCGTCTGCCTCATCGAGGTAGCTGGCACGTCGGTCCAACGGCACGTCAATGGGCGGCTCACATGTGAGAGCCCAGGCCTTGATCTCTGGGTAAACCAGATGTGAGCGCCAGGGTGTGCTATGGCAAGGCATGAGAAACCCCACAGTCGTCTCTCCACCCAGAGCTCGGCGTTCGTGGTGGTGCCGAAGCATGTGCAGGACTTCAATGACGCCACGTTGGTGTACCTGGGAAGCGTAACCTGCCACGAGAACGTTGATGGTAAGAAGGATTCCCAGCACGGCCTTCTTACAAGGCGTGAGAGGATGGAAGAAAGACGACGTGGGCTGTGCAGCAAGCACATGGAGCATGGGTAACAGAGGGTATATGAAGCGGACCTCTTTGTGAGCGATGAGGCTCAAGGCGCCTACCATAGCTACGCATGTCAGTGCAAGGTATGACAGCAGGGGGCTGGAACGGCCATGGCCGCGGATCGCCTGCTGGAAACCATAAACAGCGAACGGCAAGGCGGTAGTAAGGAGCAGCGGCAGCCCTTCGGTTAGGTAGTAGTCGGGTCTGTTGGTGCCGTAGAACACGGCCAGCGACTTGGCAATATTGAAGTGGACGAAGCGAAGGGGCGGGAAGGTCCACAAGCCGTAGTAGCATCGATCCGCAAGGATGGATAGTGTAAGAACGCCACAGCTGGGGAAGGGAACCCTCGTGCGTCAGCAACAGTGAAATTATGAGGTCGCATTTGCAGCACGTCGATAGGGTCTGGTGGTACACTCACCCGCAGAGCACGGCCCATTTGACTAATGCAAGGCGCTCACGCGTCGAAGCTTGCCACAACGTGGGTGCGGAAATGCATATCCAAATGAGAGCGTTCGTGGGCCGCAGAACACAGGCCAACGCGGCGGCAAGCAGCGACAGTCTCAGACTATGCCCCGGTTAACGTCAGCCACTCGTCCGTGCTGGCCCGAAAGGGCAGTCAGGCCAGCGGCTTACTGAAAGATCTCCCCAGAATGAGCGGAAATAGGACGCCGTGCAACGTCTTTCTGCACGCTAGCCGGGGCGGCTGTTGAGCTTGAACAGGACGTCAGCGGCCACTGCCATGGCCACCAGACCAGTGCGGCGGCCGTCAGCGTCGTCTCCAGGCAGTTTGACAGCGTGCGCGTGGAGCAGAACCATTGCCAGGGACTGCATGCCGTCAATGCAAGCTGGGAGAAGGATCAGCCGAAGTGATTGATCGCCTGCGGGCTGTGTCACCATACGCTTGCCCAGGCGGCGCTGCTCTGGGCTCCGAACGCTCGTTCGGCCAGACGCCAGGTGAAGTAATCGGTCGACGCGGCGAGGGCGGCTTGCGTGATTTTAGGTGCAGCGATGAGCAGCTCAGCCCTTAGCGCCAGAGGCACGCTGCAAATACCCGAGATGGCGGACACCCCGGCGAACAGGCCGGCGAAGAGCGCTGGATGCAGTGACGAGCGCAACTGATTTTTCCACTCCTGCCAGACATCGTCAGCACTCGCCCGCTCAGATGGAGGGCGGAGCCGCGGCGAACCCATGTGATCCAGGCGCCGCTCTGCTCGCCAAACGCCATCTGCCACGCCGGTTCGAGCGACTGGAAGAACTCATCGGGCTGAAAGAACGTTTGAGTTGTCAATGCATTCAGGATTCGCAGTCCCAGCAACAGCAAAAATATCGGTGTTTCTGTTTTGCCCTGCTCAGGCCGCTGCACGGAGGAGCCACCTCCGGGAGCGGGAGCGCCGCGTCGTTCGTCCGCATGGGCCGCCCCGTGCTCGGCTTCGGCATGGCGAGGCATGGCAGTAGATAGGTGAAAGGTTGATGGCAGCATGGCAGGACGGCCAGGAGACGGGTGTTGATGCTGGTACGCCAGAGAGCACACGGGCCTTCCTGCGTACATGGTACCTAGTTGCGCACCCGTCGAGGCCGTGCCACCCTAGCAGTCGCGGCTGGTAGAATCGTTTTGGCCACTACAACATGGGCGATCGCGCCTTGACCCTACATTTCATCGTGGATTGCCCAGGCAAGACTCCAGTCGCCCTGGGCAGGTGTTCGACAAGGATCACGCGAAAAAGCGATAGCTCAAAAAACTTGGCGGCGCATGCACGCCGCGTTACCCTCCTCTCGTCGTCTAACCCCGCTAACGACGAATCCTGTGCGTGGAGACAGTTTGGGGAGGGCGATCCTGGTGGGCCCTCCACACCTTCTGCTCCATCAGCGAGGCATGACACGGCCAAGCGCAGGCGGCAGCCAATGGCGCTGTGTGATCCGCATGGACGGACGTATCCACCCGCCGCCCATCACGCCGCGTCTCGTGTGATGCTGGGCGCTGGGCGGGAGCGAAAAGCAACGAAAGAATCCGGGGAAGATAGATCCTGCGGTGCGGCTGGAGGCGGCGGCCATGGCGGTTGGTAAAAAAGCTGATGAAAAAGCTGAGAGCGGCGTAGCTTGGCGGCGCCGGCGGCCACCAAGATCGAGCAGTATTCTCAGGCCTCCCCCCGACGTATTTGAACCGGCGCGGCGGACCTGGGTGTAGAGCGGGCAAATGAAAATTGCTGGAGCAGGCTGCATAAGCCACCTCGCAGCAGCAGTTCCGCGGCCCGTGGATCGTCTGAGAGCAAAAAAAAAAATCCCAACAACCTAGTAGTCTCCGGCGGCGGCTCTGGACGTGGAACTTGCTTGATTGGCGGTGCCCAAGGTCGGCGGGCGCGCGCGCGACCAGCGCGGCCTCATCGCTGGGGCTTGCCGGGGGACACCGATCCGCATGCTCGCTTGCCTTTCCATCCACTTCGACCGGCGGCCCGTTGACGTCGCCCCAGCGCCTTGGGCCCCGAGGAAAAGTCACTGCCGACATCTAGGCGCGACTTTCAGAGACACCTCACCCCCCTCTCTTCAGCCACTGCCTCATCACGCCCCGCGCTCCGCGCTCATTCATAATACCACCGACCCAACTCGCAACGCCCGCCGCTGCACGACGACGGCGCTCTCCCGGTCGCTGAGGTGCACGATGATACGCCCGCCTCCAGCGACGCCCCCCGCCCGCGACTAAATTCGCCGCCGCGACGGCTCAGATGAAGGTTTCTGACAGCTAGGCACCCGCGCCATATTTCCAGCGAGCGGAGCGAGAAGCCTGCGAGACACGCATCATGGCGCCGCCGGACGCAGCGCCTGACGCTGTTGCCCGCAGCCCCGACGACACGCCCGTCGCCGACGAGCACTCTGTCTCTCCGCGCTCCAGCCCTCCACCCGACGCCTGCGAGCCTGCAGGTGCCGCTGCGGCTGCCAGCGATGGTCCTGCTCAGGAATTGGATCAAGCAGCTCCCGCTGCGGGGCCCCCTGTGCGCCCGCCCCAGCAGGCCTTCCCGTCGACTCATTACTCCTCAGACCTCCCATACCACTCGCCAAGACCGGTGAGATACCACACCGCATACCTCCCGACATCGAATTCAGCCTCCGCAGAGCCGACCCCCTCTCCGGGCAATGATACAACAACATCCCCTAACGCTCCGGCCGATTGTGAGTCAGGCGGGGCTCAGGATCCGCACCGAGCTTCGACAGCAACGCCAGAACGCCCGAGCCTGCGGCGAGACCAGCTTTCGACAGCTTCCACCATGAGCAATGCCACCATCAGGGCTTATTCTGCGGTTGATGGCTTGCCAACTCTGGCCAATCTGCCGAGCCCGCACCGCCAGTATCCCAAATACCCTAATCAGGCATACTCTGCGCTGCAAACCCAGATCGAATACCCCAGATTCCCCAACCCTCCTCTTCAAGCTCATCAAAACCCACCGCCTGGTCCCCATATCTTGCGGACTCGGAGCTCTCATCCCTCACAGTACTCCTCTTTTTCTTCCTCGCACGTCCCGTCTCTACACCCCGCTCAGCACTTCGCCCACGAAACCACCGCGCACGAAGGCGGCTCTCGTACGGCCGGTAACTCACCCGCAGGCAGTCCAGGCCTCTTCGACCCGAACCAATCCCCAATCCGACCTGTGCTTGCCTCGACTGCAGAGTCCGGCTACTACTCAAGCCCTTATCTTCACTTCACCCATCGTCAAGTACCGAAGGAGACTCACGTTGCCGACGTCGACGTTGACCCCATATCCGGCCGCAAAATCATCAACCAATACGAGATCATTGACGAGCTGGGCCGCGGTGTACATGGAAAGGTCAAGCTTGGGCGCAGTCTGGAAACAGGTCAATATGTCGCCATCAAGATCGTGGAGCGGTACTCAAAGAGGCGCCGATTGGGCAAAAACACGAGCCACGAGGACAAGATCAGGAGAGAGATAGCCATTCTCAAGAAAGCACGCCACCCTAACATTGTTGGCTTGCTGGAGGTTATCGATGATCCCTCCCGAAAGAAGGTTTACATCGTTCTCGAGCACGTGGAGATGGGAGAGGTGCGGTGGAGAACGGAAGGTGCGAAGGAAATTGTTCTCATAGAACACAGGCGGTACGAGCGCGAGGTGAGAGGTATTTTCGATAACGAGTCGGCGGCATTGGAAGATCAGAGAATTCTGCTGGAGGCGCAAAGAAAGCGTGAACGAGAGGAACGACGACGGCTGAGGCGAGCACATCGCGCACAGAACGATGAGACCGACGCCCAGACCTGGAGTTTCGAGTACGGCGGAGACACCGATGATGAAGATACGAACAGCGACTTGCTGTCGCGGACATCTACCGCAACCACCGAAGACCTCAACGGCACCGGATCCAAGCATCGCAGTCGGCCTGCAACACCAACAGAGTTTGACGCCGACCAGACGCCCCACGCACCTCTCAACGAGACAGCCGCTGAGTTGGCTGCGTCGAAGCAGTCAAGCACTTCCCTCCCTGCTCTTGGCAGGGAACCCGTTCCAGAAGAACCTCGTGCGGCATCGGTCACAGGCCTTGAAGGGACAATGTGGGGCCCGTACGAGGAGATCCCAGCACGAGGCAGGAATCCGAGCATCTGCGGAAGCCTAGCTTCTAACAAACCGGATTTGCCTGGGGATTTGCCGGTACCAGAACATTTCCGTTACGTTCCTCTCATGACGCTCCCTGATGCACGCAAGGCATTCCGTGATACGGTCTCGGGCCTTGAATATCTCCATTACCAGGGCGTCATTCATCGCGACATCAAACCAGCTAATCTGCTCCAAGCAAGAGACGGTCACATCAAGATCTCTGACTTTGGTGTTTCCTATCTCGGGCGCAGAAGTGCAACTGCTTCCGCATCTGTGTATGGCGACGACCAGTCAGAATCAGACGCTCAAAATGTTGATGAAGCAATCGAGTTGGCAAAGACAGTTGGAACTCCCGCTTTCTACGCTCCCGAGCTGTGTCAAACAGACACAGATTGTGACGACGATCCCTTACCAGTCACAGGGCAGATTGATGTTTGGGCCCTCGGCGTCACTCTGTATTGCCTGGTGTTTGGCCGCGTCCCTTTTCATGATCTGAACACATTCGTGGTCATGCGTTTGATAGCGGAAGAGGAGGTTTACATTCCACGATTCCGCCTCAGGGCTGTTGACGATCGTACCGCATCGCGTCCCAACTCGCACAATCGCTTGTGGGGCGGCATGGCTCGAGACAGGCGATCACATCATGAACTCATCTACGAAGAGGTCGATGACGAACTCCACGATCTTCTGAGACGGTTGCTCATTAAAGACCCCCGGCGGCGCATCAAGCTTCCCGAAGTTCGACACCATCCGTGGGTGCTCCGTGACCTTGAGCATCCGCTTCTCTGGCTCGAGCAATCCGACCCTTCGCGAGTACCGGATTACAAGAAGATCGAGGTCTCGAGAGAGGATGTCGACGATGCTGTTGTTCAGCTCAATCTGCTGGAGCGCGTCAAATCTGGAATGCGAAAGCTGGGTGGAGCGTTGGGCATCGGCACGAAGCCCTCTTCCAGCATGTCTGCTTCCGGGAGACGTGGAAGAACCAAGAACGGCGAAGGAGGGATTTCTGCTGCATCCTCGAGCAGTACTATCAGCCAAGATGCCCGAAGGCCCAGTTTGAGGGTTGACGACATCAGCGCCGCCCTGCGAGCTTCCAGAGAAGGTGACCACCCGTTATCGCACAGCGTCACCGCCAGCCCCGAGTTAAGAGAACGCACCCAGTTTTTTATAGGACCGCACTCAAGGCCAGGTACTCCCGACATCGGCAACGTTGAAGACGTCGATGAATCTCCACGAGGACATATCCGCGACAAGCACCACCGACTCAGTTTTGCTTCTCGAGCCGAATCCACCATGTCTACTGCCGGATCAATCAGGACCATCCGCCCATCTGACTTCGAGTATCTCAACAAACGCCGGGGTGTATCGCCAACCATGCCTCAAGGGGTTCCGAGCACCCCTCTTACCCTGGACACACCTGGGGCCTCAAATCTGAGTGGAATCTTCGGAGGAGTTCGCCGCAACCTGCGTCCGATGAGAAGCAAGGAGCGAGGTGCAGACGGCGTCAAGTCACACAGCCGTAACCCTTCGATCGACCGTCTGGTGGCCGGAGACGATAACGCGCATGGTGAGCCTAGCATCGCGTTGAGCGATGCTGTTGCCGCTGGACATGTGGACCAGCCAGCTCAGTTGAAAGAATCCTCAGCGGCAAGCAGCTGCGTGACTAGCCCAGGGTCGCCTATCGCACCTTCGCTCACCGAATCTGACATTCACCGGAGCGGTGAAGGGACCCCCTCGCGCCAATCATCAATTTCCTCCGCCTCATCCCATCGCCCCATGAAACGCGAAGAGGACCTTCTCTACAGCTCCCCTGTCTTCCACGAATATCTCAGCGACATCAACTTCCAGCGTGCCCGTGAGGAAAGCCGGAGGAAGCATATTCTTGAGGAACGTCAATCTTCAAGTCGTCCAACCTCGTCTGCGGGCTACCGTCCTTCCAGTGCACTCGGCCGTGGATCATGCCCGCCATGCCCGCCTAGCCCCGACGACGAGACTTACTTCGAGCTCCAAAGGCATACCATCCCGCAGAACGATGTGACGCCGAAAGGGTTCCAACAACCTCTTACATCGAGTTCTTCGGAGGATCAATTCTATTCGGGAATGTCTCAGTCGACTTCCAATCCTTCTATTCCCTCGGTTGTGTCAGCAAACTCCTCGGTTATGCAAGATGATCTAGTCCCCACGGACCAGAAAGTCCATTCCGTCGTCTTGACAACCGAAAGAGCAAATCCAGTCATCAGCGTGACGGATGAACACGACCACGACCATGATGGCTACGACGGTGACCACGCCATTGAGAGCGATGACGATGAGGAAGAGGATTCGGATGATGACTCTTCTGACGATGACTTTGTAGAGATGAATGTCCGCAAGAAGCCTGCACCGAAGCGACCCTCCCGAAGCGAGAGCATATCGTATGCGGAACTCTCCCGTGGCAAGGTCTTGGCTGGTTTTGGCGCATCCATCCGGAAATCCTCGCGCAGCGGCAGCAACGGCACGGTCAAAAAGGTCCGCAGCCACAGCGATTCCGATGGCGAGGCTCTTCGGCACGACGCAGCTGAACTATCATCTTAATCCCAGCCTTCCAATAACCACAATTGCCCTTCACGACTCTGTATGAAAACACAAATGCCGGTTATCATTTCATTTCTGCGGAACGCGGCCGAGCAGCTCTCCAAAACGGAAGAAGAAGGCTGCGCCGCAACTTACCTCTTTTAACGACAATCACATGACAAACACCGTTCGGCTAGCATGGGATGGGTTTCTCCTACATCGTCTCGAATTTCCAATTTCAAAGCGAAGGCGCAAAGGAGTGTGGGGAACTCGGTGGCTCAAACATTTCCGGTGGTTGGTCGGTTTCAAGTAGGGAATGTTCGTCCGAGGGACGTGGGCGTACATATGAATTCATCTTGCAAGTTGGGCAACTGGTTTCCTGTAAATTTCATGCACGCTTTGAGAGTTTTTTTTTTTTTTGTTTGGGCAGCCGGCGCACGACGACATAGACTCTCCTCCGCTTCTCCTTCATTCATCTGCTAAGGCTTCCGGCGGGATCGGAGGGGTGGTGCTGTCTTTGCTGCGCGCGGCAAAATGGGCGTGCATCGTGGGTGAGGGATAGTACCTTGTATCATAATACGCAGCTAGACTTTTCGCGGTGGTCTCTCTTTTGGCGGGACAATCTGTTTTCGGGGGGCGATTGAGGCTAAAGCGGGAAAGAGTCGGCCTCTGCAGTCGTTTCCGGCGTGAGCGGAGGGGAACGGGTGATTTCAGGGAAACGGGGGTGCTGTATGTAATATAGGCTGAGACGAGGAGGACGAAAATGAAGTCTTGGCCGCGTACGTCTTGGTGGTCTTGGGCCATGTGGAGTGGTCGAGAGCAGGACTAAGCAAACAGGCTAAGCATCGTGATGTGCTCGCTTGCCAAGCAAGCGCCAGTTGCGCTTCTTATCTGGCCGTCAGCGCTCATGACGCGCTCGGTGTCTGATACGTGCATTTATCCGTCTGGAAGTGCCGGGTTGTGGATGCCGATGCCTGAGGCGGGTAAAGGCCGGCCGGCTGCGGACGGCGGCGGCGGCGCTGGGATTGGGCGGAAGTTGAGGGCGCATCGCAGCGCTCTGGGGGACGCACGTGCGGCTGTTTTGCGGAGTGCGGGGCAGGGCGTTTATTGGCGGAGAAATAACAGGCTGAACGGATCGACGGGGTTCGTGGAGGAAAGCAAGGCCGACAGGATCTTCAACCGTAGCATGGCACAGCGCGCCCGTGCAGCGTGCAAACCGCCAGTCCGCCCGTCGATTGTCTCTTGTTGCCGGCAATACTCATCGCACGAGGAGCACGATCACGTCGCGCGGAGCCCTCGATTGCCGTCTGGCCTGCGCCGTTCGCCGCCTCGCCGCCGTTGCGCTGCCCGGCATCCCTGCTCGCGTCCTCTATATGGCCATGTAACAGGCCGCAGACCTATCGCCGAATTCCCCGTCAGGCCTGACAGTCAAGAAATACCCAGCTCCACGGCCGCGCTACCTCGCTTTCCCCGAATTGCATATGGAGATGCGTTTCGCGACGCTCGACGCGCAACAGCCTGCTCCCCAACGCCGCATCATCGCCGAACTCCAACAACGCATCAACGGCTTCAACGTTTATTCCTGAAACAACAACCCTCCAGGCCGCCCTTTCCCCTCGAGCCCCTTCCTCTACGCCTGAGTCTCAGGTCGAATGCGCGTCAACACCGGCCCGCCAGCCATGGCTACCGAAGTTCACGCCGACCAAGTCCTCGATACCACCACCAAGAGCCTCAGCGTTGTGCACATCGAGTCGCTGCTGGACACGGCGAAGCCGTCACTGGCGGTGCTGTACGCGCCTGGCGAGGAGGCCATTGTCGAGCTCATCGCGAGCGTGCTGGGCCAGGCCCACTCGTTGGTCGCGTCGCTGAGGGAGGCCGAGGCCCTGAAGCCAGCGACTGTCGCCGGCCTCCTGAGCGCGCATGACCCAAGCCAGCTGGCGCAGCGGAGTCGCGGGCGCCTCCTCATAAATACCCACTGCGTCGAGAACGACTCGGCCCCCAATGAACACCTCTCCGAGATTTGCGACTACGAGTATCTCTACACACACTCCGCGTTCCTCCGACGGGACGTCACCCGCTATCTCGCCTTCATCCTCGGGCAGATCGCGCCCCACAACGATCTGGCCAAGAAGGCGAGAACAACCCTCATTTCGACCACCTTTCCGGACGTCCATGCGGCCCTCCCGAACCTCGACATCCTCTCAGTCGGCTCCGATGCCGTCGAGCTGCGCGTCGATCTGCTCAAGGAGCCGCTACCCGACGGGAGCTTCAGCGCCGTCCCGAGCCTCAAATACGTCGGCCAGCAGCTCATGGTGCTGCGCCAGCGGACCGAACTCCCCATCATCTTCACGACGCGATGCACCAACGAGAACGGCAGGTTCCCCATGGACGACCCCATGCTTTTCTACAAGTACCTCTACCGCGCCATCCAGTGGGGCTGCGAGTACATCGACGTCGAGCTGTGGCTGCCAGAGGAGATCCGGCGAGAACTGGCGCACAAGAAGGGGGCGAGTAAGATTATATCCGCCTTCCACGACTTCTCGGGCCGCTTCAAATGGACGTCGCCGGAAGCGAAGGAGCTCTTCAAAAGGGGCGCCGTGTATGGGGACGTTGTCAAGATGATTGCGCTGGTACACCAGATGCAGGACAATTACGAGCTGGAGTACTTTCGCTCCACGGTGCAGGCCGAGTTCTTCCCGCACCCGCCCTTCTCCGGACTCAACATGGGCCCCACCGGGCAGCTGTCGCGCACGCTGAACAAAGTATTCACCCCTATCACGCATCCACTGCTGCCGATGATTGCGGCGCCGGGCCAGCTGAGCGCGGCGGAAATCAACATGGCGTTACACAGCATGGGCCAGACGCCCAAGCTGGACATTTACGGGATCGGCAGCTACAAACTTGCGACACAGGCAATGTTCTTCGAAAAGTGTTTTAACGAGCTCAGCCTGCCGCATCAGTTCCTGTTTGTCGACAAAGTGGCCAGGGGCGCGGTGGAGACGGTCGTGAGACGTGCGTCATTTGGTGGTGCCTTTATCAACCCGCCGCTCGCGCCACCGACCCCGTATTTGACGGTGTTGTCGGAGGCGGCCAAGGCGACTCGACTCGTCGACACGATCCTGGTGCGGACTGAGGGCGGCACTCCCGTGCTGGTCGGTGAGAACGCGACGTGGAAGGGCATCCGTGCGACGCTCACGCGAGATTTCGTGCCGTCGGCTTACAGCGACCGTGCCGCCTTGGTGCTGGCCAGTGCGGAGGCGGATGCTGCGGCGGCCATCTTCGCGCTCAAGAGCCTGGGCATTGGGCCCATCTACACGATCGGATTCCACTTCCGCAGCCAGGGCGCGCTGGCGGCAGACGTCGAGCCGTTCCGGTCGGTCGAGGACGTCAAGAAGCTGGAGCAGCCGTTTGTGATTATCAGCGCGCTGCCGGCGGAGAAGTCGGCGCTGGTGGGGCCCCTGCTGAAGCACTACAGCAACAGCGGGACGGATAAGCCGACGAATAAAGTGTTTCTGGACCTGGCCAACGGGCCGCGCAAGGTCGACCCAATGGCGATTGCAGCGTCGTCGGGGTGGACGGCATACGGAGTGGCGGACGTCAATGCATGGACGACGGTGGAAACGATGCGGCTGCTCGTGGGGCAGAACGTGCCTTATGATTTCGTGCGACTGGCGTCAGGGCGGAGCATGTTCTGAGGCGTTTCCTGGGAGGGTTGGGCAGTCCCTGCTAATCAATAGATGCCGCCTCGCAACTTAAAGTCTTATAGATGAAGCCCTGTCCAAGCCGTCGTGCGCCCCTTGGGCTCGATTTTCCAGAACGTGTGCAGGTCAAGCTCCGGGGCGATTAATCTAGGCAAATTGGCGCGGTGCCAGGGCGGTGTTTGGCTTCCCCCGCATTTTGCTGCGAGCATCGGGCGCCTTGCCGCTTGCGGAGCGTGCGCTTCATCAATGCAAGAACAGCAGCCGGGCAGGGTGCGCCGGTACTTAATTTCGCCCGCGTGGCGGGCAGGCTGGCTGCGCGATTACTGGGAGCGCGTGCGGGCTCGCTCGTCTCGGCGCGGCGCTTCTCCTCCTTCTCGAAGCAAGCACCTACGCTCTGGGCGCGCGCCCACCGGGGCTCCATATAGGCGCGTCTTGCATTCGGCCGTTGGGCCAGCGAGCGGTGCAGCGCTGTCAGATCGTCATGTGGCCGTCTCCAACCCCAGGGCGCTAGGCCGCAGCGGGCATGTGTGCTCCGGGGGCGAGGCTTGGGGTCGCGCTCGCGTGGGTGGGGAAAAAGGAACCTGTCCCGTTTAATATCATCCCGAGTCCTGAGTCGCGTGGAGCGGGCGTGCATTTCCTGCTCTATTGTTAGCGGAAGTGACGAAAGGCGCCCTAGTTCGCCCGTGTCAGCGTCTCGTCTACTGCGAGACGCCGGCCTGGCTCTTTTCTCCAGCTCATCTTCTCTCAGTCTTTTTCTGCGCCCCTCCGCCGCCGCAACGACCCCTCGCCCAGCTGGACCTTGCAATGTCTGCTGCGACGCCGCCGCCCCAGCCCGCCGAGCGCCCCGCCAGAAGAGCCGCCGTCTATTAACCACCCTCGCCCGCACCCAAACGCCTGTAAACATGTCGCGGCCCCAAGTCGGCATCGACCGCCTGCCGCAGCGCCGCCTCAGCACCGAGCCGAGGGAGGCAATGAACTGCAAGAGCTGCCGCAAACGCAAGGTACCGCCGCACCACTCACTCTGCCTGCCGCCGTCAAGAGCTCACTCTCTTCTCTTCTGAAGATCAAGTGCAACCGCCTGCGTCCCACGTGCGAGGCCTGCAAGGTCTTCGAGTGCCCGTGTATCTATGGTTCGTCTTGGCGCCCATCCCCCATAGTGATCGTCCTATTGCATCTCGACCGACCATTAATGCTGATCACCTATAACCTCCTCCAGACGCCGTCCCCAAAAAGCGCGGCCCCAAGACAGATGCCATCGGTGAGCAGAACCACAGCCGAATCCCCGACTGCGCCCGCTGACACCCACCAGAGGCCCTCCTCAAGCGTGTCGACAGCCTCGAGAAACGCCTCCATGAAGAAAGCAAAGACAAGCAGCCGTCCGACAAGAATGACGACCCGCCCGTCGAGGACTTCAACGCCCCGCAGCAGCCCTCAAAACCACCCCAGCCTTCTCCGTCGATAGCGCAGAAACCGTCCATAGGCATCAATCCTAATGCTAACATCTCGACAACCTCCATTTCCCCCACCGATGTCAGGTATGCTGGGTCCGCCCACCCGGAGCTGTGCGTCTCGTATACTCATCGGTCATGTGCAGTCAGCCCACTCCTTTCCAGCGCCCGGACGTCCTGCTCGATACGTACTTCGCCCGCGTCCACGGCAAGCCCTATTACATCCTGGACGAACTTACCACCCGACAACGTCTGCAGCATCACCAGCTCCCCACTCACTTGGCATATGCCATTTATGCAGTGAGCGCGCGGTAAGCCCTGGATCTCTCCACCCTGCACCCTCCCGCCGCCGGTGCTTCGCGCGTCCGGGAATGACTATGAATGCTTCATCGATGGTGCTCCTCTCCTCCGTGACCGATCCTGGGCAAGGATACGGGGGCTCCCCTATTCAGGATTTGATCCATTTCCATGTCTGCGGGTGCTTGACCATGAAGATTTCGTACTCATATCCTGCGTCACGCATGCAACCGGCGGAGGGTCTACGTGCAGGGTGTTGCTTTTTCCTTACTAACGTCCGCAGATATTCATCCCATCCTGCGGGCTACAGTGCCGCGGTCCGTGCTAGCGAAGACTATGCCGCTCGCGCCCGCGCCGAACTTGATACGGATGAACCGTCGATAGAGGCTCTGCAAACGCTGCTCCTGCTTGCTATGGCGAACTATCAATCCGGGCGGGGCAAGAAGGCGTATATGCTTCTGAGTAAGCTACTACGAACTAACTTAGTCGTTTGAGGCTGACAGCAATTCAGCAACTGCAATCAGCATGTCGTTCGCCCTGGAGCTCCACCGAGAAATGCCCCTGATGCTGAATATTCCACCTTCGGAACGGGAGGGGCGCCGACGCCTGTTTTGGGCCTGCTACTTGATGGACCGGTTTTCCGCCTGTGGATCAAAAAGGCCATCTCTAATTACAGATGAATCGGTCATGCTACGCCTACCTTCTACTACGTCCGGACCGGGATCTTTGATGCTTGAGGGCGACTTCTTCCGGAACGGCTCGAACCTGCAGTATATGGCCGGACCGGGCAAACAAGGCCAGAGCAGCACGGTGATGCTCATCGGAATTGCGCGGATCCTGGGAATCACGAATCGATATCTCGCAGCGGGTGGTGTCAAGGGAGATTCACATTTCCCCTGGCACTCGCTATCGAATCTTTCCAAAATTCGGCACGAGTTGGATATGTGGGCTTCTGAAACTCAAGACACCTTCAGTTCATTGGAGAATTTGTTTGGGCATCGAGAAAGCACCATGCTTGTCCTAAGCAAATTGGTGTACCACCTGATTCACTGCCTGATCTACCGACCATTCCTTCCTATGGACCTTGCGGAACTGTCTATTACAGGCCAGCACCAATCATGGCAGATCGAAGCGACGAACTTGTGCTTCCTGCACGCTAACGCAATCGCAGAACTCGTGGAAATTGGAAGGGCGTCATCAATCATTGATTGGCCAGCATTTGTGGGTTACTGTGTCGGCACAGCCGGCACCATCCACGTCCATGGTGCTCATTACCGAGGCCGGGAAGGAGAGGTCTACTCATCAAGTCCGGAGCTTCTTTCTAGGGAAATGCAGCAGCTTGCGGAACTTCGTTTCATCTGGGCTGGTGTGCAACATCAGCGGGACACCCTTCAGTGGATCTATGGCTGCCACTCTGAACTCGTCAAGTCAATGGCAGGCAACGCGATGCGATTCTCACCAACCTTGGATCTTGAGGATTTCTTTGACAGGTACCCTGGTCATGCAATTGATGGGGCACACGTCACGTTCCAGGATCTTTCTCATGACTCCATACGTGAGAGGTACGTTTCACTCTCCTGCTTCCTGCATCCTACCTTGCTGACCTAAAACAGCGTATCGCTGTATGCCGCTTCCCCGCAGAATCCCTACTACGGCGCCAATTCTTTCCCCTTGCCAGCCCAGCCTCCCTTGCTCCCATCGCAACCCAACCAATCTCCGACAAGTCCGCTCGAGCGGCGCCGGAAACGCCGATGCACAGTAGCTTCCTCAGCGTCGGGACATTCCAGCACCAACACCGGCTCGAACAACCCCAACATTAAGTCTGAAGAGGTAACAAACGGAGGTAGTGTTTCAGCCTCTACGTCAAACGACCAAAATGGTTCTACCCACAATCAAACCGCTTCGCCGGAGGTTCCACATCATCAACCCCAGCAACAGCAACACAACCAGAACCATCTCAATCTTGGGGCAAACAACGACAGCAACTCACATCTCCAGGCTTTCCAACAACAGCAAGTTATTACCCCATTCTCGCCCAACTTCACCTTCTCTGCTGCCTTCACGCCGGATCCGAGTGGCACCTCGGCGAATCATAACAGCAACGAGGGACAATACGACCCAGTATTCGGCATGCCTACCCCGTACGAGCAACAAAGGACGCCAGGTGCGGCCAGCGCAACGGGCAGCAACCATACAGAGGCGAGCTCAGAGAAGGATCCCTTCTTGACACTCCTCGAGCAACTCGCAGAAAACGAGCAGAGTAGGGGTGGGCCCAGCGAGTTGGACTTTTTTCTGAGTGGGACGCAGTGAGGCTTGAAGAAGATGCCCTTCATACAGTCTTCAATACTGGAGGTTTGACATGTCTTTTGCACACCGTGGATGGAAAGAACTACCACACAGCGAGCGCCTGAGACATGCAGTTTTGCTCACAGCGTTTCTCCTCTACATTTTGGTTGGGAGTTTGGGTGCATGAGGAGGCTTGAGACTTCTGTCCTTTTCGCATGTTTCGGCAACATCTACGACACCATGAATAACGAAGCAGGCGAGGGAAGAGTCTCGGTCTCTATCTACATGGATTGGTAGGGATGGCGTATTTGGTATCGGATCATCGTTCTTTGTTTTTTCTCGCGCTTCAAGGGAGCAAAGGAAAAAATACCCAACGTCTTTTTTCGGTCCTGAGGTTTGCGCTTGATATTTCAGCGACTGCTATTTCGGCGGAGGAAAGGAACACTTTTATCTTCGAAATTTGTCCCATCCAAACAGGGGAGGACAAATGTGTATTATGACCGTTTCGTTTGTTGTTTTCCTTGCGTTTGGAAGATGATGTATGAGGATATGGTATAGCGGATGAACATAAAAAAATCCTAAATAGTAAAGAAATAAATTTAACATTTTTTTCAAATGCGAGACCCTCTGCATCAGCTCTCGGATCGATAGCCCCGCTCTCAATGAGCTCACTACTGGCCCTGCATGCAGGGGACGGGCAACCAAAATTCCTGCCAGGCACACATGTATACCGAAGTAGGGCAGCACGCAAAAAGGACCGCTAATTCGTATTAGCACCTTTACCCCTCAAAATCCTCCCACCGGACTACTACTACAACCCCCACGTGCACCGCTCCGCAACAACACCAACCCGAAAATCCGAGAAGGAAGGGCAGCTAGCCCCCTCCCTTCATCCGAAGCGCGACAGTAGTAAAATCAATAAACAAGTGTCAAAGTGGGCCGTTGGCTTAGAAAGGTAGGTACCTTTTCTCCGACCACCACGACCTATCCAACCGGAACGAACCGCTCCATCTATCTCCGCGTAGAAAGCGGTAAACGCTTCCATTGCCCGTCAGGTAAGCAGAGCGAAGCAAGTCATCTCGAATGCAAATCAACGGAACATGGCGAAACCGAGGTACAAGGGTTCGTCCCTGATGACCTGTCCCCGGGAGGGTGAAGATCGTCGGTGGTCATGTCTCTGCGCTTCCCGCGTGCCTTGTAGCATCAGAGAAAAAAAAACGAGATGTTGTCGGTGGTGTTTCAGCTTCCGCCCGCGAGTGGGGCGGAGGGTATGTAGGGCTGGAGCGATATATGTGTTGCGAAGCGAGCACGCATCGGGTTTTAACTGCATGGTCCTTGATGCAGGGTATTGGTGCTGGGGTAAGACGGGGGGTTTTGTGACTATCGTAACAAGGCTGACCAGAACGTTTTGACTCGGTCTACAGCGCAGTAAAAGCTTGTCGAGCTGAGCCGTTGCTTCGCTCGCCTTTTTTCCTTTTTTTTTTTACCGCCCATGTATGTAGGTACGGAGGACGAGCGTATTTCCCGGTACGTAGCGGGCTCGGCGTATATCTGCCGAATACTGGGGTGCAGGTGTTGCCCCACCCACTACGTTATACTCGGAGAAAAGAACTCCACTTATTAAGGTGCTGTCATTATGCTTGTGTGCTTGTCCTTACCTTTCATCTCGTATCTGGAGCGGCAAATTCCACAACTGCAGGCGTGAAGTGGATTTTCATGTGTGACGAAGATCGTAACAAAATTCGACGTCAGGACTTGATTAATCATATCAGCGCATCAATTCCCTACCCTGCTGCCCTTGCGCTCTTCATGATAGCTGTCGGATGCAGAAGGAGGCTGTAGCTTGATAATGCATGCAGCGGAGAATATGGGAAGTCTAGAGCAGGGGATGGTGGAGCTTGGGTTACGGATATGATAGGTCAGAATCGGTCAATTTTGCCGACTTTGGCAGTCGCCAAACGCACCGATTTACAGTTAGACGAAAGCAGCGCTGGCCTTGGCACGCGACATTGCTCTGCGGATTGTGGTAATGGTAGTTGGCAGGTTCCCCTTCGTTTTTTTTTTTTTTCAAGGTCCTGTGCCCCCTCCATTCGGCTCCGCATACCGATGGCTTGAGCTGGGCACGTGAGCGCTCGCTTGAACAGCTTGCCATATCCATTTTCCGGTAATGGAGTAGTGGTTCTACAGGCTGCCAGATACCATGCAGGGTCCAGGTTTCCATGGTTGATGCGATCGGCGGTCAAATTAGCAAACAACTGAAGCGGCGGAGAGGCCAACAAAGTTGCGAACAACTAGCAACAATGCTCAAGGCAACCCATCCCCGACTGTCGCTGCCATGGCATCAGCGATGGAGCCAACATAGCGCGGCACGTGCCCTTGAATGTGAGCATGAGGTCTGCCAGCGCTGGACTTCATTGGTCCAAGTGGCATCCTACTCAGAGCGCTGCTGGTGATCAGTGCATTCTGCGTGCCGGACGATGCCCAAGGCATGCGCTTACAAATGGGAGGGATCTCCCGCGGCTGGGAGCTGTTGAAATAAAAAAAAAATAAACACACGGTAAAAGGAGAAGAAGGAAAGAGAAGACAATGGACGCGGAGGCGGCCAAAAGGGGCAGACGTCAACAAATGAAAGGGCGCTGCTTCGTGATGGAGACATTGCACGGAGCGAATGGGTGGCTGGTGCTTGGGCGGCCGGCGGGATTGAAGCACCTGAGCTGGTCGTCACCACCGTGCCATGCCTGGCAGGATTTCAGACCAATTTGAAGCATTCCGGCTCCAGCACGCCTAGCGCGGGCGGCGGCGGCGGCGATGGGGCGCGCCTTGGGTCGGCTCTGGCGGGGTGATGACTGGCGGACGAGTGGGCGGACGGCGGCGGGCGACGAGCATCCAAGGTCGATATGGGCGGTGGAGCGGGTTGGCGAGCAGCGCCACGGTAGGCAGGCGCGCCACATGGAGGAGCGACAACGGTGGTGATCTATTATTGCTGCAGCGATCGCTTGCCAACCTGGGCCTCGTTCCCGGCGCTGGCGCGTGGCCCCTCTCGTCAAGGAAAGCCGGGCACCCAAGCGCGAGTCTGTCTGACGCAACAGCTGCAGCGCCGCACCTGCAATCTTCCTCCATTGCCTCGAGGCCCGTCTGTCGTTACAAGCCTTTGTCTTCCGCATCGGGCGGCTTTCGGACCCCCAGCCCCGTCCACCGCACACGACCTCCTCACCACCCACTCACCATGCAGCACGCCGACGAGGCGCAGGACAGCCTGCCCGAGCTGCACTCGCCCACCACGCCCGTCGACTGCTGCTTCGACGACGACGACACCATGGCCGTGTCCGACGACGACTCGCAGCTGGACGCCGATCGAGCCCACGCTCCTCCTCCGCGCATCGCCGCACGCTTCTATCGCCCGCCAAACCCCCGCCGCAAATCCTCCGCCCAGTCGTCGCGCCGCAACTCCATCTCGTCGACCCACTCGCACCAGAGCGGCCTGTCCGCCTACCGCACCCAGGCCTGCCAGAGCACCCATGTCGCACAGCATCTGCGCCGCGCCTCCATACTCGAGAGCCGCAAGGCCCGCCTGGCCGACCGCGCCGCCCACGCCGAGCAGGTCCGCCTGCGCGCCGCCCTGGCCAAGTCGTCGCCGCGCACCTCCAACAGCGAGGAGAAGGCCCTGGCCGCCCAGCAGGCCCGCGAGAAGCACCTGGCCCAGGTCGCCGCCGCCTGTGCCGAGGAGGTGCGCCGGGCCAAGAAGGTGGCCGAGGACATGAAGGAGCGCAAGGCCCAAGAGGAGGCGCGGTACCGCGCCGAGATGCAGGAGAAGCTGGCCGAAGCCGAGCGCCGCCGCCAGGAGTACAAGCGCAACCAGCGCCGCCCGCGCACCGCGAGCGTGCCCTCGTCCGAGCCCAAGAAGCCGACTTCCGACGCCGTTCCGCCGCCCGACGACGAAACCGCCGCCAGACGCATCCAGAGAGCTTGGCGCACGAGGCGCAGGCGCCGCATGGTGGAGTCGTTCCTGGAGCTTGGACTGTCGATCGACAAAGTCCATGATACGAGCTTCGAGGACATCAGCGCCCAAATCGCCGAGCAGACTGTTATTTCCGCCTCCGCAAACCTGCTTAATCTGCTGGCTTTGCGGGGCTCCAATGACGACTTGATCGGCGACGATCCGGCCGCCATCCGCACCTTCCTGAGCGCCTACCTGATACTGGGGCACCCGGCCGCTGTTCTCAGCAGCAAGGACGGCGACCTGGAGCAGGACTTGATCAAGAAGGCAACTGATTTGATCATCTCCTTCGAGTCGACCTTGTCGAAGCTCTGCCAGTCCAATAGGTACACGCCTCCACCTACGCAACTGGAGACTGTCGTTCTTGCACACAGTGCGTTCGTCACGGCCTTCTCCAACTGGAAGGCGCAGGATTCCCACACGCTTGTTGAGATGATGGTGGCTTCTTTTGTGAACCTGGACGCTATCTGGCAGAGCGTCAAGGATGACACGCGCGGCGAGGTTGCCAACGATTACCGTCAGGGCATCCGTGACAACCAAGTCATCTTGCTTAGCAAGATCCGCAAGCTGGCGGGCCCTGAGAGGGCGAATCAGCTGATCAAGAAAGCCATCAACGAGAGCAGGCGAGCGAAGGCTAGAGAGCGGCGCCGTCGTCCAGTCGGCGATGTGCGGCCCAGAGCCGCCGAGAGCGACTCCGCGTCGGAGACGTCTGAAAATAGCAGTGATGCGTCAGCTTCCACATCTGCTGACAGGGCCTCGCGGGGGCGTGATTTGTTGCAGGAAGACGCAAGCGTCGCGTCGCAAGGCGACATTGATATGGAGGGGGCACAGGCTGACGCGCTGGCGAAGCTCTTCTCGCCGATGCCGTCCAACAGAATTCTCGTGCATGAGCTTGCCATTGACAAAGAGTTCAGGATTGACGAGGCCCAGCCTTCGGAAGTCAGGGATGCTTTGAACCGCGAGATCTGCGAGAGCATGAAACGCGGCTTCGAGCGCGGCGAGGGCGCACCCTGGACGACTGCCATGGCAGACAACATCAGAGGCAAGCTTCTCAGGTTGTTGAAGCCCGGAAACTCTATGTATAAGCTTATCTCGGAGGCGTTGGATCCGGAGTTCGTTCACCAGCAGGCCACCCAAGGTGTCTTCTCCTACGAACGGTTCTTTTCGTTCATGGCATCTATCCTGCCCAAGCTTTGCGCGCCTTTCAGAGACGCGCAGGTCAAGGTTCTTGCTGAGGAGCTGCAGGAGTCTGGGGATCTCGATCAGATGATCGGCAAGCTGTTCAAGCTTCTCCATATCATCGATCTTCTTGCCCTGGACTACCAAAACTACCTGCTTCACACCATGGCACCCACTCTCATCAAGGAGGCCCCGGGCTATGAGCAGCGCGCCTTCGCTCAGGACTTGGAGAACAATGTCATCACTCTGCAGAAGACCAAGTGTTGGTTCAGCAGCGCCAGCGTCAACTGTCTCACGGAAGCCGACCGCCGCGACCCTATCTATGGACCTCCTACTGCGCAGAAGATTTACGCTCGGGGCCTCGTTGATCTGGCTATCGCGCCTCCGCCGCTCCAGGAATCGGAAGTGCCTGAGACGTTGGCTCTTGACCAGGCACGCCTTGCCCGCATACGGCAAGACGCAGTTAAGATCACCACTGTTGGTGCTATCCTCTTGACTGCCAAGAACTTGCTCCGCCGTGATGTCCGTTCACAGTGGAAGCCCGAGGCTCAACGGTTGTGGACTCTGTTGAAGGAAGGCTATGTCAAGGAAGACGGCTCCATGCCGGCCAAGATCCTCTCCGTCCTCGAATCGTCGCACGCCATGCCGCCCAACACTCGCACTCAGCTGTCAAACACGATCACTCGCCTTCTTTCGCAGGCAGCAGCAGGTCGTCTGGCTGATCCGGTCATGAAAGTGTTGTTCCAGCGCTTGAAGACCCATATTTTGACGCGTATCAGCGCCAGCACGAGCGGCGAGAGGGTGCGCGCGGCTACGGGAGCCAGTGAGGGTCTGGCCACGAGCGGATTGCCTGAGTTCGTGGGACAGGTGGGCGATGTCGTCGAGCAGTTGACGAAGATCAGCGAGGTCGACCGGAAGGCGCATGGAGCCTGGTACGAGCAGATCGCGGCAGAGGTCGAAAGAATGGGCAGCGAGGAGGAGACGACGGTGGCGGCTCCTCCTCCCGCGGCGAACTAGGCCGTTCGATATCTTTATGTTTCGTGGCGTCGATAGACAGATTGATTGAAAGGGACGGGCAGGGCATCGTTCCGTTCCTTGTTTCTGTTTTTGCGTTTCTACCGTTCGGATCGGGGCATGGGTACTCTTTTTTTTTTCTCTTTCTTCGCTCTCAGATTGTCCATCCGATGCTGGGGTTTTCTTTTTTTGCTGTCTTTCGGGAATCATGGGAAACAGGAGCGCTGACGGGTACATGGCTTGGGAAGGCGTTGTTTCGGGGATATATACCATCTTCTCTTTTGATTCACTGCTAACTCCCTTCTTCCCCCCTCGGACTTTGGCCATCCGTGCCATCATTCGGCTTTCCGTGGTTTTCCTTTTGATGGCTACACTGTCGCTTGACTAGGGTTCACATTTTTTGTTCCTCTCGTGTCCATTACTAGTCTTGCATCAGGCGTTTGGTCGTAACGGTCCCTTTTTCGTTCCCTTCCATTTACTTTGGTTCATGGCTACTGCTGTTTTCCTAGGATGGCGATGTTCGAGAATCGAACTTGTTGGTCGCCTTTCAAAATTGGTGCACACTTGCTGTTATTTTTTTCTGTCTTCGGCTTGGTTCGATACGTAAAGAGGGCACATATATACGTAGACTGAGAAGAGTATGGCTGGAGTAATGGTACAAGTTTGCTGAACCATATACATGTTCTGTGCGCTTAATCTTTGAAGTGAAAGTGTTAACTGATTGAAGTCATGTGTAGAGGCTTTCTTTGATGTGTTTGATGTGTCATTGTCACGAAACATTGCGCAGTGATGATCAAAAGAGTCATGTCCGTCATGAAATGGTTCATCATTCTTCGCACTCCGGTTCTTCCAGAGGAAGTGCGGAAAGGGTATCATCAAATGTGGTCATGTCCGTCCCCAAACCAAACCCTCTCAAAAAAAACCCCCCCCCACGCAAACCACCAGCAACAAAGAAGCCCCATCCGTAGAGAAGCCCCGAAAAAAAAAACACCCAAAAACTTTTCGTAGGAGACCAGAGTCTCCTTCTCCCTCCCATCCCCTACATCTTCCCCTTCCCCATCCCCCCAGATCTTCCCCTTCTCCCCTTCCCCCAATCTACGACCACACCCCACCCCAAGCGCTCCTGTCCTTGGCCGTCATGCCGCGCCGGGTCCGCGGTAGTTGATGGCGGCGTCGCGCGGCTGCTGCTCCTGGCGGCTGCCGACCAGCGCCCGGCGAGAAGCTGGCGCCGTGGTGACGGTGCCCAGCCTGGCCGCGGCCCGGGGCCTGTCGATGATGGTGGTGGTGTTGGCGGCGGCAGGCTGCTGGAGGCGGGGGGAGGAGGAGGAGGGAGCGGCGGCGGACTGGCTGCTGTTGCTGTTGTTGCTGCTGCTGCTGGTGCTGGTGCTGCCCGGGCGGACAACGGGCGCGCTGGAGGAGGTGGTGGAAGCGGCGGCGGCGGCGGCGACAGCGGCAGCGGCAGCGGGGCGGGAGCGAGCAGCAGGGCGGGAGCGGCCGTGGAGCGGCGGGCGGAGGGCAGAGGTTGGGCCGCGGCGGGCGGCAGCAGCGGGACGGCGGCGAGGAGCTGGAGCGGGAGCGGGAGCAGGAGCCGGAGCAGGAGGCGGAGGAGGAGCAGCAGCAGCAGTGGGACTGTTGCTGCTACTGCTGTTGTTGTTGTTGCCGTTGCCATCGGCACGAGGAGCAGCGGCGGCGGCAGCGGACTCGTCCTTCTCCTCCTCGTCCTTGGTGGTGACGGCGGCGGCAGCGGTGGTGGTGGTGGTGGTGGTGGTGGCAGGCGACCGGCGCTGCCTCTTCTTCTTCTCCTCCTCCTCTTCCTCCCCATCCGTCCGCTTCCTCTTCTGCGGCTGCTCCTGCTGCTCCTGCTGGTGCTGGCGCTCCTGCTGCTGCTGCTTCTTCTTCTCCTCCTTCTCTGGGGCTTGGGCGGTCGGCTGACCAGCAGCCGATCCGCCAGAAGCAGGGTCTGGCTTCTTGTAGAGGGCGGCGAAGAACCTCTTACCCTGCACTGTGATTGTGCGCTGTGGAATGTTAGCAGGCTGTGCATGGACTGAAGGGGTATGAGGTGTAGACATACGGTTCGGTAGAAGACGAACCCCTCCGGGATGGTGTACGTCTCGGGCATGGTTGCGGGTTTGGAGGAGGGTGTGTGGTGGTGGTGGTGGTGGTGGTGGTGTGAAGTGCTTGGGACCGGTGGTCGACTGCTCGGAAAGGCAAAGAGAGCACTTGATCTAAGGCTGGAAGCGTGGAGAGGAAGAGGAGGAGGAGGAGTCTGTCGGTTTTGAGCAGCGCACTGTCGAGGGACCCACTTTTAACACAATAGTGAATGTATTCAATAGCAACAATAGCAACGTTTCGACCGGGTGTCAATCAAATGTGTTATGGTATTGAAGTGAAGTGAAGTGACGCGAAACGAAGCGCAACCATTGGTCAGCAACCCAGACCACCGCGAGCCAGTTCAAGCTCAACCCTCCAGCGGCGGCGTGTCCGCAAAGCAAGCGTGCATGAAGAACTCAGGATAGCGGGCGCCGGCCACCTCTGCATTCTCGCTCGCCTCCCTGATCTCCTTGTCCTCCTCGTCGGTCAACTGGATGTCCAGCGCCTTCAGATTCTCCTGCAGCCGCTCAACCTTGGTCGTGCCAGGAATGGGAATGATGTCCGGGCCCTGGTGCAGCAGCCAGGCGAGCGTCAGCTGGGTAGCGGTGACGCCCTTCTTGCGCGCGACGGCCTCGATGCGCTCGACGAGGCGCAAGTTCTTGGGGAAGTTCTCGGGGCTGAAGCGGGGCGCCATGCGGCGGAAGTCGTCCTCTGCGAAGTCGTCCGGGCTGCGCAGCGTGCCCGACAGCATGCCGCGGCCGATGGGGCTGTAGGCGACGACGGCGACGCCCAGCTCGCGGCACGCGCGCAGCAGGCCGACCTGCTCGCTCTCGATGTCGAGCGCGAACGGGCTGTACTCGATCTGCACCACGTCGACGCGCGCGACCTTGCACGCGCGCCGCAGGCTCTCCGCCGAGCACTCGCTCAGCCCGAGGTACTTGAACTTGCCCGCGGCCTGCAGCTCGGCCATGGCCCGCACCGTCAGCTCGACGGGCGTCTTGCCGTCCAGCCGGTGGCAGTAGTACAGGTCAACGCTGGGCAGGCCCAGCCGCGCCAGCGACTGCGCCAGCGCCTGCTTGCAGTACTCGGGCGACGAGTCGATCGAGCGGCTGCCGTCCGGGTGCAGCCGGTTGGCGAACTTGGTCGCGAGGAAGACGTTGGGCCGCGCCGTCGGGTTGGCCGCGAACCAGCGTCCCAGCAGGTCTTCGTTGTCGCCGTACATGTCGGCTTGTTGCCAATTTGGTTAGCCAGCTGTTTTAAGCATTATGGGGGCTAAAACATACCAGTGTCCCAGTTACGCTCGCCCAGCTCGTACGCCTTGCTCAGGAACGCCATCCTCTCGGAATCAGGCTTCGCCGGGCCATAGGCTACGCTCAATCCCATCAGGCCCAGCCCGAGTCCTGTGACCTCGGGGCCGTTCTTGCCAAGCTTGCGGGTAGGGAGGGTCATTTTTGTGTTGTTTCCGCGGACTGATTGAACTTTCGAATGTGGAAGGCCTTTTGTGTGTATACAAATTCGTAGCGTGAATGAGTTGTAACCTGGGTGGATGACTGACTGACGGCCACGACGGAAGGGTCTTATATATACCACTCTCCGCTTTCATGGCTTGTCGCATCCGCACAAAATGCGGAGCAAACGCGTATGTGTCTGCCTGGCAATGGCGTCCTAAACCCCGCGATCCATCATGCCGCCAAGTGGCGGGGATACCGTCTAACTCCGCCCTATAATTGGAAGAAGTTGTTGCCGCAATTCCCGCTAAAACCGTCTATAAACATGACCAAAACCAGCTTCCCTAATAGTTGCGGCTCCGACATCGGCCGAATACTAGTATTATACAGCCCACAAGATCAACCTCCCATCACCACGAACTGTACAAGGCCTCATACCTCAAGATCATCGCCCCTAGCGACTCAGACATTATCGGACTTAAAGCCCTATCTCCATTGTTAACCGACCGAGTACCCAGCAATTCCCCCTTCTTGACACGACTATGCTTCACTAAAAAGAGGGCACACCAGGGAGTTGATCAACGATGCATGCAATTGCTTGCCGTTCCTGCCTCCGCGGCGACATTTCTACCACGGAGCGGATGATAAAGTAACTGTACACGACTAACTAGCCTCCCTTCTGTTCCTAATCATCTCAAAGCCGCGCCAGCCAGCCAGCGAGCCACATGTGCTGTAGGGGGGCTGTTTTTTTTTTATACATTAAAAAAGAAAACACCTGCGCGATGGGCGGAGAGACGTAAATAAAGGTAAGTGTCGAAGAGAAACAATAGACCACCGGGGATATCATCTTCTGCAAACAAGGTAAGACGAAGAGAAAACGAGGTAGATAGCCGCCCATAACTTCTGTACATGCCAGAAGAATGCAAAAATAAAAGCCTTCCGCCCTTAGTTTTCCGTAAACTTGCAGATTGAAATCATGAAAGATCCCGCGTGCAGCCATGCTATGCAGTGTATAGAAGAACAATGTCATCCCGAGAGAACATCAGGGGAATTGGAATAAAAAAAATCAACAAACCTCCCAAAACGCCATAAATGCCTTATGTACCGCCATCTACACATCGCCTAGAAGCGATTTTCATATACGGTGAAATGTCGACAATCGTGCGACATGATTTGGGATTGTCTGAAGGGCAGTCGATGCCCTTAAATGGTTGATGTCGGTCGAGGAGCCAACAGCTTTTCTCACGACTCCAAGCTTGGCCAGCTCCTCCTTTCTTTCTGCTGTACTGACGGCGTCTCTTCTTTCGCGTCCATCTTGCGCACCACCTTCTGAATGCTACCCCTCAGCACTCTGGACGCGCTCCACGGCGTGCCAAGTCTGGGGGTCCCCAGTCGGGGCGTGCGTAGCCTCGACCGCGGCGTTCCTGGTGCACCCGAAGTCGGGCTCACCGGACGATCTAGTTCCGCTGCACGCGCTTCATCGATAGGATCCACTTGCGAGATGACCTTGGGGAAAAGGTTGCAGTACAGCGGCATGACGGCACCGCAAGCGGCCGCGGCGAGCGGGACGATGAAAGCATATCCGTACTGCCCGTCCTCCCCGCCCGCCTCGACGGCAAAATTGATGGGCGGAAAGATGGCCCCACCCACGATGCTGGCCGTGATGATGGCACTCGCCTCCTTGGTATGCCGGCCCATGCCTCGCAGCGTCTGGGCAAACACGAGCGAGAAGATCGGTCCTTCAAAGAAGTAGACGAAGACGATTCCAACAGCAGCCGTGTCCCCAGACGTACGGAAGCACACGCCGCAGAAGGCTAACACGCCAAGATAGCAGAGCATGAGTACGTAACGGGGCTTGACCCAGATGGTTATGAAGGCCGCAAGGAAGCGTGAGACGGCGAAGGCCGTGTGAGAGTAGGCAAGGTGGTTCGTTGTGTCGATATACGGCGCCACGTTTTCCATGTACATGACAAAACCTGTCGAGACGGATTCTTGGAGGCCGCAGTAGAAGAATGTCGAGAGGGCACCCATTGCCAGGGTGATCCAGATGACACGAATGTTGAAGAGGTGCGCATGGTTCGCGTCATCGCCGCGTTCCGCACCGTCTTCAAGTTCATTGTCAGACGCCTCGGGAAGTGGGACCCAATAGAATGCTACTGCGAGCAATACTACGAAGAGTGCGATGCCTAGATAGGTCCATTGCACGTCGATGAGCGAGTCAGCATCAATCTTGAAAAGCACCTTCTTGGCCAGGAGCGGCGATAGGACTGTGCCAATGGCCTGGACGCCCTGGGAGATGTTGAGCCGTGTTTCCGCGTATTTGGCAGGTCCGCAAAGGATTGTGAATGGATTTGCCGCGATTTCCAGTGTTGACAGGCCAAGACCGACGATGAAGTTCGAGATGAGAAAGGCCGGGTAAGAGGTCAAGACTGCCGAGGGCCAAAATACCAGTGTACCGCAAGCGTAGATACACAAACCGGACATGAAACAGACCTTGAATCCGTATTTCTTGAGGATTAAGCGTCCATAGGTAAGGGGGCCGACGAAGTATCCAGCGAAATAAAGGCTGTGGATGCTGACCGTCTGACCACGGCTCATGCCCGCAATGCTTTGAAACTGTGCGTTCAAAACATCAAGGAGACCGTACGCGAAACCCCATAGGAAAAACAGAATGGTGACCATTGTAACTGGGAAAATCGACTCACTGTTGGTCAACTGGACCAAGCTCTTCTTCCTCTTCAAATAAACGAAATCAAAGAAAGTGGGAGTCCGTGGACTCGTGTGCCTTGTCGTGTTGGTCAAGGCGGTTGGAGTCCTCTCACATGCCGGCAGCTCCCTCATATCCGGAGTAGTCAGGAATTCCAGCATGCCCATTGGCTCCTCGGGCCCCGTAGACGCCGTAGGAGGCGGTCTGGTCGGGGATTCGTCATTAGCAGATGGTACTCTTTGCGCGTTGATCATATCATTGTCTGTGTAGGTCTCCCGGCGATGGGTGATGGAATGAACAGTTTCTCCGGCATCCCGAATGAATCGCGGCATGAACCGGGACACGAGAGGCTTCAACGCAGGCACGCATCCGCAGCAAATCCCGACATTGACCTCGATGCTGCTCCACAGGAAGGACAGCGAGGCATACCAGGAGAAGTCGGTTTGCTCGTAGTTTCTCGAATCGTTATTCTTGATGTGGTTCTGAATGTCTCGTAGACGGGTCGTGGCAGCCGACTGGAGGTAGACAATGCGGACAACATCGACAACAGCCACGAAAACACCGAAGCCAAAGGTAATGACGAGGATGGTCTTCTGCTTCTTTGGGAGGCGCATGGATGTCAGAATAGGCATAGGCAGAAACAGAGTAGCGAGATCGGTGATGATGTTTAGCGGCGCCGATGATAGGTAAAGGGTGACGATATCGGTGCAGTGGGCACCCGGTGGCATGGGGTTCACGAAGGCGGCGCTAATTGGCCGACACTGAACGATGTTGAGTACGGTGAGGGCTGCACCGCCCACGTTGACGAGCAAAAGGTCGGCGATGACGCCCCACCTAAAGGCGCGATGGCTCTTGGACAGGGTGAGGTAAAAGACCAAGATTGACGTTTTTGTGGCCATCAGGCAAGGGTTCTGGAGCGCAATTAGCTACGATTGACACGACGGCTTGCGGCCGTGGTGTGCAGTGGACGAGAGGGGAGCGTACGTAAAGGACGGTGAAGACATATTCCAGTCTCCTGAGCGGCGGGTCCTGAGAATTGGGGATGTTGGCCTCGTGCATGCCCAGGCCGTACTTGACGCCGTAGCAAATGGAGAAGGACAGGCCGAAGGCGAGCACCCAGGCGAAGGCCATGAAGTAGTCATCCCAGCCGACCTTCTTGACAATGCCAATGCGCGAGGTCAAGCGAAAGCCGACGAAGACTGTCGAGCACACAATCATGGCAATCGACACGGTGAGGACGATGGGGCCGCGGGACTCGAAATCGCCATCGCTGGTCGACATGCTGCTTGCTCAACCATTGTCCCGGAGGGGAACAGGCGGGAGGCAGGACCAGAGGTTAAGCAGGCGTGGAAGCAGGACGCGCCTGGCGCGACGTCCTGCTCGCCGCGCGAGGGGGCGGGCCTTTTTTCTTCCTTCGTTTCCCTCTGCGGCGGCGCGCTAGGTCCGTCGCCGGTGCGGAGGCGGGGTTGGTGGTGTCGAGGCTGGCCGGGGCGCGAGGCCTCGAATTGGGGTTGTGGAGGGTAGTGGCGCAATGTCACTGGTGGTGCGCCGAGCGATCGGGACAGGTGGTTAAGCTTATTGCCGCGGTACGGTACAGCTCGGGCGCACTCCCGACAGACGAGGGGACAGGGAGCCGGGCGCCCGCGGGCTGGGAAGGACTGGGGAGTTGTGTGTGTCGCTGGTGAGCGCAGAGGGCGGCGGACAGGTCAAAGAAAGAGGCAGACCCTGTCGGCAGACCGCTCATCCCCCATACGTCGGCAGGCACTCGTACCGGGCAGCTGGGCTTGGGCCGGGGAGCGCAAAGCGCCGTGTGGCTTGCGGTCGTAGAGTTTTCATGACTTGGGGCTTGGCGCGCTGGCACTGCCGGATCCAGCAATGCCCGACGACGCGGCCAACAGGGAGGGCCATGCGCGCAGCACGGCGTCTGGGGGAGGCGCCTGTCAGCGGTGCGAGAGCTAGGCCCGGGGCTGCCTCGGACGGGACAGGCGCGCGCCTCGCGATGACGACGATTGCCGTTTCGTTTGGCCTCGATGATCCCTGCCCGCAAATGCTGCACCTCCCAGCGGGATCGCCGCCAGCAGCGGATCCGCTGCCAGCCTGCTCATAAAAGGATTTTTCGCAGCGCTTCCCAGCTAGCGCCTTCCTTCCGCACCGTCTCCGTCGTGCGCCGCCCGGCAATTGCCCGCGGCGAGGGCTGAGCACTTTTAGCAGCACGACAGACAGTCTTGAGACACGAGCCCAAGTCGAGTCAGTCGCAGCGTCTCGCATCGGCACGGAACGGTTTTTGCTCGGCTCGGCTGCCACGCCGATGACGATGATGCGAAACGTCTCATCTGCGTGACCTGGCGAGTGGGATGCTCAGGTTGCAGATGCCCAGACGTCGGATTGGGCGAGCGACAGCTGACACTAATAATGGGCTAGTTGTCGCCTCGCCTGGTCGCCGACCGGCCCAGCTCGCTCAGCAGCCGAGTCGATCAAACAAAAGACGGTCGGTCGGGCTGGGCGCGGTGCATCAGAATTGCTTCTTCCGTCCCTAGACACGCGCACGGCCGGAATTTGCCTGGCTGTGGCGCAGATTCAGCAGCCTGCCGAAGCGGCCAGTGCGCCCGTCTTCAAGAGCCGCCTCGAGGGCTCGTGCCACGTGCGTTGCTTCAGAGCCGCGCCGCGAAGGTTATGTATCCAAGCTTTGGCTCAACCCGCCGCAGCCTACCTTAAACCGACCTGCACACCACTTTAGCAGCCGAGAGACGAGCCGGCTACCCCGCGCGGAACCCGCTTTCGTCTCTGCCTTACCGCCCGATGCCGGCCCTGCCAGCCAGCCAAACCACCAGGGACATTTACGCCGACCTGCGCCGCCTGGCGTCGCCTACCCCACCGGCCAGCCATGGTAAGGGTGCGGGAAGAGAGGGGCCGCCATCCGACTGCAAGCCCATCAGGCCAGAATGACCGCAGAGTCTTCTAGTCAGGAACCGCCCCAAGCATCTCGGAGTTTATTCCCGTCCCGCTCCCATGCCACCAGCGCACATTATTTCTGCACTGCGTGATACATCGTCAAGCGCGGCTGCTCCATTGTCACCCACGCATTCCCATTGGCCCCGCCTGCCGCCACCGGCCCAAGCTGCATCAATGGGCTTGCATGAAGGACGGGGGAAGAAGCCAGACAAGTGACCTCGAAAGTGGAGAGAGCGAGCTGCTCGCACTTCAAAGCATCAATAGTAGGAAAATGGCTCGGCCTCGGCCTCCGCCGCGCGCAACGTGTACATTTCCTCTCACCGACTTCTTTGCCGCACCGGAACTTGCGCAATCTGGGGCTTGGCGGCCAAACGGTCAAAGGGTCCTTTGCCTCGACAGGGCCACACCGCTCGACTATCTTTCTCAGATCTCATCGTACGAAAGGCGATGCAGAAAAGGACGCAACGTCCGTCCGAGGGCCCGAGAGCCTGCTGTTGCCCCTCCGCCCTCCGCTCGCCCCGCGCTCCGAGCGGTCCTCCTGCGACTGATTGGCCCGCAGAAGCGCGACCGGTGATCTGCTTGTCCTTCTTCGCTTCTTGCTTGCGTCCATATGTGAAGCATTATGTCGATGATGTGTGGAGCCGCTGCTATTCATTACCCGGCTCTGTGCCTCTCTTCGCCGTTGTGCGCTTTTTTTGGAGACACGCCCATGCGGTGGAGTCCAGACTGCTTGACCGGTCACCCGCTTCCCGCTCGTCACTCTCATGCGTGGCGAGACCGACCTGTGACTATCTCGCAAGCAGCAATAACGCCCGCAACGCATACGCGATGCAATGCAACGTTATATGTGCCAGATAAAGTGCCTGTGTGGCAAATGTGATAGGTCTAAACGTCGGTTCCTGCGTGCGGACACTCCATATATGGTGACCGCACGGCCGGGTTAAGCTAGCTTCGCTATTACCTGCTACGTAGTAGAAGGATAATCATTACCGGTGTCGAATGACTGTCTGCGCTACCTGGCGGTATCGTGGAAGACGTCCGTCACGCAACAACGACTGTAAAGACGTTGGTATTGGGATGCACGATCGCACTCGATTGGTATCAGAAGCACACGCAACAGACACAACTAAGAGCACATTGGAATGGCAATCGAACATGCATTTCGCGCTAAGCTTAGCTAGTCGTGCCATATAGTGAGAAGATCATCGATGGAAGTCTCACCCCTTCCATCGTCAGCCGTTCTTGGCAAGTAGAGAGAGTCATCCAATCCAGAGATGACCCATAGTAACCAAAGAAAAGAAACCACCGGACTTATCCGTGTCCCATTTCAAAGGGAAACTGGAAAGAAAAGGCCATCAACTAGCGCTGAGTCGGTGAAGAAGAAGTGTGGATCATTCAACATTCGCTATCGCGGTTGCAGTTGTTGGCAGGACTGCAGTAGTTGTATGGCGTGACCCTAGAAGAGAAAATAGGTCAGAAAAAGCATCTCACCGCTGAGGAACAGGACCAAAACTTACGTCCTTTGAGAGTCGTCCGAGTCGTAGGTCTCAAGCTCCTCCCTGATCTCGTCTTCAAACAACCAAGAGAGACTCACGTCTGAGTCCGATGCCATGAACCAGTCGTCATCGGAATAGGGAGCGAACGTAGCAGGATCCTTGAAGTGGATGGGCGAACCCAGGCGGCGAATGCTATTAATCAAAGCTTTGTGGTTATCAAGCCGTCTGCTCACGGGTGGGGGAAAGTAAATCTGGAGATCCTTACACGTTATCTTCGCCCTTGACGGTGATGCCGCTACCCTTGGGCAACTTGCTCTCAGCCGCAGCACTCATCTTGCTCTCAGCCGCAGCCGTGGCCTGAAAGCCGCTCTTCTTGCGACCGCGGAAGGGCGTCGTGGTGGGCGTGTCGGCATCGGCAGCGGCGGGCTTCTGTTGGCCCTTCTTCTTGTTGTTCGTCGACTTGGGCTTCCTCTTGGAAGAAGGGACGTACTCCTCATCGCTGGGGTTTTCCTGGACAGTGCGCTTGGACGTGTTGCGCTTGTGGCTAGCGGAGGCGGTCGCAGCAGCTGGGGTGGCAGCGGTAGCGGTAGCGGTAGCCGGCGTGACCTTGACGACAAAGGGCGACCTGTAAGTGGCCGCGGGGATCTCGTCCTCCTCTTCCTCATCTACGTCGGGGGCGTTGCGCTTGTTATTCTTCTTGGGCGCCTTGCGACGGACACCGCCAACCTTGGAAGCCGGAGCGGGCTTCTTCTTCTTCTTGTTGGCCTCGGCGGGTGGGGCAATGGCGCGGTCGGGCATGTTCTGCAGCGTCTCGAGCTCGTTGCGGACAGCGCCACGGATGACCTCGTAGTCCACGCCGGGGACGGGAAGGCCGAGGCGCTCCTTGAAGCGCTGGTTCTTAGCCAGATTCTTGGGGAACATCTTGGTGCCCTCGCAGATGCACCACATGTGGTCTTCGCGGTTCCACGGCTGCTCACCCTCCTTGGTCGGGTTCCTGGTGCGCTCGATGGTCTGGGCCTCGTAAACTTCAGTGGTGAGCACGGCGGTGCGGCGCGGACCAAGGCGCTTGAGCTCGCGCTCTAGCTCGGCGTTTTCGTTCATGAGGTCGACGTTCTTCTGCGAGCAGTACTCGGTGCAGATCTCCAGCATGTGGAACGTGACCGGCTGCCAGTGAAGGCACCAGAACTCCCAGTCGCACTCGCGGAGGCGCTGCGGGCGCGGCAAGAACATGAACTCCATGATGTACTCGAGTGGGTCCTTCTTGAACAGGCTGAGCGGCGGGTGAGGTGTGTTCAGCTTCATGTTCTCGTGGATGAAGGAAGTCTCGTCGACGATGTCGGCCTCTTGAACGACCTCGACGTTGGTGTTTTTGTACTTTTCGATGTACGTGTCGTCATCGTACACGTACGGTGTCTCAGTCATCGGCGAGACGATATAATCGTCGTCCGCCATGGTTGGTGTCGTGAGTTTTGTGAGCGTTCCAGAGGTGTCGGGTGGGGTGGAGGGTGGAGAGGAAGGGTTGTAGGTGAGGAGGCAAATATTCAGGGCCGCCCACGCGTCGCTGTTCGCATGCCACCAATTAGGCAGCCGTAGCGAACGAGGAAGGAGCGGTTGTTGGAGCAGCCCGCTCTTTTTGCCCTTTGGCTTAAGTTGCGACGTTGGCATGTCTGGTGTCAACTACATCATCACTTGTCAACTGGAGGTGACTAAGCACTCATACGAACAGCTGAAGCGCCCCGCCTGTACCATCTAATATTAAAGCTTCCTAGAAACTCGGAACATTCATCCCCAAATATGTGTGTAGGAAATGTACATAATCGGGGAAGTAGGCCCGGATGGGGAATGCTAAGCATCAAACCACAGATCAAGAAGATGCGACGTGCTATTCCTCAAGCTATCCATTTCAGAACATTAGAATGCCGACTTAAATGGTATATAGAGTTACTAAAGTCTTCCGATAGAGTAACCGCAGTATGTGGAATCCAAGCAATCGCCATGAGCGGGGTAGGTATAACCGAGCTGAACATATTCGGATCAGAGCTCCAACAATTCTCAGAGTCGTGCAGCCAGCGCTTCCTGCGTGCGGGGCATTGGACTGCAGGTCTAGTTACAGGGCATTAAGCCTTTCATTTAACTTCAGGATCCTGAACCTTACGCCAGCTCCTTACACAATCAATTGGTCTGACATGTTTCTCTTAGTATATTTGCACTCCACGCGCGTATATGAGGTGAGAATGAGAGGGGTATCTGTCTCTCCTTTTCTAGCGATAATAATACATCCAGTACTACACAATTTCCGCCGCCGAAACTCCACCCAATGCATCGTTATAAACATGTTCATACACTCGGCCAGTCATAGGCGCTGCCCGATTAAAAGCCCCAAAACTTCGAGACTCGTGTCTTGACGCCCTCCCAGCTATTCAGCTTCGGCCTGACATCCAAGTAAAAGTTCAAGCTCTTGCCTGCCTTCCCTTCATTACGGCCGGAGTAGAAGTCAATGACGTATTCAACCGTCGTCCCGCAGCGATCGATGACCCAATCATGCCTATCGAATGGCGCCTGGTATCCGAGGAGCGTATTCCACCGTGCGCGAGGCGTCAACTTCTGCGAGTTACCCGAGAAAGCCACGAGTTTGGGGCCACCGCAGCTACAAAGACACATTGTCAGCAAACAAATCCCGTATTCTCCACCCAGCCAAGCTTGCGGGGGGGCCAAAGACATGCTTACCTCGCGCTACCCCTCCCCTCTTCCCACTCCTTGATCTCCTTCCACGCCCGCTCGTTCACCGCGTTATGGATCGGCACGATGCTGCGCATGTCCTCGATGCGCGGGTCGAACTTCTTGCGGCGCATCGCGTTGAAGAACATCTCCTCGCTCGGGTAGATCCAGTTGCCCGATCCCTTGTCCTGGCCCGTCTCGCCTTCATTGTTCGCCGGCGGCCGCCCCGCCGCCGTTTGGTCCCCAGGGAATGCGCGCGGGATGGTCGAAACTTCGCGGTCCTGCTTGAGGCCCAGGTAACCGAGGAGCGAGGAGCCGGTGGATGGCGGGAGGGATTGGTCGAGCTTGGTTGAATCGCAGCCGTCGGATGCCGACGACGAGACGGGCTTCTGAGGGGGAGCAGAGGCGGCTGCTGCTGCTGCTGCTGGTGCTGGTGGCAGCGGGTGCGGGAGCGGCGGTGCGGCTTCTCCGGCTGCGGCGGCCTTTTGCGCTTGCTCGAGCCAGGCGGCGCGAGCGTGATGGTCGACGGGACAGACGGCGGGCTGGGATTCTCCTTCAGCGGCCATTGTGAGCGGGATTGATCCTGGGGTATTGTGAATGCTGATGGATGGGAAACAAAAAGTTCGGCGATGATGCGATTAAAGTTCGGACCGCCAAGCGTTTGGTCCCGCGAACCCTTGTTCCCGGTCGTCCGCGCACGGACTTCATCTAGACGACTACTCCATACGGAAGAGATGTGATTGGTGGACTGTGTGAGGTGTGGTACGCTTGAAAGTTGTTACGCACTATAGATGGATGGCATTTCAAGGAGACAGCCCGGTATGTCAACTTCATTCGCCTTTGCTTAGGACTCACTAAAGAGTACCATTTATCATCCCAAATTACCCAATGTTCTACATGGAAGATTCATATTTGTGCCTCTCGCTACTGTTCCTCCTCTCAGCTTTCTTCGATACCTCTCTTGGGTATAATAAGCAGGACGACGGCAGACCAGGTGCCGTTGTGTCGCTAAGGGCCGCTCAGTCAGAGTTGGAGATTCACAATTGCGCCCGAAAGGAGCACACGTTAGAAGAACGGCTTTAAAGTACCTCAATACCGCACATTATATGCAGAATTCCAAGACAACCAATTAGCATTGACTATCCTGGGGCTTTTCTAAAGTTTTTAAGGGAATCCGGATGCTTTCCCATGTTGAGGCCGGTCCATAATCCTCCCCAGCCTGTGCTCTATAAAGGAAGAAAACCAAAAAGAGATCCGCCATCCAGTTAACGCCATCTGTTCCGTATCCCATGATCATTCCCATGTGTGCCGTTTCGTACAGTTGTAATCGCCCCGCCCTATGTTCCCCGTAATGAAAGTAAAACCGCCATTCGTTAACCGATCGTTTGGAGTCGTGCGGCATAATGAAAATGAAGAAAGAAACTTTTTTTTTACATCGTATATGCCACGCTCAGCAGAATCCGGAATGGGAAACCCCCGTCGAGAGCTCCGATCAGACGTGCTGAGTGTGACATACGTATCGAATCCAGTCGTGACTGCGCGTAAAATGAGGTTCGTTGGAGAGCATCCAGTTTGAAAGGTCGCGGTGGATACCAGGTGAGACCTCTCAAAAGGCGTGGCCCAATGAGAACCAAACAAAAGCGCTCGGGGAAAAGAAAGCCGCAAAGCCGAAGGATAGCTTTAGAGGAGAATGTTGGAGGCCCTGAAGTGAACCGAATGAAACAGGATGCTGACGAGGGATGTTCTGAAGAAACATCCAATGAGGGAAACCGATGTCCTAGGTGACTGCCAGGGATGAGTCCCTTGAATTGAATACCGGATCTGGCCTCTGGCGATCGCGGCGCAAATCTCGAACGTTTCTTTCAGGAAGGCCGCCGAAGAGTCTAGTGGCAAGCTGGAAGCAAGGTGGATGGTAGCCCATGAGAAATTCGTTTGTGCAGAGGCTTTCGCGACAGGTAGGACTGTCGAAGGCATGCTCATGATCGATAGAGTGATGTTGAGGTGTCGAGAGAAAGCCTTGAGAGATTATAGCTGTTGCGTCAACGACACCAGGTCTGTGCCTGGGGGCATTCAGATCAGAGCATTCCCTCCAAGGAAATGGAGTACCTGGCTCCGCTACTCAAGTAGAAGAATCTGTTGTTGATGATGACCGCGCTGCGGTGTTCACTGCGACGCCTGGCCTCAGGATTAGTAGCAACAATGCTTGGGGGATCACGAGAAGACTCAGATCCGTCAAGGGCGTTGCTTACGGGGCGGGAAGTCGAGGAGGCGAGAGGGCTCGTAGCAGTACTAGCATAGTTGCTGATGTTGCTCATGCGGGACATGCTGACTAAAGTTGCAGTTAGTCTGTCTTTGACATCAGTTCAGGTGATTAGTGGGTTGGCTCACCTTCACCTCCGGTACCCTCCGCAGCGCTACAACCGGAGACAGCGCTCTTAGGAGAAGCGCGACCGAGAGCAGAGCCCTCGCTAGTAGCGGCTTCAGCCTTGTCTTCAGGGATCGCAGTCATGCGAGTAGCAGCAACAGCTGAAGGTGCCTCGGCAAACTCCATCACGTTGGTGTGCGAGCTCAAAGGGCTCATACGGTGAAAACCGTTGTGTCCAGAGACATCGGTGATGTCAGGCATGGAGCTCTCTGTAGCGAAAGCAGGAAGCTCCGCCTTGGTGCGGCCTCCGTAAGCTTCCACTGGGCTCTTGGACGCAGTAGCTGAGATGTCGCGGTCATCAGCGCGAGGGGCGTGCAACAGGCTCATACTGGAGAACGTGATAGCCGGTCCCGGGTTGATCGGTGGCAGTTCGGGCATCTTTGTTCCAGCACTGGGGATGCTTTCCATGGTCGGAGAAAACTTGCCGGGGCGCTCGGAGCGGAAAGCGAGAGGCGAACTCAGCATTGCTGCTGAACGAGACGTCCGGAGCGAGGTTGCAGGCTCCGGGTTGTGAAGGTCTATAGCGGTCTGGACCGTTGTGTTGCGTCGCTTATGGCGGCGTGTCAGGTTGAGCGTATTCTTCATACGCTCTAAGATCGAGGCCTTCGCGGGGCGGCTCTGGTCTTGCTGGTGCTGTGAATTGCTGGCATTCTCAATGCTGCTGTCGTTGTCGCTAGTTTCTCCCGGACTTTGCTCGTTCAAAGCGAGCTTGCTCAGGCGATGAGTAGAAGAAACCCATCCACGAAGGCCAATGCTGGTCGGCGGGCGGGTCGGAAGAGCGGTCATAGAAGGAGAACTGCGGCCTAAACTCTGCTTGCCCACGCTGGGGTCTTTCTTGTGTTCTGCGCTGGAGGTTTTCATGGTGTCGTGATGAGGGCTCGTCGAGTGACCGTCACGAGTTCCAGAGTTGCCATGGGTCTTCATTGCCTTAGACTTAGGCTGCTGCTCAATGCCTCCAGGAAGCACGGGCTTTTTGTTGACGCGTTCGGGAGCGCCCCAGCTGCGGACATCCTCACCTGCCTTCGGACGGCGGGGCGGAGTAGACATTGCTTCAGCTCCCTGGCGAACATCATAGGGTGCGCCAATCGACATCTTCTCGACCGGCTTGGGCGGGGTCATTGAAGTCATGAACGGTAAGGACCGCTTCAGGTTGGCCGACTTTTCTCCTAAGACTCCGCTGACCTTGTTGAAGAGACTGGCCGAGCTGGCGTTGCGCGTCTCGAACTGATTGGAATTTTCATTTTCCGGGCTCATGCCCACCGTGCCCACCATTGAGGCGTTGGGCCTGTCCACCTTTTGAGCTTGCCGGACTGCGCGTCTGTTTCTCAGGCCAAACTTCTGGCGCAGCGCAAGCGAAGGGAGGTTAGTAGTAGTATCAGTGAGCGTGGCGTCAGTGAGGTCGGATGCAGTGCGTTGGTTCGATGTGTTTGTAGTGAGCGTGTCCGAGCGGTCTGATAGTGAATGACTGGATGAAGAATTGTGTGCAGCGAAGGGTCTTGAGAATCGGCAGTGGTTCACTGGGAGTTCGTCGCTTCCGCTACGTGAAGCACGTTGACAGGTGACCGGACTCAGCGCTGGCGAGGATGGCGTAGACCAGAGTTGGCTTAAAGCTGCCGGGGCGCGGTAGGACAAAGGTGTGCCTACAGGTTCAAGAGTGGACGACAGGCGGTGGACGATAGCCCCGTCTGTAGAAGCTGAGGTTGAGCGCACGTGTCGCGAGGCCGAGCGTGACGCAGATCCAGAACTGAGATCGGGCGCGCCGGGGTGTCCAAGGTGAGTTGACAGCGGTTGGAGCGAACGGCGGGCAAGATGCTGCGACGCAGGCGGCTCTCGTGAAGACAGGCGGGCTTCTGGAAGGCGGGGCAGATCAGGGTTGGCCAGGGGTCGCGAGAGATCGACAGGATCGTCGGAGGTGGTAGAAGAAACGAAGGCGGGTTGCGGAAGAGAGGGGGTGGTGGAGGGTTTTGCGCGGGCGAGGGTGGTCTTCTCGGGGCGCTCGCGGAGGGGGTCGTCACGGCGCGGGCGCTTCTGCAACTTCGAATGGCCTGAATTCCTGTGAGCGAGGCTGGGCCATCACCTTCTCCGGGCACTAACACGCACTCTGGCCCTCTCCAGCATCTCCGGGGGCGCCATGGTCGTCGCGGAAGACACTGAACGAGAACGGGCCGCGCACACGCTTTCCGTAGGTCGCCATGCTCTTCACAGAGTCGGAACGAGAGAAGGACGAGGCAAAGACAGGAGCAAGGTGGAGCTGAAGTACGGGGAGGACGCGGTCGAGCGGCTTGACGTTGGAATTGGCGTCGCGCGTGGGAGCAGCGCCCATGCGGGGCAGGCGCGGGTGCCATCGAGAATGGTAGTTATTCTGGCCCATCGCTCCTCCTCCAGCTGCTCCTTAGGCGCTTCAGCCCTGCGGCGACCGAGCGGGAGGGGCCTGAACTCCGTCTTATACAGCCCCATCGCTTCGCTGCGCTCCTACCAATGGCTACGTGTCGGTCGCTCCACTTTGCCGCTCCTGTGCCTGTAGCGCTTCACCGCCGAATTCCCGCGAATCCCCCGCGTCCTTCAGGCTTCCCGTAATAAAAATAAACGACATGGCGGCATCTGCGCCAACCTGCCGCGACAGAGAGACAGTCTGCACAGCAAAGCAGTGCGCGCCAGGGCCGCAGAGTCTGGAACTACTGTGGGCGTCGAGAGCGGGCGCAATTCGGCAGAAACAGCGCCGACGGCGGAAGGCGAAGCAGAGCTGGAAGCAGGACTCCCAGAGCCGCATTTAGCGGGATAGCAGCGGCATGGTGTTGAGTAGTGCAGTCGGACACCAGCGCTCGGGGCAATTACTCCGGACGGGCTGTGATTGGCGGGCGGCGCTGCAGCGTCTTCTCAGCTCTCCGCGACGTCACTATTTCCCTGGGAGCGCAGCTAGCTCGGCGATTACAGCAGCCGCCCGTTCTCGGCTGTGTCGTCCACTCAGCGGTGCGGCATTCGGGACACCGCTCGACGCTGATTCGCATCCTCGGTCCTTCCGTTGTTGGCCGCAGCGCCACTCTGCGTTCAGACCCTTCTCGTCTCGACCCGCCCTTCCCGAGCCTCCTCGATAATTTAACCCGACGCGACCTCCAGCGCATATACAACTCCGCCACTCTCCCAGTTCAATCCCCCCTTTGTACACCCCGCCATGTCGTTCTCCTCACTCGTCTCCGACTTGACCTACCGCGACAACGGCGACGACCGCCGCTCGCAGGTTTCGCGCGCCCGCTCTTACGCCAGCACAGCTGCCACCAGCGTCAGCATCTCCGGCGACATCAAGAGTCAGCTCCATGGCGGCTACTGCCACCCTCTTGCGCGCTCATGGCAGGCCGAGCGCCAGCTGACCAAGGTACACTCCGCAGCCTCTCTCATTGCTTCCGAACAACTCCTGACCGCGCCGCAGTCCATGCTCATCTACCCGCTCTTCGTCTCCGACCAACCCGACGAGGAAGTTCTGATCCCCTCGCTCCCCAACCAGTACCGCCGTGGCATTAACCGCCTCGTACCTTTCCTCACCCCTCTCGTTCGCAAGGGACTGCAGTCTGTCATCCTCTTTGGTGTTCCAATGGCGCCCGGCGCCAAAGACGCTCTCGGAACTGCCGCCGACGACCCCGACGGACCCGTTATCCAGTCCATTCGCCTGCTCCGGAAGGCCTTCCCGAACCTCTTCATCACCGCCGATGTCTGCCTCTGCGAATACACTTCACACGGACACTGCGGTATTCTGCGCGATGACGGCAGTCTGAACAATGCGCTCTCCGTGGACCGAATTAGCGACGTTGCCATGGCCTATGCGGACGCTGGCGCACACTGTGTCGCACCCTCAGACATGAACGATGGCCGTATCCGTGCTATCAAGCTCAAGCTCATCGAGGCTGGCATCGCGCATCAGGTCGTCCTGATGTCCTATTCCGCCAAGTTCTCCGGTTGCTTGTACGGTCCGTTCCGCGATGCCGCTGGCTCAGTCCCCTCCTTCGGCGACAGGCGATGCTACCAGCTTCCTCCTGGCGGCCGTGGCCTCGCCAGACGTGCCATCGTCCGTGATATCAACGAGGGTGCTGACATCATCATGGTCAAGCCGGCTTCGCAGTATCTGGACATCATCTCCGATGCCAAGGAGATCGGCAAGGACCTTCCTGTCGCCGCGTACCAGGTCTCTGGCGAGTACGCAATGATCCATGCCGGTGCAAAGGCGGGCGTTTTCGACCTCAAGACCATGGCCTTCGAGGCTACCCAAGGTATTCTTCGCGCCGGCGCAACCATCGTTGTCAGCTACTTCACTCCAGAGTTCCTGGACTGGCTTAGCAACTAAGTTCTCTTGTCATGTTTTTTGCATAAGCACATTACGGATATCCCCCAAAAGGTCCCTTTAAACATTCCTTGGGATTGTTCGACACTGTTCCGGTGTTATCTAGGTGTGCGGCGTTTTAGGGTAATTGGTTTTCGGTATTCCCACTTGTAGCAGGTTAGGTCGTGTTCTCAACCGTTGATGGACGAAAAAGGTCCAGGCTGTATTCGATCCGCCTGGCCATGACATAGCAAATGATATCCACTTCGAAAGTTCAATTATCTCTGCACGTTGTTCATGATTGTTAGTCAACTCGGCCCGGCCCCTCCAGACCATTTCTGACAGATGCAGCAATAGCCCACATTCGTCGACGTTTGGCAGGTGATCCAGTATGAATACAGCGGTGCAAATGTTATCACTGGGCTTTGCATCGTATGTACTGCTTTGGTCCACTAAATTCGGCCAATCTTCTCTAGCATTTTAAAATTGCGTACATTTCTCGTCCTTCAGGGTAATAAATATCTCCTCACATACCTGCCGAAGAGCCGCACGCGTGAGCTCAATAGCTACTGATTATACCCCGCCCCGATGGCCCTTGGAAAGTGTTGTCAAAACTTTGACTCGGTCCTATCGTCACCTAATCCTTTTTTTTACCCAAAATTTACAGTGCTTGACTGTACGTGCCTAGCATGTATGTCTAGCTTTTTAGAGCGCATGGCTGTGACGCGAAAGCTACTTTGATCTGCATCTTCAGAAATAGGTACGCACCAAGCAATGCCACATAGCACCCTCATTGAAAACCAACGCTACTTACTGATATGGCCCTGACAGGATGAGCACATTCAGCCTACCTCGACCACCACCATCTGGAACATCATTTCGTATTAGCACAACTATAACGGCAGCAGTACCACGCAAGGCCGGAGAGGCATAATATCACCCATGCTAACTACATGGTGCAATTGTTTCTTTACAACTTTGGGCATTCGGAATCCCACTAAGCTTCTAAATGCATTGTTCTTGTCAGATGCACTTTCGGAGAACATTTAAGATCTTATACGTGTTAAAGATCGAAGGGCCGCACATAGTATTTACCTATTGAGAAGGGCCTAATCAGGCCTAGTTCCACTCCAGTGTACATAGTCTCTGCTAGCCGTCAAGCCCCTTAGAGGGTCAATCTATTATGGTTTTCAACAATACGTTGTCTACTAAATGTACTGCAATGGGACCGGTGATCTTGCGGCCTTTTTAATGCATGCATCGCCAAAGCTGGTGCCAACCTAAATAAAGAGAACACATTAGCTGATACTGATCAATCCGCGGTGAGAAATTGTCACTTCTACGTTTTTGAAGAGTTTCTGTAACCCGGAGAAGGTTGCTTGGTAAGACGTGAAATAACCTACCACATTAAAATATAAATCCGGGGTTACAATCTTAGCGTTCTCTTTTGGTCAGACAGGAGACGTCTTTCTTGGAGGAGCTGTGTCTCTTCCGAGTATATGATAGCTATGTAGGATATGTACGCTTCAGTAGAGAAACAACGCAGAATTTTAGTCTATTTCCAAGGTGCTGTCTGATGTTCGTATGCTTTATAGCGGTAAAAGCTATATGATGGAGGTTGTGGATAAGATGATATACTATGGCTTGGGCATTGAACCCTTCCGCAATCCAGTGCCGTCTAAGCGGTGTATTCCCTTGGTCACTGCAAATTCGGCCCAGCAGGGTAACACGTCGTTCTTTTTTTTTTTTTTTGCTACGTAGCTTGCATAATGTGAGGTCTGTGTCAACTGACCATCTCGAAGCGAGCACAGTATGATGCCTGCGACGAGAGCACTCTTACGAAACTGTAGACTCTTCCGCTGTAAAGCGACTGCCTGAACATAGAAAAAGAAGCAAAAGTGAACATTGGCACTATTGGCGTCCTGCTTACTGCTGAATACGGCAGAAATAACAGATTGCTATAGTACTTACTTAGATTTGCTTTCATCTCGCTACATTCGAAGATACAATTAATTCGTGCCACTGGTGGCGCCGTAGTGACTTGCTCACCGTGTGCAGCATTATAGAAAATGCTCGGCACCCTCACGAAGAACATATTCGCCGCGAAGATGGAGTACTATAACGATATCTCACAATTATGCTGTTTAATCTAGAGTTTTTATAATCGATGTTCTTTAGACAAGAGTGGTATATCTGTCTAAATAAGCGCACTTGCTTGAAGCTTTACGAAAGTCTTTTTTCTAATCCCACCCTATTTTTTTTTATTACTAGCTATTTGATACATCAGTCAAACGGATAGAAACTTTATTCGACTTTAAAAATAGCTTAATGTCTTAAGTACGAGTATTATTAGCTTCTTTTGTGTTAAGGTTCTTGTCCGAAGATTTTCAAGTCACGCGCGTCACTCGTGCCTGAATAGCCCGTACAGAAAAAATTATATTCACCTGTCCCGGCCATTCCGGACGCATTGCTATACTTAGTGGAACTGTAGTGCGATGGTGTTCTTCACCTGCTGATAAATTTGTGGGTGCCTCCGCCGGCATCAACGGCAACGAGAAGCGGCATCTTCGGCAGCAATTCTGCAACATGCTTCCGAATCCGGACATTGTTGCGAACCACCAACCCCCACGAAAGACAAGGAGAGGATGGTATTCAAACTTTTATTCCGCCTGCCTGGTAAGAAACGTCATTCGCGACTGTCATAATACCTGGAGAGTAGCGAAACGCGAAGGGCGGTGGTGGGTGAAGGGCATGAGGTCGGAATACATTTCCAAATTCTTTGTCGCAGCTCTGGACTCCGTCGCTTGATCCGTTCCCAAAGCAGTGCATGTCTTCCTGTGCGGCGACGCGAGGTCCTCTTACCCAATGAGAGATCCCCTTGCTTCGGGCCATGTCATCGGGAAACAAAATGCGACTCACACCAACTAGCCGCCGCCGATCCCTGGCAACAGTCAAACCGTTTCCCCCACGGGGAAATCGGAGACAAACAGCGTCACACCTCGCACGACGGGAATTTGTGGTCGGAAATGATTCCTGAATCCGTTTCCGATTCGAGCCTGCGGCGGCTGAACGGGAGTTGGGTTGTGCTTATGCCCGCCAATCCTTGCTCCGTCCGTGTTGCTCTTAACTCCGTCCGAAAAAGGCGTATCGCGCGTCAACTTCCATCTTTGTCTCCCTGCGCGGACTCGGGGTTCTAGGAATAGTCCACGGTCAATTCACGGCGCCTGGAAGGAGTTACTTTCTGCTTCCTCTTCCAAGTCCACTAAGAATCCTGCCTGGCAGCTTAAACGTACTATAGTAGTTAGCGTAGTCCAAAAGCGCGATAACAACATGATCCGGTGGTCCGCTGACGGGGTGATGGGTTGGAGGAGCTTTTGGATGCGACGCACTGACCTCGAAGCTCCCCTCATTTCGCGGGCATGGGCCACCCACATGCAGAATTGTGGCGTATCTGGCCTACTCGCTCTTCGGCGGCCGAGATGCGAAGCTTCACATGTCAACACAGGTAGCTACTCATACACAGAACAGGGGATGCAATTGTGCTTGTTTGGGGGATATAAAGTGACGTGATATTGATGACATCCGTAGAAGCTACCTGCAGGGCTAACATCAACGAAGGACTGGGTATCCGGCGACGCTAGCCAATGTCCTTCGAGCAATGCCAATCTCTGTTCGTTCCATCCACCCGGCTTCCTTTCCTCCAGGTTCTACCTGGCGCGACTCAGCGCGCCGCGATGCCTTTCGGCGACCTCCCCACGGCAGTAGCCTCCGCCTTGGTGCTCATCAATGCCCCACGTCAAGCCATGTGTTTTCTTAACACTGTTGGCTCGTAGTCATGGTCGTTATACATGTCTTCAATTTTGTTGTGCCTCTTGGCTTCTTTTTTTGATGTTGTGCGCTCTTCACTCATGCGAAGAGGCTGGCACCGCCGGACTCGACGGCCTCGATCTCAGCCGCGCTCCACCTCAGGCGGCCGAAGCGGGGAGGAAGCTCGCTGCGGTCGAAGAACTCGCCCTTGCCAGGCTGGACGGAGCCGAGGGCAGAGCCGGGCTGGCTGCCAATGGCGCCGCTGGAAAAGGTGCGCTTGTTGAGGGGGCCGTGCTGCTGAGCCTTCTGGCGGTAGCTGGCGAAGGAGTCCGGCAGGGACTGGGAGGGAGCGGCCGGGTGAGCCCGGGGAGTGTGGTCGATGTCTGTTGGCACGTGGGGTTAGCTACCTGGTCATTCCGAGAAAATCGAATAGCTCCTCCGAGGAGCATGTGAAAGTACATGGCAGGAAAACTTACGGGCCGGAGGGTTGTGCTTGCCGACGAAGCGGATGAGCGGCTGGCGCTGAGCAAGGCGGCGGGCGGTGGCGGAGAACATGTTGGCGGACTGAGGACTGGTGCAGTTGCTCGAGGTGTGGGAAGAGGTGGCAGTGGTGAAGGTCGGAAGAGTGCGCGAGAGCTTGATAAAGTATCGGAGCGGAACGGCTAAAGTCGGCCGGAGCCACTAATTGCAGGTGGGTCCGTGAAAGAAGTTGGGGGCGTTCGGCGCTGCTGATCGCGGGTCGAAGTGCTGGAGGAGGAGCCGGGTCGAGGGAATGGAGACGGCCGGAGCAATGTGGGCGGGCGCAGGTTCAAATGTTGCTCGAGGCAAGCACGTCACGGCGGAATGGGCTGCGGTTTTCGGAGTGCGGAAACGAAGACGCGGCAACGGCGACGGGCTCGGAGATGCAGGATAGGCTGCCGTCTGAGGTAACGTAAGCGAGGCCGGCCGCCGGAGCAGAAAAAAAGGTGGACTGACAATTGTTCGAGCGGAGTCCGGCGCTGTGGGCGGAGCTACGAGCGGGCCCGGGGATCGTGCTTCGCGGCAGCCGGCCGGGTGGATGTCGCCATCGCATTGGCATGCCGCGTTTGGTGCGCGTTTCTAAGCAAGCGGCCATTGTGTCCCTCGATTTTTTGTGTCATCCCGGGGCCTTATCGCGCGGTCGGACCATCTCCCCACACCAACGCGACTCGCGCCTGCCCGCTGGCGTCAACCGCGTCCGATCGCCACGCCGGAGCAGAACCAGCTTCCTCCTACCCCGCCATGCCGCACGAGCTGCTCCTGTTTGCACAGCTGCCCAATTCGCGCCTCGAGCAGCTGCTGAACATCGTCGCCGGAATCGCCGGCGCCCAGCCGCAGCGTGTCATCGAGCGCCATGTGGTATACCGACCCCAGCGCGACCCGCTGCAACGCCAGTACGCCGTTGGCGCCAGCCAGAATGTGCAGACGACCCAGCGCGCGACCTCGCGCGAGCAGCTGTCCAAGGACATGTTCTACTGGCAGACGGTGAAGGAGCTCGACGACGCCGACTTTGGCCCTGCGGCGTCGAAAGAGCATGCCCCAAAAGAGAAGGCGAATCCCGACGCTGAACGCAAGGGTTGGGCTATCCAGTTTCAGGACATCCCAGAGGCAGGCCAGAGACCTGTCACCACGCGCTGGGTTCAGACAACCGACGTGGTCGCGGGCGATCCCCACGCCCACATGAAAGCGACCATGTACAAGTACGGAAATACCTCTCCACATTCTTGTTCGGGACCGGGCTGACGTGCCACAGCTACGTCTCCGAGTACGTTGACGAGGGTTTCCAATTCGTGCACAAGAACGCGACCATTCTCCTGCATCGCATTCTCCGCTTCCCTAACCCCGAGCAATCGCGCGATTCCCCTCTCGAAAGCCTTCCTCCATTCAAGGACCTTGAACCGCTTGACAAGAGCGGCGCGTATGTTGTGCAGGTGTCGATAAAGATCCAGGACAACTATAAGCCAGAGACCCGAGAAAAAGCCCAGGCGGAGCTCCTTGCATTGAAAGGAACGCTGAAAGGCGTCATCGATTTGGAGCCCGCGGAGAGGCTCGCTCTGGACACCCGAGTCAAGGCCAGACCGGGCTGAGGACGCGCAAGCCATAATTCAGAAGGGAGACGTCTGCATTAGGATACGATGAGATCACTAGACTACATCCGAGGTGGAGCTCCACTCAGAGGCCGGCATTTAGCAAACATGCCCGCGTAGAGCTCCACCTGCCTTCCAAATGGTAGGCGCTGGGAGAATAGGTAACTCAAGCTGGCCTGGTACTGGTGTCGTACAGCGAAAATGGTGAGGTCACAGCAGAAAACGCGCCATCGTAGAAGTTTTCGGAGGGCCACCTTGGTGAAGCTAAGGCTTGCGCCGTGTGAAAACACTCGCGAACGGATAGAAAAACAAGTTATATGCGAATGAAATTTAATCCCAGGCCAATGATGGACAGGAGCGCCACTTGAATCTCTATGTGATCTACGTAATTTTCCGTCAGCATGGTGGTGAGCTCAAACCTCTTCGCGAAGCGAATGTGCGAGAACACAGCTTTCGCGTCTCACCTCCGACAACTCACCACGATCCCGGTCCCGAAAAGGCAGGCGTGAGTCTCACTCGGGTCGAATGAATGTAGCAAGCTCGACCGCACTACATGCTTTGCGGTTAGGCAATACGGCGCACGTGCTACCGCGTCTTCGCGTCCGCTTCCGTCACGTCAAACCTGCTCCACGCTCGACACCACCACGCATCTCCAGACCCACATTCGGCCACGCTGCTTGCATCGCTCACCCGACCGCGAACATGAGCGATCAGGCGCCCTCGCTCAAACGGGCGCACACGGAAGAGGGCTCCATTTCTCCTCCGGCGGTGAAACGGCGGCAACAGTCGACGACCACAAGTGCGTCCGAAATTAGAACGGCTGAGGTCAAGGGAGATCGACTGACACGAGCAACGCAGGCAAGGCCGTGGCGGACTTCTTCAAGCCATCTTCCCAGAAGCCGAAGCCTGCGGAAAAGATTACGTGGGCCGTCGTCAAGGACAGCCTCCTCGTCGGAAAGCACCAAGCCGCCGACGCAATCCCAGCCACTGGGGCAGACCAGCCTCGCAGGATTGCTATTTTTGACTTTGTATGTACGAACGCCAACGTGTTTCAGCCGTCATCCGCCGCGCAGTATGGGTTGCTTGGAGGTGAGCGTCAGACTGACCCTTGCTCTCTATACTGCAGGACTCGACCCTCATTAAGACGGCATCCGGCAACAAGTTTGCCCGCAATGCCACGGATTGGCAGTGGTGGCATGCAAGTGTGCCCACCGTGCTGCGGAGGCTGCACGACGAAGGGTACGTATGCACGCCATTGTCTCAGGTGACGAACACTCCATCTGCTTTTCATTTACCCCTCTCTTTGTGCCACCACTAGCTGAAGCTAATGTGCTTTTATCATTGTCAATATGCAGCTACCTTATCGCCATAGTGAGCAACCAGAGCGGCATTTCCCTGAAAAGCAACAGTTCCAAGGCTCCCAAGGCGGATCTCAAGAGGCTGTCGGACTTCAAGGCCAAAGCAACGGCGATCATAGCCCAGCTGGACCTGCCCATAAGCATCTATGCAGCCACCGCCAAGGATGAATTCCGCAAGCCCCGCCCCGGCATGTGGCGCCAGCTGCTGCATGACTATGGCCTGGAAGATGCATCTGGAGCCGTCGATCTGGAGAAATCTCTCTTCGTTGGAGATGCGGCCGGTCGATCTGGCGGCACGACCAAGGACTTTTCATGTTCCGACAGGTTCGTACGCCCCGAGAAACGGCCTTGCATCTGCCGTAGCAGAGTCCCCACTGACCGTCGGCGGTGGAAATAGGGACTTTGCAGCAAACATAGGCATTCCGTTCCACACACCGGATGAGTATTTCCTGGGCGAGGAGCCGAGGCCCTTTGTTCGAGACTTTGACCCGGCCAAATTTCTGGGTCAGGTGGCTGGAGCCGCAACTGATGCTGGTAAGCCCTCCCCTGTCGGCCTGTTGCTTTTTCCCGCTGCACCGGCACAGAGTGAAGCAGGGAAGTAGGTCTCACCATAGTGTGCTTCTAGTGCCGCTCCTATTCACCAAGAAGAACCCCCTCGACATCGTGATCCTCTGCGGTAGTCCGGGCGCAGGTAAATCCACCTTTTACTGGAAGCATCTGAAACCCCTTGGCTACGAGCGAATCAACCAGGACATCCTGAAAACGGTACGAGCTGTTGTGTTCCCTTAAGCCCGCCTTCCACCACGTCTGCCGCATATAAGCTTGATGGGGGCCGCCGCACGTTCTGTGCCACCCAATTCTGCAGAGAACGGACACTGCGAGATGCAAGTGCGGCACAGATGTACACTTGACTGACAGCTCTGCACGCAGCGTGACAAGTGTCTGAAGGCCGCAGCCGAGCAACTTGGAAAGGGGGTGTCCGTGGCCATAGGTGAGTGAGACTGTTTTCGCCGAGAAAAGGAGGAGCATCGGGGAAGGCGGCAAACAAATGCAGATGCAAAGAACAGCGCAGACTAACATATGGCACTCCGCCTATCAGACAACACGAATGCAGACCCCGAGACACGTGCCCACTGGGTACTACTGGCAGAGAAGCACGACGTGCCAATCCGATGCGTCCTTTTCACAGCAACAGCGAAGCTGTGTGAGCACAATGATGCCGTCAGAGCGTTGAGTGGAGAAGTAAGATCGTGGCCCCATTCTCTTTGTCTCCCTTTCCATGTTTCCTGGCGTTAGCTCTCCCACTTCCCTCTGTTGTCAGACCATCCCGTGAGGCGTCTCCTGTACCACGCTCTATTTTCCTGCATAGCCGTTGCAGCATGACGGTACAAACCCGGTTCCCCGTCAGTCATTCACAGGAGCCAGGATCCCAGGATCTCAACGCCTCGCGGCGGCTGTGCACATGACACCACCACCTTGTCTTTCAGCCAGGTCTCGATCCAACTCACCGCCGAGCATGCTCGAAACTGAGCGGACGTCGTGAATGCGATCGCGAATACGACAAGAGCTGACATGAACGTGCGCAGACGTTGAATCCCGAATCCCGTACTATACTGCCAAAGTTAGCCTTCACCTCGTTCGCCTCCCGGTACCGCATCCCACAGCTCAAGGAAGGGTTCCAAGACATTACAAAAGTCGACTTCACGGTAAGTATCCACTACCTTCCGGACTCTGAGCTTGCTTTTGTCTGTATGCCTATTTCCAGCATACTCGAGACTTTTTCCGGTCTTCAACAAGGCTCATTGCATCGTTTCACCTCCGATGTAGGGTGTACCAAGCATTGCAGCGGTGACACCTCAGCAAATTATCACGTCTTTTCAACTAACATCCTTCACACAACCACAGTTCGAAGGCAGCGAAGAGGACCGCAAAGTCTGGAGCCAATACTGGATATGATTCAAACTGCGCCACGGCTGGACTGGTGCAATCCTAGACCACTATAGTGCTTTAATATACGGCAGATCGGATCGTTGTTGGTTTCGGGGCGGCCGACCCAGGGACCTGGAATTGCGCCGTCCGATCTCATCGATCCCCCTGCGATGGGCGCGTTTCGAAACTGACGATCAAGGCATCCTGCTTTCTACTGCGTACCCTGCGTCTCGAGGTCACCCTGCTTGGGTTTGCGGTTGCTTGCGTTACAGTGTGCCATCTAAACTTCTGCCGAGGGCGATGATCATCTTGGTGGATGATCGGTGGTGGTTCCAGACCATTTTCTGCACAACTGCTTTACACATCACGTTGAAGCATCGGTGCGCGGTGGCGCTATGAAGGATGGTTCCGGCCAAAAAGAAAAAAAGTTTTTCCTTCCATCCTTCTCTTGCGCATTTTTAGCACAAGAAACAAATGACAGACCTACGAGAACCCAATATTGTTACGAAGTGAAAAGGCGATCAATTTGTGATTGGCCAACAGAAGCGGTTTATTAGTAAGCACGTGAAAAGACTTCTACGCAGCAAGAGGAAGGTCTGCCGGTGATTACTATTGATCGCTTGGCGAAAGGTAGGATTGGTGGGGCTCAGTGGTTCTAATCGAAAATAGAAAGCTGCTGACAAGCTTCAACTAATAATTCCATTTCTTTTTGTCTCCGCTTTCTACCCTTGGTATGGTTCCATTTCTTTTTTTATCATTTCTCTCCCTCTTTCGTCCCCTCCATTGGTGAGTGGGTCTTGCCTTGGCGGGAGCGGATGCAACCGGGTCCTACCTTACAAATGAAGGAGATATGTCGGGGAATTCAAAGGTTGAGCTCCCGCAAGCTTCCTGCGAGCTCGTTCTCCATTTTTTTTTTCTTCTTGGGTGGGAATGGCGGAAGTAACACGCGGGCATTGCTTTTGTAGGAAGAAAGGACCTGAGTACTTGCGCCATGCTTGTTAATAATCAAGCTGCTGTTAAGCGTTGATGGAGTTTCTTTTTCTCTTTTTCCGTTGTCTGGTGAGATTTGCATAACTTGCTCCCTCGTTTTCGGCTGTTTCGGCACTGTGGGCCTTTATGCACTGCGATCTCACTGTCCGATGCCGAGCGAAGAGACTGCCTCACGGAAGCCGAGGATATGTGTATGTATGTACGGCGGTGGGTCTGAAGGATTGATCAATAAATCGTGCTGCTGATGGATTGCATACATTCATATGCGCGCAGGATTGGTGCAGGAAGTTGGGATCTGCTGTCTCGCTCTGTGAAGGTAGCATTTTGGTGACGGGACGCAAAAGGTGGGGTTGACTCGGCAGATGAGAGAGAAAGGGTGGGACGAGGAGCGAGTCGTGTGGAGAAAACCAATTATATTGGGGCTTCTCCGCTGCAGAATCGTGAAGAAAGGAAAGAGTCAAGGTGGACATGCAGTCGGATGGTCTCGAATGCGCTGCATTTGATGCTCTGCAGATGGGTGTCATTCGACCCACACACTGTTGCGCGCGTATTGGATGACATGCTTGCAGTGCTTCGTATAGAGGCAACTACTTGTTCCCTCTGATTTGGATTGCGCAATCACGCACGGCCATTTGTTCCGATGCCGAGAAGCTCACCTCGATTGTAGGTGGCAAGAGACAGTGTAATGTGGTATATGCTTTAGGAGGCCTTGCATATGGACTCTCTGTGCCCTGTTTTTTTTGTTTTTTTAGTTTTTTTGCCCTTACTCTGCCATAGGTTTAGGCAGCAAGGAGACACGCGAGTAAATCTAGACTGTGCACGAGTCATCGCTTCCTCGGTCCTTCGGACTATCGGTTCAGCATATGGGTTGGGTACGGGAGCATGTGTGGGGATATCATATGCTTTCCTCTGGCTGGCTGACCTCGGTGGACACTGAGCCTTTTCCATTGGTTGATCAGACCTGCGGAAACTATTGTTTTATTTCGCTTAAACAACCTCTTCCATCGAATGCCAATTGTCTTTCACGTGCTTTGGCCGATGCCCTCGCTCTTTTCTCGAAAAGACCGTCAGATATGCAGCACGAGTCCGAAGCGAAAAACAAGTGGAGAGGCAGAGAGGCAGCGGTATACTCCGAATATCCCATCACCAGCCCAGATGCATGAACATCAGCGCCCGAAGCGGCATATGCAATCCCGTCACGCTTAGATCAAACAAGGTTTCTGCCTAGCTATGAATAGTGTTGGGTCACCAACGTTTCCCCAGTCCACATTGAGGAAAGGACGGAGGAGAAGGAATTAGAGTAAAACCAACGGTCTATTGCTTCTGTCCGGGGCGCTTCTCGCTACCAAGGCTTCTAGGAGAAAGAAGGTTTTGAATTCTCTTCACCCTGCGTCTGGCGTTGTGTGGTACGCGGTAGACTACGGGGGCGGATGACGGCTAGTTTACCATCTAGACATACTGCCGCCGCCTCGTGGGATGGCGGCGGCAACGCAGGCACGCGCTCTAGTCCCGGGCCTACGCCACGGCTACCGAACGGCTACGGCTCCCCAATCCACTTTTCCTGTCGACGCGGTTACATCTCCGCCGGTCGGTCTTTTTTTTGTCGCTAGGGCAAGCCGTAGGAAAGGGAGAAGAATGTGGGGCTTGGCGGCGGGGTCTCGAGCCGCCTCGCCGGCGTAGGGCGATGAGGAAAAACACACAAAGGAAAATAAAATTGAGGACTAAAGGCCGATCAGATGCAGGCCGCTTGGTACTAAGAACTGGCACTGCCCTTATTCAACAACGCACCCATCGTGACCGGTGCCTTGGGCTCGGAAATAGTTATGCATGTTGGAGGGATAAAAGGAAAAACACGACAAAAAGCCATCGTACCATGCATTTACCTGAACAGGCAGTCCCGTGACGCGAGGCGCTAATTGTCGCTTTTTCCTTGTGCATCATAATGACTGTTTGATTTTCGTTTTTTCCGCCCTGCCCGCTTCCTGACACGCGGCGTCGTCCGTTGTCGTCGTCGTGGGATGCCGTCCTGTCAAGTCTAGCGGATGCAGAAATGCGACGTGCAGTTTGCGCGTCACGGCTGCGCATTGCACGATTGTTGATGATGACAGCATGGCGGGACGGGGGGGATAGCGGAAAGAGAAAAAATCGGGCTCTTTGGCGGATTTCCTACTGCATTTGGACAAAGTGGGTTGACGGCCTTGCGGCACGGTAGATGGATCGCAGGGCTGGAACACAAGGACACGGGCGCGCAGGGCTGGCGAAGAGAAAGAAGCGACCATGTGCGGAAACGATGGACGTGACGATACAGCGCCGGTGCACGTGTATGGCCAATGACCCTGGAAGGAAGAATAGGCTGGTCAGGGCCGATGTACGTCCTGACCACGTACTAGAGACTGGTAGGCGGGTTGCATCGTCAATGACTTGGGTGTAGCTGTGCGTTGTTCCCCAGCAGGCGGTACCGGGGAAAAGCGTTGAGCGAGGATCACCGGCAGGCTTCTGCCGCGCGGATCATCCGCTGATTTACGCCGAGCATGAGGTGCTGTTTCCAACCTCATTTGGAGGAGAAAAGAGAACATGCATGATGGATCAGACTATGGCGGCAGATGAAGGAGCGGCCAGGTGGTCGAATCATGTTGAAATTGCTTTTGCCTCTCCTGAACGGATATTCTGCAGTTGCGTGGTTTCAGTCGCCGAAATGTGGGGAGGCGCCTTCTGTCTGAATCGTCACTTCGGAGATGGGGTGAAGGCGTAGGTGCATTTCGTAAGAGAGGGGATCCCCGAAAGAATATGCTGCGAGGATGTCACTTACAAGGTGGCCGTTGGACAAGCCCCACAAGCGATACGCCACAAAATGTGTAGCGACGAGGGAGTGGGAGATTGCCATCGACCACGGAGGGCCAGTTTACAGGCCAGTTCTGGACCGCACTTGAAGGAATAGTTAATCGGGAAAGATGCCAGACCGGGCAAGATGAAAAGGGTAGGAAGCGGCAGAGCCAACAAGGTTCATGCCTTGCGGTGCCGATCGGCCACAGCGGCTGGTGATGCCGCTCTGAGGGCGGCCGGGAAGAGAGATCTTACGGAAAGGGGGATGGGTGGTGGGCAATAGCTGAAGTCTGTATCACGGTAGCGAGATTCAGACGGGAGAGAGAGAACGGAGCGGGTCGGAGTACACAAAGAGGCGCAGGCTTGTAGGGCGGGTCGGTTTGGCGGGCTGAGGGCGGGTGGCTAACGAGATCGAGTATGGCGGTCCAGATGGAGATCGGAAGCGGAAGTGTTGAGGGAGACACTGCAGAGATTCAGGTGGGCGTCTATACCGCGTCGGAGTAAGAAGACAATTCTCTAGGTGCACTGGCTAGTCAGGCCTGTCGCTGTAGGCAGGGAACAACGTTGAGGCGCCGTGCGTTCCGGACGCGGCTCGCTTAAGCTACAGCGCGTTGTTGATACAACGCTCTCATAGCCTTACTGCCGGACCCGGGAAATCGGAGGAGGCTCTCAGCCAGCCATAGCAGCTGAGCCGTGTCGAGCTGCGGCCGGTACCTTTCAACTCTGTACCTGAAGACCGAGATAACCATAATCCCCATCCAGCGCGTCGGCCGGCGCAGACGGAATGCTCACTGGCCCGAGCAGCTGCGCGGCGACTCAGCGTGAAGAAGCTGACATACATGGTCGAAAAGGGCATCGTGCGCGAGCGGAATTGCTTCCAGCATTCCGTGGCAGGGAATCTGGCTGCATGCTGCCAACAAACACGTGAGGGGAGGACATGTCGTTCGGCCCAGCAACGACCACGTGTGTTGGCGATAAGTCGCTTGTGCTTCATAGGCACACAGGCAGCTATCCGGATGCAAGCAAGAATCCGCAACAGTGGTCCTCACCGACTGTTGAGATATGCGAGATGTGCCCCGTTTCCCCGCCGTGAGCTGTGCAGCCGGCTGCGCTCTTCCGAGATCGCAAAAGTGCCCGAGGAACGAGATCCGGAGAGGCCACGATGGACGGCGAGACGCGCGGAGGAATGGGCCCGCTGTTACGTGCACTAGCCGCTACGATCCTCGGGGCTACGCGCGACCCCGGCTCTGTCGTCATAGGATCTCGACGCGGGCTCTCGACGCTCCGCCACCACGGCGCATGCATCGCGAGAAGACGGCACATGTTGGCTCTGACATTGCAGGAACCCGCGAGAGCGTTGACGGCGTGGAGGAGCAGACGTGGCCGGGGGCCCGATTCGCTGGCAGCAGCGGCGGCGGTACCTGAGCAAGGATGGGCGTGGCCGGGCGGCGCTGTGCCTGGAAGAACCTGGGACGAGGCTGGGCAGTGGTGCACAGCGTGTGGCTTTCCAGGGGCACAGCCAATGGGCAGGCCCAACGGCTCCGGGCTGCGCATCCCCGGCGGCCCAACGGCGTGCTTTGCTAGGTTTCGCGGCGCGGTGACGAGCGTGGAGGGCCGCGGCCTGAGGCAGCGGCGGTGATTTTCAATGCGAAACCCGCCAGCGACCCAGGACCGTGGGCGGGCGAGCAGCACGATGAGGTGCTTTTTTGGCGCGCTCGGCCTGACGTAAAACGTCGCGGTGCCACGGCGATTGGCCATTTTTGCGGGCGCCCACGAGCTGGGCGAAGCGAGGGCAGCGCGCTGTATGACGGCGGCGGGCGAGTCATTTTTTGCGTTCGAAAATTCTTCCTGGCGGGCACGAGGGTGGAGCTGCGCGCAGCCGCGCGCTCTCATCAGTCAGCCTGCGCATCCGCTTTGGGAAGCGGCTGGTGGAGCCCTTGGGCGCAGCTTGGCTGCGGCGGGGGTCGCTGCGCGGACGGGGGGCTGGCCATGATCGCAGGCTGCAGGGCCGGGTTGACGCTGGCGCTGGCGCTGGTGTTGGCGCTGGTGCTGGTGCTGGCGCAGGCGCATTGCAGGCGGGCCGCCCGCGAGGCAGAGCTCGCCGGAGGGGGTGCGCACGGCAGCGTTTTTGACCCATGCCGGCGGCGCTTGACTTAATCCCATTCACTGGACCACAAATTCACGCCTGTGCCCGCTCCTCACCACCCAGCACCCACCCCCGCCGCTCGCTCGCCAGCTGTCTCGCCCAGCGTCCGCTTCGAGCCTGCCCCGCCGGCGCCTCCAGCCGCGCCTGACTGAGTGAGTGTGACGCCTGCGGCTGCTGTCTCACGTGCCGCCCGCTGACCGGGTTTGTCCAGCCGCGCACCATAAACACATCTGTCAGCGACGTGGACTGCTCGAATTCGTGCCACCCTCGCGCTCCACGCCACTGCGACTTCGTCACGCCCAAGCCCAATAAGCCCATGCCCGGCTCCTCTGCCGGCCTGTGAGGACACACTTTCCTTTTAAATGGGAACCCGGTAGCCCACCACGCCGGACCACTCTGCAAAATGCGCGACCTCAAGCCACTGATGCTCCCCAAACTGGCCTCGGTCAGAAACCCTCTGGCCGACTCTCCCACTGCCGACCCCGACTCGTCCTTTTCTGCTTCCGAGTGCTCCACCCCATTGAGCCAGACCTTTTCTACCAACGGCCATGTCCGCCACTCCAGCTCGCTCTCCTCGCTCTCCTCGTCCCCGCCCTCGTCCTACGAGCACCTGGACAGCATGACGGCCTCCAGCAAGCTCCCGCGCCTGCCTGAGGACCCCTTGGAGGGCCCCTTCGCCTCCGACCCCGACGACGACGACGAGGTCGAGGGCAAGCTCGGCTCCTGGTGTCTGTGCAGTGCGTCCCACCCACTCTGCTCCGCTTCTTCCGCCTCGCCTGCTAACTCTGCCACAGGTGTCGCTGAAGGCTGCCCGCACGGCGACAGCAGGACCTCTTACTCCACCCCCAGCTTGGCGAGCCCGGCCTTCGAGTTTGCCGACAGCTCGTTTGCCGATGACGGCGAGTCGAGGTATTTTGCCCGCCGCCGCAGGTCGGGTGACTCGCCTGCAAGCATCTCGTCACGCGTCGGCGAGCGCTTCCCTTCGCTCACGCGCAAGTGGAAGGACCGCAGGCCATCCGGGCTGTCCAGGGAGACAACGCGCGCATCCAGTGGCCGCTCCAGCCGGGCTTCCTCCACTGCTGGGTCCGTCGTCGCCTCGGTGAACGCCAGCCAGACCGACCTCCCTCAGAGCCCTGCCCGGTCTTCTGTTGACGAACTGACGCCCACCTCGCCCGTTGACATTGTCAGGCCAAGCGTGGATGCCGACCCAATCGACCGCGAAAGGCTCGCATCGACCCCCCTGCTCCCGCCCGTCATGTGCGGCAAGCTGGCATCTTCGGAGAAAGACTGGCAGTCTCCGCTGCAGTCGCCCACGGTCGCTGACTCCAACGCGACCTTTTCGGCAATGAACAGCCCGCTGGGAACCCCGCAGGCGCCTACGATGCAGACCCCGCCGCTGTCGACCAGGCCCTCGATCGCCTCGTTCAGGCATGGTCGTCCCGGCGGGATGGTACCGAGCTCGGACATCCCACCAATGACGATCAGCGACGACGACAGCGAGCAAGACGAGTGGGCGGAGAAGCTCGGCCACGCCAACTTCACCATCTTGCCCAAGCCATACCTGCCCGACGTCTGCGATCGCGCCGCATGCCGCGAGCTGTTCGCCAACTGGGAACGCGCGCGCCTGAACTTCACCAAGCATCTCGTGCGCACCGGCGAGCATTTCGGCGCGACGTCGAAAACCTACCGGCTGACGGAGCAGAAATGGGCCGAAGTGGACAGCCAATGGAAGAAGTTCCACGATGCCGCCGTCGCCTGCGCGACCGATGACGGGCTCGACCACGCTACCGGCCCAACGCCCAGCGAGCCTCCGCCGCTGATGACGCTCCCCGCGCTAGAAGACCCGAAGAAGCCCGGCCAGTTTCCCAAGCTGGGCGATGAGGACATTGTGGGTCCCATGGTTCAGGCCGCGGCGAGGAATCTTCCCCGTTCTTCCAAAAAGGCATCCTGGGCCAGATTCCTCAGCGACATCAAGTCGCCCGGCACCTTTTTCGCGCGCCCGGCCCAGCCAATCGGCTCGAGATGAGGCCACTTGCCACCTCTGGCATTCTTGAACCTCCGTTGCGATTGTAACTTTACAATTACACCATTTATGAGGTACGACCGGATACGACTCTAGTTTTTACTGTCAGCTGCGCGCAGCTGTAACGTTCCTTGACGACCACGAATTTCTTTTGTATCTGGGAGGCTATCTAGACGGTTTACACGACTGAAGCATGGCGCATTCCAGCACGAAGCGGAGGTCGCAAAAAAAAGCTTTGGATCACAAAAGGAGCGGTTCAAAAAGTTTTGCGAGTCGGTTTTTGTCGACATTTTACGCGTATTACCCCGGCCGACTTTGCTGGCCATGTCTCGTCTCGTTTGTGTCTGCGTTGGAGTCTCAGTTTTCGGCGGCTATACCCATCCTCGGTCCCATTCTTCCAGAGTTGATGGCGAAGCGCAGTCAGGTGTTGGGCGGCCCAGGGGCCGGCCTCTCGCGGGGCCGTGTCACTGGCATGGCCCATCGCAAGTGTATTTTGTATAATTATTATGGAGCGGCTACTATAGATCCCCTTGCGGATACAGAGCAGGCCAGACGGGCCTGGTACGGGACGACGGATGTCGCAGCTGCAGCACCCGGCCCCGTAGCCATATAGAAAAGAGGATCACGCACAGAGTTGGATAGACACGGTAGCGCGATACAGACAAACAGAACGAAGAGACACTTCCACCACATGAACATCGCAGGCTGTGCTTGTTTGCTACGACGCTGAAAAAGGATTGCTGCATATACCGGCCGCTTTTGGAAGAAGCTGCATGGCCGATGCCGAAGGGTCCAAGGCAGGGAACAGCGGAATAAGGCACTCGTTAATCTCGTGATCGGCGATTTGTGTCACTGAAGTGCACTTTTGACTGCCGGCAGGATTGCATTGCATTGCAGCGCCCGTTGCTTGCTCGCACTCGTCCTTTTGCCTGCTCCGCCTTGCCCCTCATTTCGTTCTCTATGCGGAAGTCAAGGGATGCGTGCAGGCGTTTTTTATTTTGTTATGCGCGATCATGCCGGCGTGTTTACAACGGTGGGGGCGGCAAACGGCGCTTGTGGACTGATTATGATCCAGGCCAAGCATGCAGGGCAGATTTGCTTTTTTTTGTCCTGTTTGCTTTTGTGCATTCTTCTCTCCCAGGCTGTTGGTACGGTAAACGCTGCCGGCCACTCCCCTTTCCTCCCGTCGCTCTGGTCGCCGCTGCCCCTCTTTCTCAAGAGAGAAATGCGTGATCTCGCCACCGACACGGGCCGTAGTGTGCACCTACGGGGGGCCGTACGCGCAGCAGGTGGATTGTTGGGTTGGTCTTCCTACTTCCCCGACCTTTTTCCTCTCCCCACACGCCCCCCTTCGTTGCTTTTTGTCAATGTACCGGGGCCGTCCAGAATGTTGGGTGTCTGGCTCACCTGAGAATGATGAGGTTGATTGTTTGTGCGGTGTCCATTCCCAAGGCCACCCCTTCACGAAAAGGAAAAAGTCGCCGGATGATGCTTCCCCCAACGGACCGCATCTGACCACGTCCGTTCGTCAGTCATGTGTACTGGTGACGTCAATCACCAGAGAAAAGCTTGAACTCCGCTATTGTGGCGACCTTGAAACACCGGAGCGCTCTTTGGGAACCAAGGGAAGAGCACGTGGGAGGATAAAGAGATCAGAAAAGGGGGGGGGTCACCCTGGCGCTTCTTCTTTCCCCGCAACGTTTACCCGCACGAACAGGCGTTCGCAGGGTGATTGTGGTGTGGCGATGTTTCTGAGTCAAAAGGAAAGAAAGACGTTCAGACGAGGAAAGGATCGGTGGTAGTAAGGTTCAACGTCGGTCGGTGGCTTGCGTATTCGCCCTTTTGTTACCGGGCAAAGCAGCGGTGATGACGTTGCATGCGCGTGCAGTTATCCGCGGCCTGCAACCTCAGTTCAAGGCGACTTGCAGCTTCGGTCTCACGTTATTATTCTTTGGGCTTGTTTCTTTTCCTCTCACATTGCTTTTTTTTTTCTGTCGCCACGGGCGTGCTTAAGCTTTCCCCGCCCATCGCCACACTTCCGCTGGCGCGGCCCGAAATAGCGAGAAGCTGGGGACAAAGCCGTGGTGTTGCTTGAATTGGTGGTTCCGTAGGTACCGGCGGGCAGGTAAAGGGTTCAGCCTCCGTCTCAGCCTCTGGCCTTCCCCGCCATCCGTCTTTCCTTCGCTGTGTCCCCCCCGCCCCCTTCGCGCCCAGCAGCAGCAGCAGCAGCTTCCTCCCTTCCTTCACCACCTGTGGCACAGCTCTCAGCGCATGATCTGGGGAAGGGGAAGAAAGACATTCTCGGCCTCGGCCGGGGACTTCTCCGCCCAGGCAGTCAGTCACCTTCAGACAGTATCTTAGTGTACTGAGACATTCACTCAAGACTGAGGATTCAACCATCACGCACAAGCGCAGCGGGGAATGGCACGCTGCGCCTCACCGTGGCGAATAGCTCGTCGCTAACCCGAATGCAATGGCAAAGACCCCTTTTTCCAGCTGGCCCTTTCCGCCTTCCAATGAACGCCCCGCGGCAACCGCCCCAAATATCAATTCTATGCGGAGTCACGTTCGGCAGCCGCTGCAGAAACAACTGCTCACTTCGAAACGTGGCGTCGCCGCCTCCTTTCCGAGCTCCGACCAGATTTGTTTTGGACGTCACTTATACAGAGTGATGGAAGATAAGGCGTCCGGAAGAAGGCCCCCCCTTCTGCAGTCGCATGGGGTCAGCAGGCCTGAAGTCTCAAAGATAAGCTGATGATGGTTCTGGGTTTGGGGTCCTTTGCGGTCAGAAGGAGGATTGTGTGACCAGTGTTCGTCTTGGAGGTACGGTTGGCCTGGTGATGGGCCTCGATTAGGGGACAGTCATCCTCGCGGTCTACTGTGGTGCAGCTATCTTTTGGTCTCGTTCTTCGAGTCGACAGGGTTGGGCTCGGCGGGTAGGCGCTTCTTCTCCACGGGATTTCTCTGCCGACTCGTGCTGTTGGATCTCTTTCGGTCGATGCTTGCTTCTCGAGCCTTGCGAGGGTTTCAGCCCTCTACGACGTTGCGGGATGCTTTTCTTTTTCTTGAGGCGGCCGAGAACGTGGAGTGGGTCGTTATCTTCAGCTTGACGGGTGGTGAAGATGGAAAGAAAGAGGATGACCTTTGGTTTTCCCGAAGGTTTCACTTTGCTACAACGCCACCTTTGTCATTTCTTCTTCTTTACCGCTCTGACGGAAGCACTTCGTCAAAAGCAGACGAAGAGAAAAGCAAAAGAGGTGTCTTTCCCAAAGTCGAGGTCCCGTGGCTGGACGCCACACCATGTACGACGCCGTTTGCAGTCAGCACAGAAACCGGGCGTAGGGGCAGCTGTGGCTGGCTGGGGGATGCTGAACTGCGATACAACCCTTTCTTCTGGCTGTCAGCTTTGGACGGTGGGGCTGTTGGCAGGCGACGTCTCACGTGCGAATATGTGGAGAGGCAAGTACCCGTCAATAGATACACAAGAGGGGCAGCCGTACCGTACTCGCACAAGCCGAGGGGAGCTTCGCCTCGTTCTCTTCGTGCTGCCTTCTCCCCCGCTATAGCACCGCACGGCATATAGGTCTTCCCACCTGTACTACGGCGTTATCTGATCAAGCATGCAGCCATTTCACTCGAACCTCGGGACCGGAGCGATGGTCGACGGGAAAGAGTGTCTGGATTGCTACTCCATCAAGCGGTGATACGTGATCCTCCGGTCGCAGTTTCTCTTTCCTCGTCATTCCTGTCACACGTACTTCGCAAGCGAGAAATACGACCGTGTTACCTCTGCCCACAGTCCGCGCAAAGGGCCTGCTCGGCGGGTAAGAGCGATGGGCGTACAGCGGACGGCATGAGTGCCTGCTGCGACCGCTGATAAACGGCGGGGTTTAGATTGATTCAGGAGGGCCCCTGCAACTAGTTCTAGACCGTGGGATCTTCGCTGATCCAAAAATGGAAGGGGTTGGAAACCTGATATTACGCGCAGAGGCATGCATGATGATCCTCTAGCAGATCATTAATGCGCTTTGCGCTCTAGGCCAGCCTCCGTGCCTGCATCCTGTCACTCGGCTGTTCCGGAGCGCTGGTTGAGCCGCTTCCGGGGGATGGTGACGCAAGGTGGCCGGGGAGGGACGAGAAGGATTCTTTGTGCTACATGTGTTGCTTGTGCTGCAACACTGTAGCAGGACCCAACTTTGAGCGGTTTTGCATCAACCCCGGCTCGATGGGATAGCGAAAGGTGTATACAAAGTAATCCATGGAATATATCATTCCGCATCTGGCGAAGGACGTTATACTCTTCCTAATTGTATGGTTGGACATGTTTATTAAACTTTAGAGCATGCATCTATTGTAAATCCCGGACCCACATGCTCCAACTGTCCACGTAAGCTGATATATCCGTGCTGAGATAGATTTGGAAAGACCCAATGCTTTTGCGATCCATCCCGCACGCATCTTCGATGATCTCTTAATCTCATTAAATACAAGGGGGCATTGCAGCCGACGAATAGCGGGGGTTATTTTTCGCTCATGCCATGGGTAGTTGAAGCTATCGCCCGGGCGTAAATGTATAATTATTAATTCCACATTTACATCTGGATAATACCTTGTTCGCACTGCAGTAGGACTGCTGAATTTTTTCTGCATTGCCAGCCCATGCTTTCTTCTACACTCGATGATGTGGTCTCGGGTGCGCCTCTTGGTAGCTGGAGGAACCTCCAAATGCCAGTACTATACTGGGAAGTTAATGTTCTCCGTTTTCATATACAATCTCAACAACGGGTTACCTCCATCATAGCTTGTTTTCGACCAAGCTGCTCCACAGCCAACGGGGCACTCGTGCACCAACTACGAATCGGATTTCAGCCTTCCGTACCGGTCGTGGAAGTGGAGGTCTCTATGGACCAAGAGCGCCTTGCCATCGTACTGAGTTCGCGGGCTTAATCGGCGAATGAACGGCTGTTGATTGCTGATATGCGAAGAGGAAAGTGCTTAAGCAGCGCGGTAGACAGTGGTGCGTCGTCTGGAAGTTATGGCATCTCTGCTGAACTTGGTTCTGCCGTCTGTGCTCGAGAACAAAGTGGTCGCATTTATTACAAAATGCGGCTCCACAAATGTGAGACACTTCATAGACGAACTTCTTTGAAACTGGGTCCTGAGAACACCCGGACAAACTACTTCCAGCCTTAAGCCCATGGCAAGGACTTTGTAGCCGAACATCAACCGGACTGTAGCGGAATTTGAGATCGGTATAGGGTAGTAGTGATGATCGATCCCATGGTAAAGTGCTGGGATGGCTGTATAATGGAACTCGGGCTTCTGTTTCAACCAACATGCATATTTTCGTGCCCCAGTGTATACCTGGGTTACTGACTGAATCGACCTGCGAAATTTGTCTTGGAAAACGATAAAGATGCATTTGTATACCAGGAGATTGTTGTCAAAAGTGGATGAAAGATGCTTCTGTCGTACGAACTCCACGCGTTGAAAAAGTATCGTGGCGATGGTGGTGGTTTGTTGAGGTAGAGGAGAATAATGGCGGTTATCGGAGCGGAAGGACCGTGGTAGGCTGTTCGCCTGGTTTATCGACGTTGGCTAGCGGGAATCGGTTCGGGAGGAGCGTGACGGCCTCTCGGTACCAGCATACCCTGTATTGAGAGCCCGGCCGCTACCGATCGAGGCCACATACACCCCGGCCAAAACTAACGCCTGCTGGATTGTAGTGGCGCTCACCCTCACAAAGCCGCTCGGCTCTTTGTCGAGATATGCTATCCCGGGTAAACATGCCGATTAGTGCCATGTCGATTCTTGGGATCGTGGTATGATAGAGTTTTTTTTTTTCATATTTTGCTGCACCGAATAATCATTTGGTGGTGCATTCTCATAGAGGTCTATCGTGGATTGAATTTCGAGAGACTCTGCGCCGGCATCATGAATGGGTAGACAGCCAGTCATTCCTACAGATGTTCAGGCAGCTTTACTGGCGTTCACTCGGCGATCGCGATACTCGCTTTGAGCACCGGTGGTAGATGGCCAATATCTCACAGTGAGCCTTACAGATGAGCGTGGCTCTCTAGTAGTCGAAAGACGGCAGGGGCACCAGTGAGACAGCACGAACATTGGTGGAGACTGTGCCCTCGGAGTTCGGGCTGGGCGACAGCGGTGAGAGGGTAAGCAATACCTTGAAGCTCGGGCTTGGTGACGCTGAAGTCACCAAGGAGGCGGTGTATACCTCGAGGCAGAGGTGGGATGTTGAGCGGCTGTGAGGGCGAGGAGGTGTAAGTTGCGCGGAGCTGGTCGCCCGTCGTAATTGTCGGGAGGTGCGCACGAGGCCATGTCAATGCTGGTGGAAAACTCTGGTAAATTGAGTAATGGAAAAAATTTGGTGTTGTGGGTGGGCAGATGCGGAAAGGGCGTGGCTTCGAACAAGGCAGGTGCGAATAAGGCAGATGCGAACTCTTGCCTCAGGCATCTTATGCAGAGCGGGACAAAATGTTACGTCAAACACTTTTCCTAGAGTGAAGGCGTATATAAAATCGTTTCCTATCTGTATACATAAGCGCCTATACATGATATAAATAATAATTACATTCATAAAGCCGTCACTTGATCACTCCTGCTGCACAGGGTGATAAACATCCTTCTTCTCGACATCTTCCACACCAGCATTCTCTCTCCGCTCTGCTGTAGGCTTCCTGATATCCCTCGCGCCGGGCGTGAGGTACGTGTTATCCAGGGTAGTCAGATCCTCGCCCTCCGGGGGCTGCCAGTTCTTGCTCTTCCAGGCCTTGACGCCAAAGACATACATTGTATCAATTTCTTCAAGGCTGCGACCCTGGCTCTCGCAGACGAAGAAGAACGTAACAACGAAGGCGGCAAAGCAGCAAGCGGCGAAGACGTAGCCGTAGCGGTAGTCGATGGCGCCGGTGATGTACGGCGTGAAGAAGGAGATCAGGAAGTTCCACACCCAGTTGCTGGCCGTGGCCAGGCCCATGCACTTGGCGCGGTAGCGGGACGGGTAGATCTCGCCGACGACGGCCCACACCATCGGACCCCAGGTCGATGCAAAGGCGGCAATGAAGAGACAGGCGAAGACAATCATGGCACTGCCGGCCTTGGGAGTGTTGGTCGGGTCGTTCTGATCAAGGGCGAAGTGGCCGACGCTGGCGAAGACGATGAAGCACATGAACATCCAGGCGGCACCCGCCATCAAACAGGGCCGGCGGCCGAAGCGGTCAACGAAGTACAGACCAGGGAATGTACAGCCGAAGTTGACAGCGCCAAGGATCATACTCGTCACGTAGCTGTTAGACAGTCCAGTAGCAGTGAAAATCGTGGTGCCGTAGTAGAAGAAAAAGTTGGCACCCGTAAGCTGCTGCAGTGCTTGAAGAGTGATTCCTAGAAGGGTGCGGTAGGCCATCCGGGGACCGGTGAAGATTTCGTACCATGGGTGTTTACCACCGCCGGCTTGCTCGGCGTCAAGCTTCGTCTTGATCTCTCGAATCTCGTTGGTAACGACGGGATGGTGTTCGGGCACTCCGTAGCTCTTTGCGATGGTAGCACAGGCAACATCGACCTGGCCATGACGGTACTGCCAGCGGGGAGACTCGGGAAGGAAAAACATGCCAAAGGCCATGAGAGCGGGCCAGATGAAGCCAACACCCATGGGAATGCGCCAGGAATCGGCACTGTCCATGGCCTCTGTGCCGTAGTTGATGCAGTAGGCTGTGAAGATACCGAGCGTGATGAAGAGCTGGTAGGCGGAAACGAGAGCACCGCGGACCTGGCGCGGAGCCGTCTCAGACTGGTACATGGGAGTCAAGACGGAAAGGCCGCCGACACCGAGACCAGCGACCCAGCGGCCCAGGGCGACCTGGTACCACGTGGTGGTGGTAACGATCTGAACGATTACTCCGACGCAGAAAATCAGGTTCCAAAAGACGATGGAATACTTGCGGCCAAACTTATCCGCGACGGGGGCAGCAATGAGGGCGCCGATGAGAGTTCCAATAGAGAGCTTTGAGAGGTCAGCGTTCATTCAAGATGATAGATTGGGTTGGTGTTGCTTACCAGGCCAACGATGGTTCCGGAACGGCCGTTGCTGAATTTAGGGGCACCAGTGTCTGGGTCGGTCGAGTCGGCAAACCTCTCCAAAAAGTCTGGCATCTCCAAAAAGCCGGAAATCTGACCGGTGTCATAGCCGAAGATCTGGGGAAGTGTTAGCCAGATGAACCGAGTGAGGATATGGGATAACATACGAATCCGCCCATTGAGACCAGGACTCCCATGTAGATGACCCTCCAGTTGAAGATGTGCAGAGGGCCATCCTCCTGCTTGTTGAATTCCACATCGTTGGAAGAGTTGTCCTGTATGTCAGGCTCATTCGGCTGGCGCCGAAATTTGGAGAGTAAGCCCATGGTGATGGCCGTGAGGAGAGACAGATGGCGTTGGATGAAACGGTTCCGAGCTCCGGGAGTGCAACACGACCGAAAGAGTGGATTCGGCGGCGGAGCGTTGGAGGTCAGAGAAGTGTAGGTACCCGGGGAATCAGGCGCATTTTGTAGGAGGGCGGCGGCGGCGCGGCATCGTCACTTCTCTGCACGATTCGTCACGCGGAGAAACATGCGGAGGGGGCTCACAGACGGCATTGAGGCACCGGATCCCCAGCAACACAGCGGCCGACGAGACGTCATGGGTCTTGGCGAGGGTGTTGAGGCTGATCGGCCGTTAGCGACGGGCCTAGTGCCTCGCCGTGCGATTCCCATTGGCCAGTGCGGGCTGAATACGTCAACCGCTGGATCGAGAAGTTGCAGATTCCACCGCGCTCCACCTGCGAGATTTCTCCCCGTGGAGGTCTCCAGGCCCACTGTGGTCGCTCTCCGGGGCTCCGCTTCGGAGAAGTGAAACGCTGATTGACATGCGCACCCCGCACCAGAATGTGGGAGCGAGAGCGGCCTCCTCAGAGATTCTGCACGATCGATGCGGCTGTCAACAACGATCGACGGTAGGGCAGGACGCCACACGAAAGGCTTGCGCGCCGGTAGGAGCCGCATCCGCAAGCTGTCAAGAGCCAGCCAAGCTGCAGGCCAAGGCCTTCCAGCACTTCCTTCACTGTTCGACAGCGTCCGTGCTTGGTAATGCGTCGTCATAAGCAGCGCTCGTCCTGCCAATCGTAGCCAAGCTGACTCTGGTAGCGAAAGAAACTGCGCGGTCTTTATTCCGAACGCAGCAATGAACAACCACATTCTTCGCCCAGCTGCGTGCCTAACCGCGGCGGATGCCGTCCGTCACCCCGCCCACTTACGCATTTAATCCTGTGACACCCACCCTTTGCGAGCCGCTGCCCGCCGGAACTTCGGTCGCCGTCAACGGTTCACTGATGATTAGTCGGACGCAGATAAGAAAACGGCCGCTTTTTGGAGCCCGTAACCCGCACACATGTCACTGTTGCATCCGTCGCATTCCATCAGCCATCTTCTGATTTGAGATCATCACCGACAAATCCCGCCTCAAGTACCGAAAGTCACGGCGAAGACTCGGACCCCGGAAGATGCCCTTTATAGCTGTCAGAAATGCCGCCCGTCTTTTCCGCGAGCCATGCATCTTCTCTTTCGATAAATCCTGACTATCGAAGAATTGAACCGATATTGCAGCACCTACCCCTTCAAGCAGGAAAAAACAAAAGAGAGGAATCAGGTAGACGATGATGGCTCTTGGCCGTTATATTCGCTTATCACGCAGACACGCATGATCTCTGGACGCAAATGCATTCTACCTGGAGTTCCTGCACAAGGACCGACGATGAATTCCAATAGATACATGTAGGATGTTAAGGATTATACTCACCGGTCTCGGCAAAAGAATGACCAAGTAGCATTCTCACCCCTATTTTATCTCTTTATCTAGCGACTCCAAGACCGGCGCAATGCCGTTTGCTTTCGAAAGATAAAAGGAATGCCCCTTCACTGTTAACCTTGCTCATTTTGTAGTCTGCCCGCGCGCTCGTCGAGAGGCCCTATCGGGCATGGCTTCATAGCGCGTACAGTAGAAGAACAGAACCCTCCAGGCCGGGAATGTGCTCGCCGATGTCCTGGTGGAATAAAAATTAAAAGCCAGATAGATCTATCGTTGGTTACTTGAAAGAAAGGGAAATACTTTCGCTCAAGGAAAGCTTAGGTATGTGCGTCAAATGACGAAGGGCATGAAAATGCCCGTCGCAAAAGACAAAGTGGACTGAGATGGTCAGAGTCTTGCATAAATGACTGCTGACGAAGACCAACGTTTTCCTTGCCTCGACGCCCTGGCTGGACAATCGTACGCCTGACGCGCATGTGTGGACGCAAACACTGAATGCCATGCTATCCGTAATAGGAAATACGGTAAGAAGACCTATTGGTGGGTAGATGATCCCGAAGTGTAATGCTCAGCCATCGAGGGCATTGAGTTTCCTTCGTATTCCTCCATAAAACTTGTCCGCCTGCCATGCGATCGGCAGGAACGCGATGTAAGTCCCCTCACTTGATGTATAGTAGTCGCAACACAAGTTTTACTAAATTCGTCACCAGATGTTCTGTGCAGTCCAGCATTCAATCCTGCAGCGTCATAAGGCATCACACCACGCTAGGTTCAAGGAATGAGCAATGGTCCACTGAGAGGTCAGCAGAAAAAAACAAAAAAGATTGTGCTAAATCGGCAAAACGGTAATTGGTAGAACCAGCTACTGGGCGTTCGATTAAAGTAGCAGTTGCGCGCGTAGGTCTAACGTTGACCCCTGCGTCGACCCGCAACATTTTTTTTTTAACGCGGTGTCAGAACAGGTGGGGACGGAGCGTGCGCAGCCAAAGGGTAGGGAGAAAAAAGGGCCGTGCCGCAGCGGCCTCAGCTTTATTTTCCCCTCCTTGCTACATCGCACGGAGCGTAGGAAATGAGCGATGACGTCGCTTCACCCCGCCAACCTCTCTAAATGTCTTAGATGGTGAAACTTGGCCTTCCGCATGTTTGAGGGGTCGTGATTGGTGACGTATGTGGAAGGGTTTGCAGACGAGCATGATGAGTCGGGTAAAACGATGGCGCAAGCTTGGGGGTTGCCGCGATTCATGCGTGGATAGCAAAGGGCAAAGGCTGCTAAATCAAACCTGGGCACAGGTGGGGGGTCGTCCTAGCAGTGTGGCTGGGAGAGCGGTGTTAATATCGAGATACAGGTGATACGTGGATAGCAGCCAGTGGCATGCGAGAAGGAACGGCCTCCGGTACGAAGACAGTTTCTGACAGATCAGTTTGAGCATCATCGTCACGTTGGATGGGTTGACTGCCGGACGGAACAGCTGCTCGATCTAGTGCCCTCTCCGCAGCCCAAGGGGTTGGGAGCCAATGGATCGGCTCTTTTGACACGTCCTGCGATTCAGGGTCTCATGTGCGATGATGACATCTTATTGTCGACAGAAGGCTGTCAGCAACCCCGCGTGCATGCAGCAGCTCGCTTACGTCTCGAGTATCTCGTGTTTTAGTGAACATATGCAGCTATTTCCGGGCTGATGTCGTCTATAGGGGACAAGGTTACAACCAGTGCCGATTATTTTGGCTTGGCCCACCGATGCAACCAGCCGTTAATGGCACTGTGGCTGCGGCATCGTTACCGAGATTTGCCACACAGGACCCTGAGATGGTGAGAAGCACGATAGGCAGATAACGGTCTGAGGACGATCACTGCAAAAATAGCCCTCGGTGCGCACATGGCTAAGGCATGCTGGCTCCAAAGGACACCCTTGCTGTGAACGGTTTCTCGCTGACCTCCCCCCTCCTGAGCACTGCAGGGAGGTGACCTGGCCATGCGGAGAAGTTGCAGGAACAACACACACACACACCACCGATACCGCAGTGGCTTAGATGCCCCCCTTTCCATCGTCGTGCGCATGGTCTTGGTGTTGTGCGGCTACTACTCAACAAAACAACCTTGAAAAAAAAAAAAGAGCTGCATCCAGGCCCCTACACCGCGGTGTTCCCGGAACGAGTCGGCGTATCCAGGCGATCTGGAAGGGCTTGGCGGGCAGCGTGTTGCCCAATCGTCGTCGTGATTGGGCGGCATTCGCTCGGAGAGACACACCCCGGCACAAGATCCGGTTACGCCCGCGCGTCTTGCGTCCTTTCGGCCGTGTGGGCTTGCGCTAGCAGAACCCTTACAGCCAGCCCTACGGCACAGCCTCGCTGCAAGCCACTAGGTACTGCTCTGCCGCTCTGCAAGGAGACGGCCTCCAGCTGGCGTGGGCTCGCATTTCGCCGGTTCCTGATCCTTCGGTGCGGATCTGTTGCATGCCAGCGCGCAGCCGCCCCGTGCGAGGCTCAACTGTGCACGGAGTAAGAACCTTGTAGTGCTGAATCTGTCTAGACTATGTAGACCCTGAGAAAAATTTCGCCGGGACGCACAGATGCTCCCGGCCCGCCCGCTCGTTCGGTGAGCTGAGCGTGGGGACACCCTATCGGCCTTTGGTGTTGCGCGCTCGTACGATGCTGTTCCCCAGACCACGTCGCCGGATAGCCGTGTGACTGACAACTTCGAGTCGGAAAGCATTCGACGAGGACGAGATGATGCTTTCTTAGCAATGATTCGTAATCCCAAAAATATCCTGCTTCAAATCATATTCGGGGATCGGCCACTTTCGATAGCCGCATCTCCGCGCTGTTCTGGGGATCTAGTGTACCCGTGTCAGCTCTCACCCCGCTGCAGACGCGGGCTTGAGCCGCGTCGCGTGTGAAGAGACGAACTGCCGATTGGCCGTCGCATTCAGCTCAGGCCTCAGTGCTCGCTCCGACGGCCTCGTGGTTGGCCTGCGAGCAAGCCGTGTGGCGGCGACCCCGAAAGAGTGAGGCATGAGCCACAGCAGCCCCCCCACATGCGGGCTGGTTGTTCAGGATCCGTTGACAAAGGGCGGGGATCACGCGACGTGGTCGCGGACATACGATCGCTCCCGGCCGTGGCAGCCGACGGCGTTTGGCATCCATTGAGGCCGGCTCACCAATCGGTCGGCGCGAGCGTCTGGACGCGGCTCAACAGTGTGCCGAAGCCCCTGTGCGCGTTACGGAGGCGCAGCGCGGTCGGGTGTCAAGCGAAGAGCGAGCGGCTTTTGGGAGGGTCAGCGCTGCCGCGGTCCGGCAGGCGCTAATTTAGGCCGGGGGTGCAACGGGACCGATCTAGTCGCGGGGCGTAGGGGGCAGGGAAAACTCTGTCGCATGGGTTGCAACCGTAGCGTGGCCTCGATCGGCAGCGGCCGGGCTTGCAATGCAGGGTATGCTGGGTACAGGGAGGCCGTGCGGCAGATCGTTTACTTACGATTTCTAGAATCCTTGGTGCCTTGGTAAGCCCCATGACGCAACTCTCCATTCCGTCGCCGTGAGAGGGCAGCGCTTTTGTCCCCTCTCGGCGCGCCCCATCTGCAGCGCTCCCTTAAAGTTCGGCGCATTCATACATCCGCTTCTTCTCCCCGACAGCGCTTGGCGCACTACAAGACTCTGCATTGCAAACCCCGACCGGCGACTGCGATCTAGCTCGGCTTCGACGGCATTCTTCCATTACCTGATCACCTCATCCCAGTCTTATTCCGAGTCAGCTGCTTGCTGGGCTTTTTTATAAGACTTATTCGCCACCCGTGTCCCTGACGGCCCACGGTCCCCACTAAGACGTTCCGCCTGCAACATGCTAGCCTGTTATCCACGACGTCAACACGCCAACTCATCTAGTCTCCCGTCGCCAACCTCTTCGCACTTCAACTTCCTCTCCAACCTCCACAACCAAGACTCCGTCCCCTCGCCTACCGAACTTCAAAACGACAGGCTGCTCCGCAACTACTTTCAGCAGCAGTCGTCCACCTCCAGGCCCGACGCAAATCAGTTCGCCGATCAGTACATGACGGGCTCTTACGACTTCTCCAATCCATCCATTCGGATACAGCAGTCGACCCCAGGCCCGCAGCTGCCTGCCACATACAACTTGATGATGGACAACGGTGCTAACGCACTGGGCTGGGACTTTGCGAACAACGGCCAGTTGACCACTGGTCCCTCGACATTGCACTCTTCCGCAATAAACAACAGCCGTCGCACACACCAGCGCTCGCCCTCATCATCAACCAACGCCTCGACCATCTCCGCCACTTCCGCTTACAACCCTGCCTTCCACTACTACCCTAACTCCGAGCAACATCCGTCTACACCACAGGCTCCCAAGGTTGAGTCATCATACAACGCCGAAGATATCTCTGGCACCTTCTCCAACCATCTCCCTACTCCTTCACATACTCCGACCCAAGACACCTTCAACAACAACAACAACTACTCAACCTTCAACAACATGAACGTCCACGACGGAGGCATGGCAGCACATATGGCCATGAAGCAGGCATTGATGGACCAGCACCATCAGGTCGGGAACGACGGCAGCTGCCCCGACTTCGGACACTCGTCCCGGCAGTCCGTCTCCAGCTATGGCGCCGACTCTCCAGCTACTCCTCACAATGCCCAGGAAGACAACTTCAGCGACGACCGGTTTAAGGTGCCTTCCAATGGTGAGAAATCCTACCCGCGGGTTGAGACCTGGATCGATGAATACTTACAATTCCCCGATGATCCAGATATGCGGCCAGTGCCCAAGCTTGACCGCACAATGACAGACATCTACGCAGATGAGCTGTTCAACCCAAATGCCATGGTGGCAGCACCGGCCAAGCAGTCGTCGCAGTCTTCCAACAACACGGCTCTTCTGTCTCCTTTCCGGAATGTCATGAACGACAGGTTGCAGGCAGCACACCAAGCCCGCTCCCAGTCGCCGGCCAGCACCCTGTCGCGCGGTGTTTCCCCATTCAGGCAGGGCTCGCCACTCGCGCCCCCCAGCAACTCGTTTGCCTCTCCGCAGGTCCGGCTAGGCAGCGCTCAGCAGCTGCGTGAGCAGCAGAAGGCCGAGTCTGACGCGTACGCTCTCCAGCGCAGCCAGCGCCAGCCGGACATGTCCGAGCCCAAGACCATCTCGCCCAAGGATGCGCTGCTGGACTACCACGAATCAGAGGAGGACTCGAAGATGCCACTTTTCCCCGACGCCAGCGGAAGCGACTACGACCACTCATACACGAGTGGCGACCAGGCGCACTACGACGGCTCTTCCGAGGTGTCATATGGCAGCACAGCCACAAGCCAGGCGGGTAGCTGGTCCGGGCAGGCGACAGCGAATTTTCCATCAGTTTCCGGGCCGTCGCCACCGCAGTCGAACTTCAACTTCGTGGCTCCCTCGGTGCCGAGCGTGATGGCTGGTCTCAGCTTCACCAACACGGCGACGCCGTACCGCTCAGTCACCAGCATTCCGGCCTCGGGCCAGGACGAGAACCCGCAGTTCCACCCTCAGCTTACATCGATGGACTCGAGCGCCAGCGAGATGCCAGAGTCGTCGCAGGCCAGCAACGACGACAGCAGCACGCCGGTGCAGCGGCCCGACAACTCGCACGCCGACACGGGAACGTACACCTGCACGTACCACGGGTGCTCCCTGCGTTTCGAGACGCCGCAGAAGTTGCAAAAGCACAAGCGCGACGGGCACCGGCCGCACGTAGCGACTCCTGGAGTGGGATCCGGGATGACGTCAGCCCAGCTTTTGGCTCGCAACTCGCAAGCGGGCCCTCACAAGTGCGAGCGCGTCAACCCGACGACGGGCAAGCCGTGCAACACGATCTTCTCGCGGCCCTACGACCTGACCCGTCACGAGGACACCATCCACAACGCCCGCAAGCAGAAGGTGCGCTGCGCGCTGTGCGTCGAGGAGAAGACGTTCAGCCGCAACGACGCCCTCACCCGGCATATGCGCGTCGTGCACCCTGAGGTCGACTTCCCCGGCAAGCACCGCCGGCGGGGCGGCGGCAGCTCCTACGAGTAGACAAAGGAGCGCATTCCTGGAGCTGCGCCCTGATTCGGCCGAGTGATGCAGCGATGCGTCGGCTGCCCGAGCTTTCGGATCCTGGAGCCGCTCCCTCGCGCACAACTGAGTTTCCGACTGCTCAGTTGGAGCTCCAACGCGTCATAGGCGCTCGCTTCCACGCGCTAGGCCTGCGTCATGATCTCCGCACACGACGTCGACTACCACATACCTCCGACGGCCGCTTGCGCATCGGCTTGCGCGACGACATCATCGCCTGCATCGCTGCCATTTCCTAGCGTCCGATTAGATTTCCTTGTCTCACTCCCGTGCCATCCAACGCAATGCGATGCGATGCCCACACTGCCCTGATCGCCCTCTCGAGTTGCAGGGTCCGACTGGCGTTATTTCCGGCTTTATTTTGTTACAATTTTCTGATATCACCTCGCGCTCCTATTTTCTTTTTTTCTCTTTGTGCTTATCACGTCTTTTGGCGTTGAACGTCATTATCAAGCTTGTCAAGAGCGGGGCTGGTCATCTCTGGGTTTCAAGCTGTCTGATTTATTGATTTTCGAGCAAGCGAGCCAGCGAAGATGGAGCTTCCATTACTACGCCTGTATTAATACCACACCCCTGCATGACGAGAAGGATGATGACGGATTTGAGCGTTTTCTCGCTACGACGAACTGCGACGATTGGAAGAGTGCCAACAAAAAAATTATCGATTTTAGCGAAAGAAGAACTACTTCTTCTTGTACCATCAACCTGTGTCTCGAGCACCAAAAGATTGTCTTTTTTTCTTAACTGCGCTTGATTTTTCCTCACCTCAAATGTCTCATTATTATTTCCTTGGGTTCATTTTCCGTGTATTGGGTAGCATGCAAAGCGTAATGGGGGTTCCATATCGGACTGGGCTGGATTTACGGCTGGGTTTTCTTTCTGTTTGTATCATCAGGGCGGATCTTTGGTCCCGGTGTTTTTGGATAAGTGGGCAGATATCTGGTGATCTTCAATTTTTGGCTGTAGCAGTTGCTGGATTAGCAAATGGGATTATACCCTTCCTTTAGGCTGAAAACACACTTGGCTCTCTCTCTCGGCATTCATGCTGTGTATGCGTGCGGACACTCATATTCCCCTACGACCATAACCGTACCGGCGCGTGAACGCAAAAAACGGGTGCCGATACCGTGACCATCCCCTCCCCCCCATTTCCCCCGAGACAAGCCCTCGGAAGAGGCCATGCGCATGATGGGTATGGTGACGCAAAAACCTGCTTATCATCTCTCGTGCCTTGCTTTTCCGCTTGCGGCTCTCGGGGAGAAGGGGCACAGAGCCTCATCCCTCTCCTTCATCCTTCCACTTTCCCGGCTGTTGTCGATCTTGCTTTGGGCTTCATCATCAGCTCATACCCCTTTTCGGCCCGCTCTGCCGCTCTTGTTTCGCCCTCCCATTCTTCGCTCATCATCATCATGACCTGCCAATCGCTCCACTTTTTTTACCCTTCCCAGCCGCCGCGGAGTCGGAAAGGGGCGTGCACTTGTGTGGGTCTTTCCTGAGGGTCGGACTGCCCTCCGCGCGCGCACACGCACACGCACGCACTGTTTGCAAATCATTCTCTTTTTTTTTCTCACCCCATGCTTGCGGTGTAGCTTTCAGGGCTACTAGGACAGAGTAGGGCTTCAGGGCTCCGTTGCTTGCGATTTGTCGCCTTGCTATTTTGTCTTGTATCCGCCGCGGATCATCGGGCGTGAAAACACACCGTAACACACGCCGACTACTCAGCCCCTCCTTTCCCCGCATCGGGGATGTCCGTTGGGCCTGTACGTCGGCTGGCACAATTGCGGTCGGATCTATGGACAGTTCTACAGCCGTTGCATCTTCACATGCATGGGGGGCAAATGCATGTCTAGCAAGTAGAAAGAATAGTAATATGGAGGGAAAAGGAAAGATGCAGAAGCAAGCATTCGTAATGCGTCAGTAAGCAGTGCAACCGCACCTGTCTGGCCGCTGACTGGCCGGCGCTCCGGAGCAACCGGGCAGGCTTGGAAGTTTCGCGAAACGTTACGGCTGGCCTGACCACTCAGGCGTGCGGACTGGGCGGAGGCGCAGTTGTGGCTGTGCCGTAACATCAGACGAAAGCAGCAGGGTCCGAGCTTACCGCATCGAGAAAGCGGATGCGTGACCAGGTTTTCGATTTCCAGGGCTCAAGTTCCCCCCCGCTGACTTTTGACCCCGCCAGCGCCACAGACGGCGGCGGCGAGGCCGGACCAGAGACCATCCCCACAACCCGACACGTGCGCTATAGCTGTGTGGCTGCACCCACACGCCAGAACACGCACCGGCAGTTTCATCCTCCCGCCATAGTTCGGATGGAAACGATTCCGCAAAAGCCAGTTCTCAGCGCCAGCCACGCGGCCGTAGATCATCCTTCTTACGCCCGCCAACCAAATTCTTCTCTGGCTGTCTATCTCGCAAGCTTTGATGATTCGCTTCACGATTTACAGCTGCCTTTTTCGCCACCGTAGATGAAGAAGGGTTCTGCCCTAACACCCTCACCGCTATCGGAAATCGACCCTGGCCATCTCGGATACGTAGGCAAACGCCTCGGCTTCGACCGGATCGGCTAGCTACAGTCTCCAGCCATGGGATTTGCGTTGAGCAAGCAGCATCAGCAACGGGGGGCAGCGAATACGCGATCGGCACTGCACAGAGGGACCCAATTGCTGAACATTTTCTATTTTAGAACATCGCATTCTCCGATTGTGTGGAGCCGAGGGCAAAGAAGATAATGCGGTCGGCAAAGCGAACACGAACAAGCATCCAAGGTGTTGAGGCTGGTGAACCGTGCTGAAAACCACCGCGCGCTTTGCAGCGGCTGAACTGTGAACGACGACATGTGAAAGACTAGCGACCAGAGCTGAAGGGAAAAAAAAAAAAACTGTTGGACTGTCCAGCTGATGGCTCCGTGGTATGACTGTCCGCCAATACTCCGTGTTCATTGAAGAAGTGTCCACGTGAGCATGGTACCTGCTGCGGAGGTGGTACAGTCATGCCACACGGCCACCTAGTCCAGGCTTCCAACCAACAATCCAATCCCAAGAACATTCTTGTCTTGGTGCCAAACGCCTTGCGATCGTTTGCGGCCCAGAATTTGGATTATGACACAGAGCCATCGGCAAATACCATCTTGGGCGGAAGCACGCGCGTACGCAAAAACGACAATTGCCTGATTGGGCAGTCATGAGACAGCTGGTGACGCTGGACGACGAACGGACACCGGCGTATGCCGCGATCCTCACGATGCGTGCAATCCGTCGCACGCGCGGAGATCTGTCCTCTTTTTTTTTTTTCTCTTTCTACACACATCCATGAAAGCCGTTTCCTCTTCGTGGGTTGGTGGGATGTAATAGAGTTGGGGGTACGATCTGTGTGAATGGCCGTTCCCTCTATAAACTTTAAGCTCCCGAAATCCCCGATCTGTTTCCGGCCCGCGATCCCAAACTTGGGCTTCGAGCTGATTGGGCCGGATTGGATTGGGCGAGCCAGTATTTCACCAGACCACTTGCCGATGCGCCCTCTATTCCTCGATCCCATGGATTCACAAAAAAACGTGCATGCTTTTTCTCAGCCCTGGCTGAACTAGTGGCTTTTTTAGCAGCGGAGTCTTCCTCCATGGTCAAAGCGACCCATGCAAGGGTATCGTAGTCGCATCTGCACGCTTCGCTGCCCTCTCCCCCAATCTAGCTGAAGGGCAATCGACTACCACTACTAGTAAACCAAACCGTGAACTACCTACTAGCGCCTGAATTCCTTCATGCCCCATGCGCTGTGGCGCAGCCAGTCATCATCATCAGCTCCACCACCTATCAATGCATCCCTAGCATCACACATCGCAATCAGCTATTGGCACTGTAACCAAGAAGAAGAACGGCTCTCTACCACTTGGACAAACCAGCACCGTTGCCGGCAATTACCGCAGAGAGACAGACTTCAGCAGCATCATCCAAGCAAAGACCAGCCAAACCCTTCCCTTAGCTCTCCCCCTCTCCCCCTGCTCTGCCCCCGCATACCATCATCAATCCAGGGCATAGTACATGTTCCTCAGAATCTGCTGTGTGACGCCGTGCCCCTTCTCCAGCTCGCCCACCTTCCTGCCCAGCTCGGCGTTGTCGTCGCGCAGGGCCTCGAGCTCGGCGGCCACCTGCTGGCGGTAGCGCTCGTGCTCAGCCTCTTCCTGCTCCCTCCGCGCCTGATCCTCGCGGCGCTCCCGCTCCCGCTCCTCCTCGCGCTCGGCTCGGCTGCGCCGCCGCTGCTCTTCCTCCTCCGCGGCCTCCCGGCGGCGGTCCGTCTCGGCTTGCTGCTCGTGCTCGTGCTGCTGCTCCTGCTCGCGCAGGCTCGACGCCATCGACTCTTCCATAACCAGCGTCTCAACCGCCCTACTACTCGCACTGCTACGTTGTTGCTGCTGCGGCTGCTGCGGCTGCGGCTGCTGTGCCGTCGTATTCGTAGTCGTCGTCGTCATCACCGGCTTCCGGTCCGCGGCCTCGTCATCATCCTGCTCGCCGACTTCCGCTCCTGCCGTCGTCAGCGTGGCAGCGGCAGCAGCGGCGGCGGCAGCAGATGACGCCGCCGCCTGTGCCTGTGCTTGCAGCGGGGCCTCCAGGTCGGCGAGGCGCCAGCGGAGCATGTTGTTTTCCTCGTGCATGTACACGTTGTCCTTGCGCAGCGCGTCCATCTGCTGCTCCAGCACCTCGAGGCGCGCGGCGAGGCTGTCGAGGCTGAGCAGCGGCGGCGGTGCCGAGTGGGCGGGGTGCGGCGGCGGGATACCGGCGGCCGCGGAAGAAGGGTCGTTGGGGTGGGGAGGAGGAGGGGCGCCCCCGGTGGGGGGAAGCGGTTGGAGATCGGATTGGGATAGGTGGGAACGATGGTGGTGAGGAGGGTGGTGGTGGGGGGACGGAGGGGTCGGGGAGAGACGTCGCTGGTGGTGATGGTGGTGGTGCGGCGGCGGCGGACCTGGGGAGGGGAAGATGTGGCGTTCGGATGGTGGTGGGGGATATCGCTCTCGGTCGTCGAAGCTGTGTCGTTTAGCAGTGGGCGACTGCGGCCAGCCGCGGCCGTGCCTCTCGCTCGGCGGCGTGACGGAGCGGTATCTGTGATGCTCAGGCGGGCCCGGGCTGGGGAAGCGGTGCCTGCTTTCGCTGGGCGGCGGATGGTGGTAGGGCGAGTCGTGCGGCGGGGGCCGCTCGGGTGGCGGGCGGTTGTCTCGCAGGCCTACGCTGTTTCTGAAAAAGGGCTTTTGTCCGGCGTTGCGAGCATCAGCATCATTTTGTTGTTCTTGTTGTGGTGGTGCCGGGATTCACGCATCACGTCTTTGCTCCCCCTCTCTTGCGAAAATAGAAAAATAGCCAAGAGAGCGAGCACTCAACACATACATTAAGCGAACACACGTTGGCAGTGGCGCGGCAGCGGGCGCACACATGCGTCTTGAAGCCGTAGCGGCGCATGGCCTCGCGCGAGTAGACCCAGCAGCCGCGCGGGTCGCCGGCGTCGCGGCACTGTTCGCAGGCCTCGGGCGCAGGCTCGCCCTCCTCCGTCTCCATTATGCGGCCGACGTGCGTCCAGTTCATCTTCATGGCCGGCGCCATGCGCTCCCACTCGGCCTCCGTCACCGCCCACCATCCGTCGCGCGTCGACGAGGCTGACGGCCGCCGCCAGTCGTTCGCCCCGCCCGTGTACGTCTTGCGCCGCTTCGGGGGAAGGAAGTTGGATGAGGTCGGCGACTGGTTGGGCCCGCCGGTGTAGTCGTCGGTGAAGGAGCGTTTGGGCGGCATGGTGGGCGTGTGGTCGTGGGGCGAGCTACGTGGACGCGTCGTGTCGCGAGACAAGTAGTCCGGCCTTTTTATTCTTCTCTTCGGACGAGATTACAACGGTTCGAGACGTATCATTGAGGGCGGACAGCAGGCTGTGGCTCTGTGCAGTGTGCGCGGACGACAGCGCAGCAAGGAGAGTGGGTGTGGAGAGTAAGACGAGGTGTCGTCGTGTGTGGGCGCGCAGGTAAGCAGCAAGCGGGCGTCGCTTGGTTGCTGTGCCTCTCCCCCATCCTGCTGCGAATTTCGCTTTTCTCTCGCTGCGCCTTGTGCCACGGTGACGATATGTATGTTTCTAAATTTGAACATCTATGTCTTGCACGAGCAGGCTGCCGGTGCCACGAGGCTTCGGCGGAACTCGTAGGGCAGACAGCAAGTCGTGGCCGAGATTTGCCGCAATGTCTCGCCGCGGGGCCGGCAACGCTGAAATTGGCTCTGCTGCAAGATCCCGTCTTGGCTCCAGAGGAATGCTTGAGCTTTCAACTTCTCCTGCTTGATCCCTGCAGCACTCTATTGCGTCTTCCAGTTCTTTTAACATCGGGATAGTCCGTTTCAGAAGATCTACTCATCTTAGAAATCCCAGTTATGAGAGTCTCTGGATGCATTTGCTTTATTCTCGGCTCTCAACATCTGTTGAAACCTGGATTGTGCTACTATGGCGAGGCGACTATTGCTCGCATGGCGGTCACTGACCTTTAATACTGAGGTGGTGCGGGCGCGGCTAAGCAGTAGCCGCGTTGGATGGCTACCAGCAGGTTTATGCAACGAGAGCAAGTCCATGCCGGATTACTTAGAGAAGACAGACTTCTTTTGGTGTGTGTTAGTTTGGGTGAGACAGGGAAGTGGGGGTGATCGGGAAGATGGAGAAGAGGACAGTAGTTGTGGAAGACCGGAAGGGTTCGGAGGAGGTTTCGACGGGCACCGCAGTGGGTTTGAGCTGCAAAGATGTAGCGACGAGGAATGCGACTTTTTGCTGCAGTGGTGTTTGAGTTGCACAATTGGACGTTGGCCGCGGTATGACACCTGTGCTAATTCGTACATGTCGTAGATAATTCTGTAGTACTTTCTTTTCAAACGTGAGGTGTAGGATTGCTGACGTGAAAAGCAACATTGCGACATGAGCTGGAAAACTAATGCTCTTGAAAATATACCAAAAGGCCATGTCCTGCCCTTCTGGTTAAGCAAACCGTTCTCTGTCAAACATGAGAAGCAAACGACTGTTGAAGCAGTATACTGAGAACCGACAACACCGCGTCCACCAGGCCCCTCGCCTCACTTTTCACATCGCTGCGCGCTATTGTCGAATATGTCATTTCAACCATTATTCAGCTTTTGTCACCCCAAAAAGGCCATAACTCCTCCGCAATGGGGCAACATACATCAGTCAACGTCGGCTAAATAGTCAGAGTCGCTGTCAAGTACTATAGGTGGAGATATTGGTACTCTGTCAAGTACTATAGGTGGTACTCTGTCTCCCCGAGACTTGGCGTAGCTAGTCTGAGCGGACTCACTAGGGCTTCTCAGTCCTTTGCCAGCCGGCGCCTCGACGTCGAGAGTAGCATCGCGACCCATCCTTTCCGGTTGCCGAAGAACTGGTTGTGTTCCTTGATGAGATCGCTTCCCCTTCCCGTCAACTGTCACGCCAACAGGTCTGCTGGCATCAGAAGGCCCTCCAGGATTCATGAAGGCTCCACTTCCAAACCCAGCAGGAGCACCACCCGGCGGAAAATCACTTGGACGGGGTGAGCTGCGGACAGCAGGACCATGCGCGCCAGCCCCACCCTTTTGAGTGCCGAATGAAGGGGGTACTTTCCATGCAAGAAACGAATCATCGTCGTAGTCCAGTTCGTCTAAGAATTCGCTTTCAGGGATTATCAATGAAGGGCTCGGTCCCTTTCCTGCTTTCTGGCCTCCGGGGGCAACAGGAGGGGGTCCAACAGAGCCAGGGACATCGGCATCTCTCCTGGGCCCTCTCCTCAACACGACGCGTATCTCTCGGACTTCCCTTACCTTACCATGGTCCCTACGGATGTACTCAACTATATCCTGCTCGATACACGCTAAGGTCCACTCCGCATTCGGGTTTAGCTCCTCAGTCTTTACGTCCTCAAGTAGACCATCAACTAATGCACGCTGATGTGACGATCGGAGGGAGTTATACTGCTCGGATACGGTTCTCCTTCTATGCCACGTTATATTCGAAGTTGAGGAGGTAGTTGTAGTTCGGCTTACGATGCGTAGAAGCTCGTCGGTCGAATAGGGTAGCGGTTCCTTATGCGTGCGGGCCCACGACGGCTCAACGCCCGGCTCGCGGTCTCTACGGAAGGACCAACCGTGAAAGCTGCGGGGCACAGGGTCCGTTGTGTTGCCTAGCTGATGATCGAGTAGCCGGTGTATGTTGGCATTGGGGTCGTAGTATCTTGTTGAGACACGCTCCCAAAGTGGATCGTTGCATTCTGGTACATCCACTTGTTCCACCGGTTCCAATGCTGGAGGGCCTTCTTCGCTACCAGGTGCAACGACACGAGCGTCTGATTCATTTGACATTATTTCTTCTTCATCAACAGCGTCTGAGCCTGACCCTGCCAATGAGTTTGATACAGACCCCTTAGCGTTTCCATGAGAGACCGACTTCTGATCATCGTGCAGATCTTCATCATCATTGGTATAATCAGCTCTTGGGATAGAGAACAGCGCCATCTGTTCCAAGTGCCTAGAGATATGACGTTTGAGAGAACTGGTCTTTTGCTTGCAAAGATTGCATATCCCTCCAGGAGCTTGAGTAGGCCGGCGAAAGTTGTAGAGTAACGATGGCGATTTTGACAATGACATGTCATGAAAACGTTCCATATGCTCTTCAAATTTGAGCAGGCTGTAATATGGCTCGTGGCTGTCGTCTCCGCATGCGAGAAAGACGCGGTGTTCCTGAACCTCATGGGCGTACCAGGTATCTCTGTCGCTAAAGAGATGGTCCGGCAGACTACACTCCTTGTGCGTGCATACGTATGGCTGCATATCAGTCAAAACGTGTTTCCTGGTGATTCATGTCAGTAAAATATAGTTTCCATTCTGTGGGCGTGGGTGACTAACTTCCATTTGTCGTCAGTTGAGATCGTCACAGCCATCTGGCAGTACGAGCAGCAGAAAGACGTTTTGAAAGATCCATCTTTCTTGTTTTGCGGCCGTGGAGGAACTTCTATTTTGAGTTCTCGAGTGGCTTCACTGGCGAGGACGGAGTCGAGAGCTTCAGAGCCGACGATAGACGGGGCTAAAAGGTGGTGCAACTCCGGCGGAGGTAGCTGAGGAAGCGTAGTGGCTTTCGACTGCAAGGTTCGGTGGCCGCTGTCCGATTTTCCACTGGTTGATCCTTGTATATTGTTCCTGATCACGGGAAAGTTCTGCTGACCTTGTCCTATATGGATGCTTCCAGAGATGTTCTGTTGGTGCGACCTCCGGTACTCCAGTAGCTGCCGTCGACGAGTGATCATCTTAGCAAGGCGCGCTGCTACATCTGAATCAAGAGCTGGAAACTTGTCTTTTACATAGGAAATATCAAAGAAGTGAAAGCATGCTGTGGAATCTGTTGATCTGTCCTTCAAGCGGTCCATAGGAGCAGGGCGTCGGATTGGAAGCCTGTATAGGCATGTGGTAACTCTTTGAATAGAGGCGAGTCGACTGGTGAGGCTTTCGATGCCTTGTCCTATGCTGTGTACTTCGGCAGAGAACAAAACTGAATGCTGATTCTGTGAGCTCTGCACAGGTTGCCGCTGAGGTGTCCTCTCCTCTTTGGACTCGTCGTCAGAGCTTGATATGTCCCAAGGTGAATCATCATCATCATCGGGACCGCTTTCGGGCGTCTCTGTCGTTGGGTTTAGGCGGTCGGATTTTCCGTCAAGAACTTGCGCAACCCTTTCGATATTTTCCTTCAGGATCTTCAAGAACATTATCACCTAATCCAACAATGGCGTTGTGAGTATAAATGAAACAGTTACTGTCTGGATGTGCTCCATACCTGATCTCTGAAAAGTGTTGCTTCCCTTAGTCGATAGTCCAAAGAATACCTGAAAGTCGGTCCAGAGTGCGCAGCGCCAACGTTACTAGCCCAAACTTTGTATTTATCAAGCTCATCTTCCAACTGTTCGGTGAGCTCATGATCTTGCGTCCTTGCTGATTGGCATAGCTGCTCAAAAGATCTATGGCACTCGTTGTGGACAAGAGCGATCGTGGTGTCCATCCTATGATCCTCGGCTGTATCCAGGGAGAGGCAAAGGTTGGTTGCACGCTTGTTTGTGGCGAACAAATGATAGATATTTGGGATTCTCGAGTGCTGAGCTATGTTGAAAGGTGTACTACAGCAAAGACAAGTTGAAAATGGCGTTGAAATGTTGAGGTGGTGTGGAAGGCTGAGATTATGCAAACGCATGCTTACTTAAATGTCGCCCCCACAATGACCCCGCTCAGCTGTTGTGCAACGCAACATGGCTTCTCCGCGAGGCTGAAATCACCACACTCATGCTCTCTTCGCAGTATGCCACCATAGCCTTCAGTACTGTGAAATGTCAGGCCTCGAGGTTGTAGGTGTTGTGCTGGGGGGCATACCCCTCGTTATCGAAGCGCTGAAGTTTTACCGCGACGGTGTAAGTATCCTGTACTGAACCTATAGACGTACACGACTGACAGTCTCAGATCGCGACTGTATATGATATGTTCAAGTACCTGGACACCTTCGACATGATTTACGTCGAGTTCTCGACGACCCTCTCTCGTTTTCTACAGGAATGCGAACACCTCTACCGCAAGGAACTCGAGCTTCCCGACCACCAATACAAAGAGTTCATGGATAATGGAGGGAAGCAATGGGAAGCGAGCTTTCAAGTTGAGTTTGAACAAAAGCTGCGCGGCAAACTGAGGCATGACTGGCAAGCGTATATGAATTTGTTGAGATACTTGAAGAAGAGGTTTCACCTTTTGAGGAAGAAGCTGGATCTCAACGAGGATTTCAGTGTGAGGTTTGAGGCCCTCCCACTCCGAAAGCACATCTGACACCGCTCAGGTTCCATTCGTGGATGACTATGGCCCAGTGAAAATCCTCAACAAATCCAAATGCGCCGAGTTCTTCACTATCACCAGACGCATTAAGGGAGGATTGAGAAAGGGTCATCTAAGGGTTTTGGTTTCCGAAATCAGTTGCGACGTCGAGAAGCTGGGCAGGCTGACTCGCTGCGCCATAGAGCTTGAGCCAATACGTCACCAACACAAGGAACAGGACAAGACGAAGAGCGTTTCCAAGTACTGGCTTTCGGCTCGTTCGCACGCGATGCATGTATACCATGCATTGTGCTGTTCATGGCCACAGAGCTGCGCCTCCTTGCACCGTCATTGTGCTCAACTCCGCATTGATCTTCCAAAAAGAAACTGCTCAGCCGACGAGCTCCCGAGTTTCGCCTTCTCCTTCTCCCTTGAGGAGAACGGTATTCCTCAAACAACGCTCCCTTGGGAAAAGCGTGACGTCAGGATGATATCTCTGCCTGAACCAGATCATGTCATACCGTGAGTTCTTTAATGAAGAAATTAAGAACTTTGATCTTGCCTTATTGACCATAGTTTGTAGACCGCCGAGAGTCAGATTTTCTGTTCCAAAGGTCACAGTAGACTCAACTCATCAGGGACCCAAGATATTCTGTCAGTCAGTACATGAAGTGCACGATTTGTGCAGTGTACTGGGAAAACCATGCTCCAATTCCAGTTGCTTGGGCTCCTTTGTGCATGAAAAGCGCCGCTATCATGTACACGAAGAAGAAAACAAATGCACCAGACGATTGAAGCGTCTGAAGCAGATCTTCTTTCGCCAATACAGGAAAGGTCTGCGGCCGAACGAAAGGTAAACGAGCATTCTCAACTAACACCTTACCTGTTTCCAGACCTGGGGCTAACTCGTAATCCAGAGCGGCAATAGCTTTCGGGCTGGCATCAGCAGTACTCCAACTGTACGATACTCCATGGCTGAATGAGAACTGGGATCTGGACGACCTGTATTTCAGACCTTCAGGGAGCAGCTATGAGCTCGTTGTCGCGGAAACATTTGGAGACGTCTCTCTGCAACCTTGCTTGCCGCCGCCAAGAAAGAGGGACTATCATCCATTTATTAGGAACAAGACAATATACTCCCTTGGAGTTGCGCTTCTTGAGTTGGCGAACGGACAGCCCCTGATCCAATGCCAAACCGATGAGGACCTCAACGACGAAGGGAGCCCTGATGCGTTGACTCCTTACAAGACAGTAGACCGGCTTTTGAGGGAGCTCCAGGAAGACGAAAAAGAAAGCAACTTTATGCTGGCGGTGGACTACTGCCTGAACCCAAGAGCTGCTGGGAGCGGACTTGGGATTGGAAACAAGGCCTTCAGTCTCACTAATGAAAAGTTTCGGCAGTGCTTTTTCGATGATGTCGTGGTACGGCTGCAGGAGGACTACGAAGCTGTGTTCTCTACTGATGGCAAATGAGAACCGACCGATATCAGTAGAACTTTCCCAAGCGATGATCCTTTGCAGCTTGAAAAGGTTGTTGTGCGGCGTCTGGTTGTGAGTGGAGACTTGGACAGCTATGTGTGTACACGTTGTTCATTTTGAGTTTCTACTATTAAATAAGTCAAGCGCAAGGCCCCAATAAAAACACTGTCGAGTAGCCCGTCATGAAGAGGAGCTAAGCGCCGTGCTGTTTAGCGCTCGGTCTATCACTAGCGGATCTGCGGTATTGCGGCACAGCACGACAACAACGGGGAACATTAGCGACGATGAACGTAAATAGAACCATGCGCTCTTCGCCGCGTCATACTGAAGACCCTTCAAATGTCCTGCAAGTCTTTTCCTTCGTTACCGCGCTTTGTGCAGGATCACCGAAAATGGCGCCCCTTCGTCCCATAGATTTACAACACCATCAACACGGCCGGCGCCGTCAAAATAGCGCAACAGTTGCCGCTGCAGTTCTCACCGCCTTTCTCCTACTCAGCCTCGTTCCTACCGCCTGCGCTCAGGCAACCACACCCAGCAACTTCATCCGACGCAACAACCACGGCTCTGTCGCCGTGGGCTCCTTCGTATACATCGACGGCGGCCTGTACGCAGTATACGACGATGACAAAAACGTACAGGCGCCCGCGCAAAACACGGCCACCCTCGCCATCGACATGCGGCAGTCGTGGACAAACGCGACGGTCAACATGACGGCCATCTCCAAAGGCAACAGCCCCATCTTCTTCCAGCCGCAGTTCTGGGCCGACGAGGAGAACAACGCCTTCTACTCCTGGTCCGGCGACACGCCGGCCGGGTACACCGTGTCGGAAAAAAGCCTGTGGAAGTTCAGCGCGGACGACAACAGCTGGGCGCGCGTCTCGACCGACTCGTCCTTCACAGGCCTCACGCGGCCGGTCGGCGGCTACAACGCCGTCGCGAACGGAGTCGGGTACTTCGTCGGCGGCTACGGCACCGAGACGACCGACGACATCAACTTCCGCAGCAGCGACTACGTGCCGGTGCCGGGCGTGGTGTCGTTCAACTTCTCGTCGGGCGAGTGGGCCAACCGGTCGTCCGACGGGTGGACGAGCTACGGGCGAGGCATGAGGGGCCAGGCCGCCTCGGTGCCTTTCGGGACTAACAACAACAGCTTGCTCGTGCTGCTGGGCGGCGAGAGCGGGACGCGCGAACTCGTCTCGAACCAGCGCGGGTACGTCGACTTCAGCAGCGTGTCCATCTACGACACGACCGCGAACGGCTCCTGGTACTCGCAGACGACGACGGGCGAGGCGCCCAGCCCGCGGGATGAGTTCTGCATGGCCGCGACGCAGGGAGCGAACTCGACGGAGCTGTTCGTCTTTGGCGGCTGGACCGTTTCGACGGGCCTGACGCACAACGACTCGTACATCCTCTCGCTGCCGGCGTTCCGCTGGTTCAAGGGGCCGACCAACACGGAGCCGAGGGTCGGCTTGTCGTGCCATGTGGTGGGCGGCGGGAAGAGGCAGGTGCTCGTTGTCGGCGGCCAGAATAACAACAACAACACTTATCGCTGGGCGAATCCGGATCCGTGGAAGCAGGGGCTGGGCATCTTTGACTTGACGGCCATGGAGTGGAGCGATGGGTATGATGCGGACGCCCCTGCGTACGAGTCGCCGCAGGTCGTGAAGGATTGGTATAACGGAGAGAGCTATGCGGAGCCGGACTGGTCGTCGGATACCGTCAAGGCTTTCTTCTCCAGGACTTCTACCGGGACTTCCTCAGCGTCGCCGAGTTCGTCCGCATCTTTGAGCCCTACAGGTGATGTTAATCATGTACAATCATCAGAAGTGAATGTCGGTGCTATTGCAGGTGGAGTGGTTGGCGGAGTGGTTGCGGCAGCCGCTATAGGCTTTGCATTATTCTATTGCCGACGCCGGAAGCAGCGAACAGATCCTCAGATGGGGCCCGGTGTCATAGACGAACTGGATTCTGAGTCAAGAGCCGAACTTCATGGACGCAGCGCAGGCGCCGAGCTACCGACAAAGCTCCACAGCACGGCTGAGCTTCCCGCAAGCTGGCCAGAAAGAGTGGAGTTGCCTGCAGGAGCAGGTGGTTGGTATCCGAAGCCGGTTGAACTACCAGCGAGCCGAGGGTCGTCCGGACGGTGACTGTAATGCCATTTTGTTTCATATAGATTTTCAACTTTAGCCAGTAAACTCTCGGCAGGAAACCCCTGTGTTTGGGATTCATCATCATAACTTTGTCTGTTCTCATCAGTCTTCTAAAGCCTTTTGATACTTGGAACAGCAGCAATGTACAGCCACGCGTCCCCTGCCGTCCGGGCCCTGGCTCCCTTTGTGGCAGGACTCAACATCAGTATCACGATGCATATGAAGCTTGCTCTCCTTACAATTGCTAGACCATCTTAGTCTCGCCGTCTTCCATCCTATGAACCGGAAACTCGCGTGGGATGTTCTCCGATATCGCATCCTACACATCAAAATCTTTTTTTCTTCTTTTTGAAGAGTAGCGGATGAGGCTCTGGTGTGTGTAGCCTTCAGCGCCCAGAAGTGGGCAATTTGGCGAACGAGTGTCCGTTTGCTGCGTTTTCTACCCCGCCCGCCGCCATCGGAGCAGAAGCCAACTGGCAAGAGGACAGGAGGCAGCACCAGCGCTAGCAGGAGAAGGACTAGCAGCTCAATAGCCGCCAGCAGACCGCCTAGCAACAGACGCGCGGCTAACATAAATTTAGTAGTATCTTACACAGTAGTCGTTAAAGGATGCTAACTCCGAAGGCGGTGAATGTTCCGAACCCCAGGGAACAAGGGCTTTATGGCACGGCCTCAGATCCCGCACGAGAATCTAGAGAGCACGAGATGACGGCGCGCACGGGACAACCACTAGGCAGCAACTCCAGAAGGAAGCACGGACCAGAAGATCCCCTACGGGACGAAGGACCAGGTTGGTAACCGAAGGTCTAGCATGAGAAGGCGGGAAGCCAGAAAAGGACAGGCGAGTGGGACAGGCAAGATACAGGTTGGAAGGAGCCTACCGTTACAGTGAATACGGCATCACGAAGGGTATACCGGATTATCTTGAGCCGACCGGAAACTGCTAGTGATAGCGCTAACCGTGCGTGGGTTGGTTGGGTGGTGTAGCGCGGCAGCCGAAGATCGGATGACAGCTGCCAGGGTCCGTGTGTATATCAACGACTCAGGGGCAAACAGCAGCCTTCAGCGTAGCAAATCAAGCCACAACACAACCAATTCGAGTGCATTCTTTGAACAAAAACGTTTTCTTGCATCATGCAGTCCTCAAGAACCCCCCCGGGAGAAATTTTCTCTAACATTACCCCTTTCCAGCCAAGAAACAAGCCTGGTCCCAAGCCAAAACCGCTCCAGCAGCATAAATACATAGCCAAGGGGCCTATACTATGCAAAAAAGAAACGCATACGCCTGGAAAGAAGCTTCGGGTACTGATGCTCTTATCATCACAAAGTACTTGATAATTCAAGCCCAAAACCTCGTTCCAGACCGGGTGCTCCCCAGCCAAATCCAGCTTTCCGACTCGCGCACGCGCCAGTGATAACTTTTCTGTAGATGCGCTTTCCGGGCGGGATCCTTGGCGGTGCGGCTATTGGGCCCGTGTGATTGGTTGACCTATGCGGCGCAGCAAAGCCCTTGTGGGACCCTCGTATAATTGCCGCTCGCGACTCTTTACTACATGAGGCTTTGCGGCACGGAGGCATATCATCGGCATTGAATTCCACGACAATGACGTGTGTTTTAGATTTGCATCATTCGCTTCTTCCTACCTAGTGTGGGGGCTATGGTAGAGGCTAATGCATGTGCGCTGACAATTACTACATACCCCACTCCCTCTGTATGTACAACTATTTACAGATAATATCTACAGACGAGTCTTCGATCATTAATATGCTTGATAAAATGAAATAAACCACTCTCAACATAGATAACACGGAGATATATCTAAGAAGATTGCACGAACGAAACCTCAGGAACCATCATCTTACCAAGTATGGCTTACAAGTCATCAGTAAATGCAAGGAGTGTCCGGTTTTCGTCGCAGACTCTTGCAAACTCCAGAATCAACCGGTACATGTATATCTGCATGTCCTCCTTTCTCAACACCTGCTGCGCCCACTCCTGCCCTTGGTTTGCGAGTGATTTTGCGACAGAATCATGTGCCAAAAGATAATCCAAAATGCCATAAAAGTCGATAAAGGTGTTGTCCATGGGTACGAAATGCACCCATGGAAACAAGCGCGAATCGTGCCATTCACGATATATGCTCGCTTTGATGGGCAAGGAAGTGGAGAGGAGGAATGCGCGGTAGCGAGCGCTGTATGAATTCCCATCGATGTCTGGAAGAAACTTGTGGTGGTACTGGTCGAGCATGGACAGATGTTGGGCAATTTCGAAATAAGGGCCAGAGTAAGAGCAGTGCGGACCGCCTTCTTGAGGAAAGCAGAGGAGGTCGTTGAAGCCCACGTTGCCCAAAGGATCTATCCATTCACCCAAGCGTCCTTCTTTTGCGGCTCCGACGTCGTAGAGGGCGGGGTCCGGAAGTTTGAAGGCAACGGATTCGCCACCATGGGCCTCGGCATCGGCGACGGTAGTGCCGTTGGCCATGGAGACCCAGCGATGGCGGTGGAAATGCGGCCACGTCTCGGCTTTGTTGCGGCCGCCGGAAGCAACGCCTCGCCACACAAATCCATCGCGCTTTTTCTCCCAGGCGTCTCCATGCTCTTGGCCACCCGAGTACTCTTGCCAGTCTCCCCAGTACATGGCTGCCGGGACGAGTATCTCGTTGTTGCCTCTCAGCTTGGAGCCAGCGAAGAGGGGAATCAAGCGCGTTGTTGCCTTGGTCGACGTGGGCTCGATGAAAGTCCCGTGCAGACCGCGGAGGTGCGGATGGTGACAGGGATCCCTCGCGACAGTCCAGTTTTGCACATAGCCGTGCCAGGACGCCTCTGGATGCCGGAGAGGCATGTAATCCGGTGCTGGGACGGACAAGTCGACATGATCAGGGGCCTGGCGAGCTGGTGAGTCGGGATGGCAGGTTGCGCGGAGCAGCGGCCACATTTGAGCCGGCTCTCTTATCCAGTCCACGGGCGCGACTTCAGCATCCATGTCCTCAAGCGCGGAGAAATGATTGACGAGGCGCGACGGGTCCAATGTCATGTCGCGCTGCTCGATTTCAGAAGCAACAAGGGAATTGATGCCCTCCCAAGGCACAAATAGGCGGGATTCATCCATGATGTTCATGGGTAGATGGATATCGGGCACAGGTGCGACTTCGGCGATGGTTTCAACAAGGTTGGTCCAATGGTCCATCCGCCAACTGTCCTTGGGCGTCAGCTTGGACACAGCGCCATTTCGTACCGACACGATCGTCTGCTCGTGGCGAGTGGTGGCGATGCGGATGTCGCGCGGGGAGAGGCCCCAGAAGGGTGCCAAATCGTCGTAGATTTGGTCAAAGAAGTCCTCGACGACGACAGCGTTCTTGCTAAGGGCAAACTCGAACCAGGCATCGAAACCCGGCGGAGGATGGCGCCCGCGGCGCACGCGATAGCGGGCGGCGGCATCATTCAGGGTGGTTGAGCGCGTTTCAAGAAGGCGGCGGAAGTCGGCATGGGCGCGTTCGACGAGATGATCGATGGGGTGAGGCGGCAGCGGCGAGGATGTTGACACGGGCGTTGTCGTCGCAGACGACGACAGGAAAAACAGGTACAGCAGTATGAAAGCGAAGACTGCTAGTGTTGCGGCGCTGGCGAAAGGCCGCAGCCGCGAGAGAGTGTCGAAGCCGCGGAGCATGGCGCGAGATGCTAAGGCGAACTTCCAAGGACTAGCGGGGCCAGCGCAGCTATGTAGTACGTAGGCGCCGGGTGTGTGCTTGGCGCTCGGCAGCCCCCACGACTAGACCAGGGTGTGGGCGCTTCGCGATGCGGCAGCAAAGATGCCTCCTGCGGCGCAGTCGACAGCCTTAAAACTGGGTATCGTGGTACTTTCCCCCTCTCCACTCATGCGTTGATTTTTCCCTTGCATTTGCCTCGCCATGCTGGTTCTCACGTTACTATTATTCGTCCCGTGCTTCGCCGCCGCAACATCGAACTCGGGCTACTTTTCATTCCCTCTGAAGGCCGACGACGTTCCTACCGTTCACAATGCAGATGTTCTCAACGTCACATGGTACTCGCTCTACGACCAAGCTGTTCTCTACTTTTGGTGCAGCCAAACATTAAGTATGCCACACTCCAGCCTCCGTCTACCGTCCGTGCTAACCTGCGTAGTGGACACGGTCCGCGGCCTTGGCGGCGACGGCTCGCTGCAGTATACCGTCAATACATCCTGGTCCTCACCCTGCCACTGGCAATACGCAAAACAAAGCGACGAATCGAAATACATGGACAGTGGCTTCGTCGACGTAACCAACCTGAAGGCCACTCCCATCGTGACCTGGGGCCCCAAGGCCGCCGGTGTCGCCTGCGGTGCCTCAACTGTGACGGCTACCGCCAGCGCTGCGACAATAATCACCACCGTTACTGCTACGCCGGCCGCCTCCAATGCAACTGCCGACCAGGAGCCCAAGCAACCCCTTGGCACCGGTGCAAGCATTGGTATCGGTGTTGCCATAGGAGCTGTCGTTACTGGAATCGTTTCTGTCCTGTGCTTCGTCGGCCGGAAGCGAGCTCAGGCACAATCCAACCAGGCCGCCGCCGCAGCTTATCACGATGATCGGAAAAGCTTCTACGAGTTGAACTCCACTTCGCGACCCGTCGAAGCCGACAATTCATGGAGCGGCCACTACGCAAACGCCGTCGAATTACCGCCCGTACCTTTCCCTCACGATACACCAGCTCGCCATCGTAGCGACGCTTCTTCTCAAGTCAAATAATGTTGTTGTACGCCCGTCTTTATGTAGATAGCCATCTAAAACTTAATAGCCAGCTATTTAGACTAGTGTATATCATTTGTGTTAAATCCGCCTGCGACGCTTGCAGTGAGTGCACGCCACCAAATCGCATGAATAATGCGCAAATCTTTTGCCACAGCTGTATTGCATTTTGGAGAGCCTCTGTACAAATTTGCATCTCGTTTTGACAACGTGTTGTTGAGTAGTTCATTGCTGAAGGCATTTGTTGTGGCCGTGATGACCGTGCTTTGCTTGCCAAGACCGAGGCTTACGAACACTAAACAACAATGCGTCTGCGCGTCTGCGTGATTCGCTAGCGTTGGGCAAGAAAGTCATGGCCCATCTTCACTTGACTGACGTCATGCCGCAGCTGGACCACGAAGCGCAGCAGTTTTCTGGTACAAAGCAAAAACCATATCTATGAAAAAGGCTATTCCCCTGGTAGCTGGCTGCGTACCTGGTGGACGCATCGGCTTTCACTGTGCTCTCGTCATGCACACTGCAGTGTCACTACTCTGCTTACAAGAATGCTAGTGTGACACAGTAAATCTATTTCCAGCACATGCAACGACGGGGATATTGATAAGAAAGGAGGTGTGGAACTACAAAGCAGTCCCAACCGTGCAAGGCTGGCGAGGCCTCCGTATAAGTACATACGCTGTAACTCTGTCCTCGCAGCTTACTGCGGAGTAAATATTTTTAGAGATCCCTTTCTCTCACAGCTATGCACGTTTCACCGGCTTTTGAAAGCCATATGTAGCTATTGAGCGATGCTGCGCACGTGGAACAGGGCTTCCAGCAAACGCGAGTGGTTCGAACAAGATATTTCATCTGGCAATCAGTCGGACGAGGCCGATTGTGCTTGGCTTGTTTCGTAACATTCTGATCCCCAGCCTCCCACTCCTTCGAGGTTAAAACCGGGATCAAACGGGGGTATTTTAGCGGCATGCGGCTCAGATTGGGGATACTACTCTCACACTCGGGGGGCTGGAAGATATTCTTGGAACAAATGGCAGCATCCATGGTGAAATGTAGCCACATCTCCGTCTGTGAAACAGCAGTGCGCCACCACCAGGCTTGCTCTGCTGCACAAGGCGCACCTGAGGACTGAATCGGAATGTTGGCGTATGATAGGTATTTGGTGTAACGGGAGGCTTCAACCTATTATATAGAGCAGGTTTCAGCTGCGCCTCCATATCTCCAAGCTGGCTGTGCACATACTACCTTCAGCGCAGCTGCTATAATTAGTCAAAATATTCGTCCTGTCTTTCTTTTGGGGGACAGGAGCACGCACCGTGAGTTTCGTAAATTACAGGGCGGACTGCCTATAATAAAACTTGCTAGTAGTTTTACTGTTGGCGGTTTCGCTACTAGCGGTCTCGCTACTAGCGGCGGTCTCGCTGTATCGCTCGCTATCGCTGGTGTCGCTCGCTGTCGCTCGCTGCTGCTGGTTGGCGCTATTTGTAGCTTGCTTGGATGGGAGTATACTTTTCTAGCTTTACTACCCGCCTCGCCCGCCTCGTCCGCGCTGTTCACCTCGTGCGCGCTATTACTATCGCTGCTACCGCCTGTTTCGCTGCGCGCTTTCGTAATATTAATCTTCGGTCGCTGCCTAGTGACGTCAGTGGGTAGAATTCTAGCCCTAAACAGGTTAGCCTCTACACTGAACCGGCTAGCTCCCCGCTATATCACTTTCAGCCAATTAGATCGTCAATCACTCTTGTAGATTTCCCCCTATAGGAAACACGTGATATATTTGGATTTGTTGAAACCGTTCGTAAGCTCACGGTGATAAGAGTGCATGCAAAATTAGTGCGCCATGACTGAGTTGATTGGCCGCTTATTTTTAAGCCGTAATGGCTGCTCATCTCGCATCCTAAATGATAATCGGCCTCTGAACTCAGATCGTTGTTACATGAGCGCAGCAACGGATGCAAATTGCTCCTGAACACAGTTCTGCAGCTTATCAGAATGGAATCCAACCTCACCCCTAATCGAGACGGCGCGGAGATCGAAGGAGATAACCATGTGTTCCTCAACGAAGTGGGAAATTGTGGCCAAGCGGACCGGACCTCCACACGCCAGAGCCTCCTTTCTCTTAGCTCAGAAGAAGCCACCACTGCGAATTATGATCAAATCTTGGGATAAGAAGAAGGCCGACCCGCTTCTTCTAGCTCTTTTGAGAGTAAACCACTTTATGAAGCCTTGGTAGGCAGGTTTGGATTTACAGCTTCATCTGGACGCAGTGGCTTTACGAGATCCTGGCCTGTATCACTGCCATTTTGGCTTTAGCCCAGCCATAACCAATCTAACCAGCCGACATTCATCACCAAAAATCTTCAATAGTATTCTATAAGTGTACTCGAGCTTACTTGCCTGATATCCGGCATGAAACCATCAGAACAGAGTAACTCGAACCCACTTCAATTTTAGCTCTATCTTTAAAAGTATCCGGGTAAACCATTGCAGTGGGGTGGTCTACCCCCGGCCCCAGCTTGCTGACTCTTTACATACAACGAACCGTCCGTGCTCCATCGGTGCAGGACTACCATCCACAACCTCCCCTCTACATTTCAAATCGCCGCTCTCCAAGCCCCCCCTCCCCCCAACACAAGCGGGTTTGCCGTCTCGACCCGCGTACACGCGACCTCCAGCACCTCGACCACGGATCTGATCCTCTCGCCAGGCGGCGGCGCGCTCCCCACTCCGCTCCGCCCTCCACCAGCCCTCCAACGCTACACGCACCGCCCTGGTGACAGAGACGCCCAAGACCACGACGGTGCACAGTTACTGATCTCCTGTCTCGGACTCACCTGCGAGCGCGCAATGCTGGACGTGGATGCGTCGGACGAGATGGTCACGGCCGCGTTGCCGCCGTAGTAGGCCGCCATCTTACCAGCCTCGGACGCCCAGTCCGATGATCGGCCGTCCTGGATGATGCAAAGGGCATCGATCTAGAGGTACTGCAGACCCAGGCTGCGGGTAGTGGAGATTGCATCCTGAAATGTCTTTGGGAGGGAGGCGAGCGGAATGCCGGTGAGCTTGTTGGTGTCGTTGGTGGACGAGGTCTTCCAGGGCCATGGCGGAGGGCCCCAGCAGAGGGCCCCAGCAGTAACTTAGAGCGGCATAGCTGCCTGACGCTCCATTTGCTGGATGAAGACGAGGACGATGGGCTGTGTAGCTGAAATCAATGACTCTGGTGGGGATTGGGCTGGGATTCTGGGTGGATATGGGTGGGCAATTCTGGCGGTTGGAGATGTAGTCGGAAAGCCAGCTTCGCGTAAGGCTTAAAGCCTCATCTGAGGAAGAATCTTGAGATACATGGCGTCCAAAACCGACGACAGGCCAAACCGGATCTTCGCCTACATTACATGATTCAGATAAAGTACGAAAATGAGGTGAATAAGAATATACCTTGTTGAACGTAGATCTCCAGAGACTTAGTGTACAGCGGATCCGTTGTTGTCCATCCTCGAGCTTGACACCACATTTTTGTCCATCCTCAAGCTTGACTTCACGTTGTTCTCCACCCTAAGGCTCAAATACATGTTGCTGTTCATCTTCGAGTTTAACTCCCTGTTCCTGATCACCCTAAGGCTCATCTAGTTGTTCTTTATGTTCTAACTCGGCTTCAGTACTGTCGCGGCGAGCATCTACCCGTAGAAGGTAGGACTGCGAGATTCGCATGTTGCGTTTAGCACCCACACAGTATTAGAGTACGGCGCTAAATCTCATAGAGACTAGCTCGTTGATTTCCGACTCTGGGCAAGACAGCAGAATCTAAGAGGGCTAGCATCTAAGAACTTCGGCGGCTCTAGCACAAAGACGCGGGTATAATAGTTAAGTAAGTCTTATAAAAGATAAGTCGGGTTAGGGCCTACCGCAGACTTCCTCTACCATAAACAGCCAAGAATCGTTCGAGGTGTCCGGGAAGTACAGCACGAGCGAGAAGTCGCACAGAGGGTACAACTAATATATAGGAATACCATCCATGGCGAAGAAGCCAGCGGGTTGCCGCGCGTCGTCATAATAAGGTTAGAAGCTTAGATTAGGCTGGCGGACGCTACAGGCCTTAGAATATACGTCAGAGCTTGCGATTAATTTAATTAGCAAGTGCTTTTACGCTTAAGCTTAGAAATTAATCAAATAGGCCCAGGATTTCCGCTTTCAAGCCGCTTGCACGCTACCGTGGAGTAATTCGGTAAAGCGCGAAGCTAAGAAGGTAAACGGGTAACGTATTTAGTTATAACCCGAAGAGAAAGCACCCTTCGCTATCTTACCTTCCAACAACGGAAGCAAGCCGGAAAATACCTAAATGGGGCAACTCCGGCCGCATGGTCCTTGCTGCTTCATCGACTCATCAGCAACCATTTCCTCTACATCTCGAGCCAGCGCCGCTCACCAATGGCCAACGACAGCAGACCGTCGCCGCGGCGGCCCCGCAGCCGGCCTATGGATTTCGCCAACACGATTGCCAACGCGGACGCGCGAACATTAATGAAGAACGCTCGTGACTGGCTTGGGCTGACTGACGAAGCTTTTGATCCACTTCGGCGTGACATTCAAGATGAGCTCAGCTGTGTGTCGGCACAATTCACCGCCAGTGGTCGCAACGGCGACTCTGGGGGCTCAGACGTACGCAGCAAAGCCAATAGGCCAATTGTTGACGCTGCATTGGACCGCCTTCTACACAAGTGGGACGACGAGCTCAACCTACCGCCAGGCAGCAAAGACAAACGTGCGGCCTTATGGGACCTTTTCAGAGAAGCTAAGCGATGGCCACAGCAACTTAGGCCCTGTCGCCAGCCAAGGCCAGCTGGAGCACCCAGCCCGGAACCAGCCGGAGAACCCAACTCGCAGGGTCATGATAACGAACGGAACAAGGCGGCAGTCCCAGCCCCAACAACGCCAAACAATCAGACATTCGGGGAATGCCCAGATCGAATCACTGCATGGGAGAACAGCGGTAATGTCTGGTGATG